CTTTTTTCAGTACCAAGAGGGAATTGGAGTGGAGGGGAGAGGAGGGGAAGGGAGGGAGTGGAGAGAAGGGGAGGAAATCGAGCGGGGGAGGGAGGGAGGGAGGGAGGGAGGGAGGGGAGCGAAGAAGTGCGATGAAGGAGACGGGGAGAGGAGGGAGAGAGACGGATGGGGAGGGGTAAGTAAGCATACGATTGGATCAGTGATCGACAAAGTCAGAGAGCGGAGAGGAGGGAGGGAAGAGGGATGGAGGCAGGGAGGGAGTGAGAAAGGGAAAGGAAAAGAGAGAGAGAGAGAGAGAGAGAGAGAGAGAGAGAGAGAGAGAGGGAGAGAAAGAGAGAGAGAGAGAGAGAGGGAGAGAGAGAGAGAGAGAGAGAGAGAGAGAGAGAGAGAGAGAGAGAGAGAGAGAGAGAGAGAGAGAGAGAGAGAGAGAGAGAGAGAGAGAGAGAGAGAGAGAGAGAGAGAGAGAGAGAGAGAGAGAGAGAGAGAGAGAGAGAAAAGCGGGCATTATGGACGGGACGGGCAGGGATTTCTATATAGATGTTCAAACGACGATTACAATTAGCGCCGGTAGGCGCGGGAGGGTGACCTAGTTACAATAATAAATCACACTCCCATGAGAATCGCCTAAAGTCACGAGGCGCATAAAACACGGCTCGAACTGAAATGACCGTAATGAGTATGAGCTTACTGGTGCCGGAGCCACTAGCTTGAAGTCGTATATCTTCAAGGTTAGCCTCCTGGAAGCTCAGATATAAACAAACAGCTTACTGAGCAGCCGTGCGCCCTTCGGTAACCTTTGACTCCGGTGAGACGGCCCATTACCGGTATGTCTGTCTGTCTGTCTGTCTGTGTGTCTGTGTGTGTCCGGTACCGGCCGACCCAGCGGAAACCCCGGCGCATTTCTCCCCACTTCCTCTCGACACTGCAAGCGCCGGGTTGAGCCGGCGCTCCCCGCCTTCCCACACCGCCGACCCGGGCTGTTTAATTATCCAGCAGGAATGCCAGGCGTCGGGGAAATCACTTTCTCCGCCACGACGAATAGTGAAGACACAGACGGCGGCGCGACCCCGCGGGGGTCGACGCTCGGGAACGCTCGACCCGGAGCAGACCCGGGGCAGCCTGAGTCGGCCCGGAGCGGCCCGGAGCCGGCGGCGCGGGCCGGGAGGGTCGGGAGACCGTGACCCCTCCTCCGGGGGGCGTGGCGGCGCGCGCGGCCCTGCACGCAGCCACTCTCGCCCACACGACACCTTCTGAACGGCTTCCGGGCACCGGAGCGAGAGCGACGGGCGAGAGCGGGCCGGCGGCCGGTCCGCGCGATCAGCCGGTGTCGGTCGGACCGTCACCGTCTACAGAGAGCGGCCGCCAGCAGCCGGTCAGCCCGGCCGGACACGCCCAGGGCAGGAGACGGAGACAGGGACCGTCATCACCAGATGCCAACACGTGTCAGAGTACACAGACGCCGGAGAAGTCGAGTGAAAACGACCGAGACCAGTCAGCAGCCGCCGGCCCGGCCCGCCGTCCAGAGCGGTCGGTGTGAATTTGAAACGCCGGCGAAACCAGACTGGACAATGGGTGGTGGTAGGGAGCGGCACACAGTAGGGCATGGTGTGGGCGGTGGTAGGCATAAGATGATCAATCAGTCATGGAGGTCAGCGACAGTGTAATGATAGCTGGATGTGAAGCTCGTGCGTCCGAACTGACATGACTGTTAGCAAAACACACATGGGGCCAGTCTGTTTTTGTGACCAAAATTAGATGCTTCAGAGAATAAACTGCGAAAAATAATCAACTAGCACGTAATAAATCCCATATAGCCAGAGTATCAGCTCTCTCGTCTGGTCTCTATTCCCTCCCGTTTTCGCTGCCGGCGCCGGTGCGGGCCGACCCGGCCGAGGTGGCGGTTTGAGAGACCGCGGACCGCTCGGCGCCTGCCACTGCGGTCATGACCGGTGACCGCAGACCGAGCCCCACCGTACCGATCGGTCACCATCGGTCACAGCCGACGGTCGGCGGTCGGCGGAGCCGTGCCACTCTCAGCGGAGGCCGGCCCGGCACAGGGCACCCAGGGGGTCACAATCTCGACATCTAAAACCGACGGCCGGCCGGCTAAATAATGCAAGTTTTATCGATCCGAGGTGCACGGTGTGAGTTTTTTTTCATCCCTACGCGGTCAATGTGAGGCCCAGATCTACAATGTTTCAGAATTTTAACGCTAGATGCGAAAATAGATATTTTGCCGTCCCGCTCGAAGCTATCGAAACGTGCATATTCACGGTCAGCTGTCACTGCTCATTATGCACTGGCCAATGGCCATGCATAATAACAAGTGAGACAAACGATAACGCAAAATGTGTTTACGCCAGGCTCCCCTTGCAATTGTCATGGCCTATGTATGTACTAACATTGAAATGATAGACAGGCGTGAAAAAGACCAGCCATCGCTGTTTCAGGAGGACTTGTGTGAACGCCTCTGACATAAACCATAGCATTGCTGGAGAAAAGGCCTTAATGGACCACGACGGTGAGTCTTACGAAACTTAACACCGCATGAAATTCATGAATACAGAGTAGACGCCGCACATTAGGGGAAGAAACGTAGCCCAGCGCACCGAACAGAATGCTGAAATAGGCGACGAAACCCACCAACTCCTCATGCGCCACTTACCTAACGCTCGAATAAATCAAACGAACCTTTCCTATAGCCTCCTTAGCGACAGTGGTCGAGCCGGACCGGAAATCCCCAGTCAGTTGTCTCGCCCCGCACGCCGTTTGCGGTCGGCGGACCAGCGCGTCCGACGGCTCTGGCGTGTGGGACCAGCGCGTCCGACGACTGTGGCGTCTGGGACCGGGACGGAGACGCCGGCGCCGGCGCTGTAAGGCGCTGATGCCGCCGCTGTGAGACCGTGGCGACTGGCGGCGCCAGCTGGGCTGCACGGCCGCCACAGATGGCCACGGAGACCGGCCGACACCGCCGTGCCGGGCCGAGCCGGGCCGGAGCTGCTTACTGGAGCTGTCTACGGAAGCTGCCTACGTGATTACCGAGACCTGCCTGGTGCTTACCCTAACTCTCTACTACTGAAGCTGGCAACCTGAACTTCATCTGACGACCAGAACTGCCTACTGGACCCTGGAGCTGCCTACAGGTACTGCCGGTAGGCTGGGAAAACAGCGGCCAAACCACGGCCTCACGAGCTGCACCGCACTCCGGCAGCCGCGGTCAGCGTCGTGAGAGCGCGCGTTACCACTGCTGCTCCGGCAGCTCCGCCGGCTGACCCAGCGGTGTGCCGCCACTGTCGACCAGGCTGAGCTTCATACGGCCCCTGCTGCCACGAGCGCTGCTGCGGAGCAGGGCAGGGCAGAGGGACGCTCCCCTACCCGTCCGTCCGGCCGTCCGTTCCGCTTCTGAGTCATAATAGGCCGACACGCGACAGGACCGGGTGACCTATATCACAGAGGTCACCGCGGCGCTGTACTGGTGTAAATACACGGCGTCGGCGGTCCAGCGCCGGAACAACGAGGGGTTTGTTGTTTGGGTCCCGGACGCATATTGTGGGATTATCTAACGATATGATTAATGATTATGGTCTGTCATCATCGTTGCATAACTTCGGATTCATAAATATTTTTAGTATTCAATACACGCTTATTCTGAACTTCCTCATAGTCATGTATCGCTGCTTATGCCCTTAGGTACTCGCTTAAACGGATAAGGTGCAACTTATAAACAGCTCCTACCTCAAAACATAAAAGCACATTGATCAGATAATCAAATCGAGTGAATGAGTCGTGGTCATTGCATGAGCGAACTAATGCAGTGATAACTTCCACACCCGGAAGATCGCACGTCGTCTTGAAGTAAATATTGCAGCCGTGCTGATAGCCACATAAAATGGCAAGCAAGCAATATAAGGGAAAGTACCAGATAAAACCCATTACCGCAAAAACAGGACAGCAAAGTAAAAGGCACCTGGACAACTCCAGTAAAACAAGCCAGAAAACGACTGCTGTCTGGTTAGATAAGAACGATAACTGTAGTCTGGACCTAATCCACTTCATGGGACCGCGGAGACGAACAACATTAGTCCAATTTGGAGCCACGTCTGTGACAACGAATACAGACCCAGCGAGGCATATGCCGCCGATGGGTCACTGTACCGGACATAGCAAATCCCCCGCTTCCTGGAAGCGTCCTGAACGGAAAAAAATGGGTTCCGAAGAGGGGAGGGCTAGGCGGCCGACGGGCGGGAGTACGGAGGGAAGGGGAGGCTTGGGGTGTGGGAGTTGTAGGGTGGGGTGTGGGTGGGGGCGGCGGGGGACTGGGTAGAGATTTGGGACATTGGGGGTGTGTGGGGATGGGAGCGGGGGTGGGGCTGGGGGCACGCTGTTGACTGGCACACCTGTCACGAGTTGGTGGGGGAGACGGGTCGCCACGGTCCGGGCAGCACCTGTCGCCAAGCCGATCGATACCGTAAGCCGCCGTCACTGCGCGGCGAAACAGGCCGCGCTGAGACGTGGCGAGGTGGGACGCGGTGGGACGCGATGGGACTAGCAGGGACGCGGTTGAAGACGCTGGGATTCATGGGATTACATGGAGACTCAGTGTTGGCCTGTGGGAGCCGAGAGACCTTGCCACGGCCGTGGAATGGGTGGGGTCACCATCCCGCCCTCCCCTGCCCTGCATGGACCATGCCGTCTCGTCACCGTCCCAGTGAAATGGGTGGGGCTGCGGCAACCCATATACGGCCCGCCGGCAGGGGCAGAAAGGTCAGATAAATGATCAAATAACCGACAGCCCCGGAAGGTCAGTCACACAGCGTCGCCTCCTGTTCGTGGCCTCCTACCTTCATATAGCGGGCACCCCGGCTCACTGGCTCTGAGCTCTCCCATATACGGCGCGTTCACCGTCCCTCCCACCCCAGCCGACGCCGTGGGCCCGCGGTCATCAGTTCAACACTCGAGCCGGAGGCCCCGGTCAGGCGCGTCCCGCACCGCCCACTTACCAGGAACTCTGTGATGGGCCGCGCCTCGCGTCGGTACCCCTTCTGCAGGTCGGTCTGCTTGAGCGCGTGCTGGATGTGCAGCGCGCTGGCGTCGTAGCGGCCGTACTTGTAGTCGCTGTGGTTGCTGGACGTGTTGCCGTGCCCGTTGGACTGCGGCGCCTGCTGGTGGGAGCCGCTCGTGTGCAGCACAGACTTGATGAGCATCGCCTCGTTGTCGATGTTGGCCCGGCCGCCGGCCCGAATCTGCTCGTTGATGTAGGTCTGTGACTTGGGGACGTTGAGCGCCGTTCGGATGCCGACGGCGTTGCCGTCGATCTGACCCGGGTTGATTTTGGGCACATGGCTTTGACAGTACACCTCCTTGTCAACCTGGCTGTTTTGGTTGTTGTAATAGTTCTTGAGGGTAAGTTTTGTGCCGCACACTGCACATTTAAAGCACTGCGAATGGAAGAACGTAAAGTCTTTGAGCGGGCCGACCCTGTCCACTTGGTAGACCGTTTGACGACATCGCAAACAGTGCGTGTCGTAGAAATTTGCACGCTGCGCGAACGACATTTTATCACTTTGCACTGCACGTCACACCTCTCGACTGGCGACCGTCTCCCCACACTAGTGGCACGCAGCGGGCCGCGCCATTTTGGTGAGCCGGCCGCGGCTGTATGGCAGGCACTGATGCATAGCAGAGGATGGACTCGATTCACCGGCGCTGCGGCTCTGGCACAGGCTTTCCTTATCGACACTAGGCTTCAGTTCAGGTGATTTGCAAAACACTCGTCTCCCATTCACACCCAAACCTGGTCGCTGCGCCCAGCGTCACCAGTTGGCTGGCGCTGACTCACGGACTGGCCGCGCGGCACGGAGCGCCGTTACCCTGACAACTGTGGCCGGCGAACTGACAACACACCGGTCCCGCCGGCCGCACCGGCCTCACCACCTGTTGGCTCCGCCTCGCGCACCGGTGCCGCTCGCTCCGCGGCGCCAGTGAACGGACCACTCCCAAGCTGTGGACATTTAACCCAAACTTTGATGTTTCCGTCCCCACTGGTTCACACACGCCGAACTATTTCATTCACAACTCAATCAATGCAAATCGGCGCGATTGATCTGCAAAGAATGTCAAGCGAATTCCGGAGCATTTCCGGAATTGCACGTGCGTCGTCGAAATGCCCGTCTCCTCTCGGAGAAATTTGATTTACAATGAATGATGAGAAGCGGGTCGTCATTGCCATTCTGTGTTGCCGGGCGTCGGCAGCGTACCTCGTGTGAAAAACCCAGAAGCTCGTGCTTATTTCGTCCACTTTGTCCCACTTTCACACCCCTGCGACATGAAGCCTCACGAACAGCCGTCCCGACGAATCACGCTCGGCACGGCAGAGTGTGGCACAGACACGACAATCAGCCGCCACGTCTGACCCAGCTAACAGCATCGACACCAACCGTTCCCAGAAACCCACTCTCCTTACTTCTGAACCGTTTACACTGCGCAGCTCTCATCCCGCGCTACCTGGCGAAGCGGTGGGGGCGGTAGACGGTCTCGGTTGGGCACTGCGATGGGGCGGTCGAGCATATCCGGCCCGTGAGCCGGCGTCGGGAGCCGGGCGCCATTAGCACCGATCGCCGGCCCGTGGACAGACGCGGACGGCGGCTCGTCGCAGGCCGCTGTCCATCCGTTCCCAGCCGCCCCCGCCCCCGCCCGGCCCGAGCGGCGGCAGCGGCGGCGGCGGCGGCGGCGGCGCGTCGAGCGGGGTCGTTGGCCGCCGCCGGAGCCGCCGGAGCGCCTCTCTGCTATCGCCTCCAGTCACGGCCAATTCAGCCGACCGAACGAGTGACGCGTGTCAGCGCAATGTTGAACGGTCGGCTCACGGTCAACAACGGCAGGTGGCTGAGGAAACTAAATCGACGTTGCCTTATTTATCGGCGTTAGGAAATAACGTCTTTTATGTTATGTGCGTAGGGATAAATGACGCGATCAATAAAAGGGCAAACGTTTTTTTTTTCTTAAGTGACTCATGCAGGAATCAGCATGACCTTTTCATGTCACGTCCTTTGACTTGAACTCTGAAGTCAACTTTTTAGCTGACCTTTTAACCAGGGCTGAGGAGTCGGAGTCGGAGTTGGAGTTGGCCGAAGCTGACAGCTCTGCACGGAGACGGAGTCGGAGTCGGAGTTGGTCTTTGAAAGCCGGATTCAGAGTCACCGAAAATCCATCGATTCCGCATCTCTGCTTTTAACTGTTTACATGTTCATTAGGTATGATAACCTAACTCGACGCGTTTTCATGAAATAAACATATTTGTGCCACAACAATGTCTTTACCTAATTCTAATGAATATAAGGAGTTCATGACTGTTCATGCGTGAACACCCAATTCATTGTATCCCGATGGGTAATCTACCGATGCATGCTTTGTTGAGCCAAATATGAACTCCAGTAACCCACGCCCCGTTGGGGGTCCCGGATTGGCCATGCCCTGCTGGGGGGGGGGGGGGGTTGAACTTCGAACACCTCCTTCTAGCTCAGCTCCTGGGCCACGTAGTGATAAAGGGAAGGCGTCGTTCGAAAGAGCGTATTTTTTCAGGTCGAATGTCAACAATTTTCAACAAGCCGACGCATAACTCGGAAACTAATAGAGCTAAAGCGCCCCGGAATGCGCATTTGATAGCCTTATTAACGGTATTTCTGAGTATTTATTTCAGATTTGACCTAACGCCAACGGTTTTGCCTGCAGTGGCCGTATTCACAATCACTGGTTAAGGGTAGGAGTAACGGGTAACGGGTTATTTTTGTGGCCGTATTCACAATCAAAGTTTTCCCCTGATGGTCACCCGGCGCCACGCAGACGGCACCTGGCCTGCCTGGTTCCGTCTGCGTAGCGCCGGGCGACCATGTCAGGGTCAAACTTCGATTGTGATTGTGAATACGGCCACAAAAATAACCAGATTGTGAATACGGTGACAGGGGGCAAAAACTGCCAAAACATACGATTTTTGCGGAACAGTTTTTTTTTTTCAAAAACTTTTGACTCAAACCTTGCACGAGTTTGCTTCAACTGGCATCATGTTCCTCTCGTCAAGACGCATCGAATGAACAATACTAGTACTTTGGCTTAGAAAGGTCAACTAAAAATGTGACCTCAGGTTAAGGTCATGACCAGACCGACCGGAAAAGGCCATGCTGCATATCAGCCGATCCTTGATCCATATCATCGAACTCGCGCATCCAAGCCGCTTTCATCGCTCTAACATGTTCTATCAAAGTTTTTTTTTTCGCGAAAAACTGTTAGCCTACCATTCGACGTGACCTGAGATGACCTCAGGGGCATTGACAGGTGTCACGAGTGCCATTTTCATGTTCAGTACCTAGGTAATAGGTATGTCATAGTTACCTGTCCTTAATTTAGTGTTTGAGTATTAAGAATAAAATAACGCTCGTCTAAAAGAGGCGCTTTTCAATTTTCTCTCATTGACTTAGCTATAATGGGGTGATCGCAATTCGCAAAGTTGACCTGACCTTAGGTCACCGATATCAAAATTCCGAGATGAACATTTTGTACGATAGCCTACTGTTGATTTTATCAATCGCTGAAAGCTTCAAAGCGATCGGTCACTCGATGTAGCTATGGCAGACATTGTAACTTTTATGTCATGAAGTCACTTGGAGTGATCTGTCACCTGGTGACCTGACCTTGAGTGACCTTGGTCTGAAATTTTCACAACATGTGCAGAAAAGATGTATGATGATAAGGTGTGCAAAAACAGCGGCGCCGTCGCGGCATCGCTGACGACTTCTCAAGATGTTTGTGAAAGACCGGGGCGTTCAAACACTCCGCGGGGGCGCGGGCGCGGACCGAATAAGTATTTGTGTCGGTAGCTTTTTGTCATTAAACGTATCGAGTAGCTTTTGGTTGACTTTTAAAATAAACAAAAATTCTCCTGAAAAATAATTTCAGCTTTGAGATATCGGCGCTTTATTTGCTCATCTTCCATCACCAATCAAACACACACACACACACACATGACTAGGTATAAAATTTGTGGACTGTGTCTTTCTGGTTAAGTAGACATTAATTGCGCGTTAAGGACAAAATACAGATTTCTTTAGTGTTCAGAGCCAGAGTATTCTGTTGTGCGACCGAAATCACCGTAGTGTAATTCGTCGAATGATGGTTGTCATGAAAAATACCTGAGTCGAAGAACATGTATGTTACCCTTTTTGAACGCGGGAGCTTTCAAAAGCAATGTGATGGGGCTTGTTCCGAATTATTGTATGTTTTGTAGATGTTGTGCACGCGTAGACTTTTTGCCATAAATTATTTTCGATTTGTATGCATCCATGTATTCTTATTGAAAAAAAACTGTAGAAGATAAAGATAAGATATTTCAGACGTTCACCAGGCCCAGCTTAAAATTACGACCACCACAATGACAACCTGTTAAAGTTCGTTTTTTTTTCTTAAGTTCGACCCTCACTGTGAATCAAGAAATCATATCGAGCACAGAACGAGAATCGTTAGTGAATTATGGAGAAAATTGGTTAGTGCACTTTGTGTTGGAGATATGAATAATATTTTCCGAATAAGGTTTGAACACCAATGAAGTACCATTATATGAAACACTGCATGATGTTGAGTAGCAATAGACAAATGTATATATTGAGACGGGTTACACAGCACATTCAGGTGGACATTTTGGGTCACGTAGACGAAATGTGTCCACCCGAATTTGCTGTGTAACCTGTCTCAATGTATAGGTACTGCATGATGTATCAATTAATTGGGTTATAATTCCTGAACAGTCGTCTATACCTGTTGAGTTGTAAATATAGGCAAATATGAGCTGAGAATATGGGGGCTATCAGCCAGGGCCCAGGACTCTGGAGCCAGGTAAAAATAATTTTGATAAAGTTGATTGTCTGTGAAAACATTGTGCGCCAACCAGTTTTCTCAATAATTCAGCTAGCAATTCTCATGCTATGTCTGCTGTGTCCAAAGAGGCATTTACAGTGAGGGTCATGATTAAATTTACAAAATTTAAATTTAGATATTTAGATTTTATAAAATTTATAAAATGAAATTGAAAGCAAGCATCATATTCATAGCTTGTCTACTTAACTTAGGCTTGTAAAATATAATTTGTCAGAATAGTAATAGGTAGGTAGTTAGCTGATATTTACTCACAGCTGTGCACGATTATTTCTGCTAATTTGCTGAGCATGTTTCTGTGTATTCATGATTCTGTTCTAACAACATTTTCCCGAATAACAGGGTGACATTATTTCTCTGAGTCTGGATGCAATGCTATTGCAGTGGTTTGTAGCAATGTGGATGGCCCACTATATCTCTGCATCTGCAAAGCAATATGAGCAATACAGTAAGTGTCATTATTCTGAAATATGGCTCATAGTGCTACTAGTACACATTAATTTATTTTCATGTAGTATTTACCATTCTTTGTGCTTTCCAGTTCTTAGTACATATTGTTATGCTCACAGTTAAACAAGTAAATTTTATCCATATATGCAATGATTTTTGTTCCCATTTTTTTCAGAGTTTATCATTTTCTCCCTAGAAGAAATAAACACATCTTCTGTTTCAAGACCAAACAAATTTGTCATCAAGGAAGAAAATATTGTGAGTGGTGATCATGACAATATAACCATTTTTTTGTCACTGAGGCTGTCATTAAAGTTAACAATATGTACCCAGAATAAACACAGCTGTAGCTTTATCAACCCTATTCTTAATTTATGTCATAACCAGCTTGTTCTGTATTCAACACAGTTTGTGAAGTTATCCTTTATTCCTCATTAATCTCAAATCCCAAAGTAATCCCACTGTGTCCCTTTCTCAATCAGAACTTGTTACTGCACTCATTTGTCTTGCTTGCTGTCTGAAGCTGCCACTATCTTTCTCTCGCTCTGGTCAGTGGACAGATACTGCTGACTCGTCTGATCGCCTGCCCTCCCTCTCCTCCCCTCCTCTCCCTCCACACAGACTCTGCTGGCTCAGCTGGCGCCGATCCGCGGGCAGACCGAAGCGTCCATCTCGCGCCTCACCGAGCACTTCTTCTGGGTGGGCGCCGCGCCGCACCTGGCGCTGACCAACGTGAACCGGACTGTGGACGTGCCGTTCGCCATGGAGCTCTACAGGAGGGGCGCCATGGTCGCCTGGCGGTGCCACTTCGCCCGCAGGTGAGGGGGGGAGGGGGGCTGGTCTGAACTCTGAAGTGAGGTGCAGGACGCCGGATCATACAGGGGCAGTGGTAACTTATACTTTCCACGTTGTTCTTTTCTTTTGCGAAGCCAGCGAAAGTATCTCGGTAATGGTTTATGTCGATAAAAAATCCGGTCACCGGCCGATGGTCTATGTGTACAGATCCATCTTATTGGGATGTATCACTAGCTCATGTTAGTGGCTCGATCTCCACAGGCATCAGAGGTTGAAATGATGTGTTTTATGGAACAGTTTACGCTAACGGCCTGCCCTTGCGAAGGCTGAAGTAGCGTGTTTACGGAACTCGTTTGGTGTCACCGACAGCCACCTGAATGAGGACCTGGCCGACATTAACGGGGGCCAGTGGAACGGCGAGGTCAGCCTCTCCCGGGGATCCGGCTTCTTCGCCACGCGCGTCTCGCTCACCGACCTCAGATTCGGTGAGAACGGGACGAGTATTCTTACTGGCTATACAGCTATCGACTGAGGCAGCATTTTTAGATGCTCCGTTGTTTTCAGTTGCCTCCATATCGCGGTAATGTCATGGCAAATGAATGAATGAATGAATGAATGAATGAATGAATGAATGAATGAATGAATGAATGAATGAATGAATGAATGAATGAATGAATGAATGAATGAATGAATGAATAAATGAACGAACGAACGAACGAACGAACGAACGAACGAACGAACGAACGAACGAACGAACGAACAACTGAGCAATTTCGCTATTGATCTTTTGCACTTTTTGCGCTATAGCTAGCAACAGCAGCTAGCTGCGAGCTTTATATCTTCTATGAACAACTACCAGTGTCGGAACATTTTCCCCTCCCCGTCAGTGGGCTGGTCGGCCTGGCCGTGGGGCGGCGCCGTCAGCGCTGCGACGGTGGCGCCGCGTGTCGGCCGTCTGCGGTACCTGCAGGACCCGTGCGGCGGCGACATCGGCCTGCTGGTCTCCCTGTCGGCGCCGGGCCGGCCCGGGCTGCTGGCCGCCACTGTAGTGGGCACTAACGTCACCTGGTACGACCTCAGTCAAATGGACATGGTGCGCGGCGCCTTTGGAGGTGAGTGGCGGGGGGGGGGGGAGGGGTCGGCTGGTGAGAACGTAAGAGGATCGTTCGCCGTTCGGCTGACGAAGGAAGCCAAATAATTGCTGACTGGTAGTTCAATTAGGAATATCTCCTCGTGAACTGTCATGATCTGTGATCTTTACTCAGGATTTGTCTGAATTATCTTACTCCATTCCTTCTCCTAACTCTCTAATTGCCCACTGTTACCCGACTTTTTTCTTTTTCTTTTTTCACTTCTGTCGTGCTGCCCGTCTCAGCGCCCTGACCTGTTCCTCCCCCTCCCACCCCAGGCTCTCCGCCCTCGGACCTGGGTCTGATCTCGGCCACAATGACCTCAGCCCACCTGCTCCTCCTGACCACGCACGGCCTGCTGGTGTCCCCTGCCTTCCGCGGCGAGCGAGCCGCCGCCAGAGGCGCCAGAGCCGGAGCGTTCTCACTGCTCAAACTGCAAACGGTATGGCACATATAGGGGACGTATCAAGCCAGAATATACTCGTAGTGCATGTAAATGTTGAGATACTTACTTGACCAAAATACGGAATAAAGCCATCCATTACTTATTTCCACTTTTAGTCGATTTTCTGTTCCTCATCATTCGTTATCCTTGTTTTAAGCTGTTGGTATCAAGTTCATGTGTGTAATGTTGGGTCCTCGTGCTGGCTTTCAGGACGGCGACGTATCGGCAGAGTCCCTTGCCAAGGACGAGCTCATCCACTCGCTCTCCTGCTTCAGCAGCAAGGAGGACAGTGAGTAACACGAATGATAAAAGTTATAGTCGTGTATTTCCTGGATATTGCCAGGAAAGGTATACCTGTGAGTGGTTCGATGAATTACCTTCTGTAGCGTTAGGTGCCGGATACTTGAAGTTCAATATTAGCCCGATTTCATTGCATATTACTTGCTTTTTTACTGTTTTTGACTGGTTGTTGCGAGCTTGCCTTTCCTATGCCTTTCCCCATCTCCGAGCGTCAGTCATTGATCTGCCCCCCCCCCCCACCCCCACCCCTGCCCGTCCAGACGAGACGGTGCTGCTGCTGCTGCACTCTGAGCACCGCTACCTGCTGGGCCGCGCGCCGTTCCACCGCCGCTCGTCGTGGCGCGGCCTGGAGACCCTGATTCCGCGGCCCGCCGCCCTGCAGAGCGTCACCGACATTCGCTACATCTGGCACCGGCGAGCCGTCTTCCTCGGATACGATAAGGTAATGACGGGAGGGGGCTGCCGGGTAGTGGTAGAGGGATTTTGGCGGTACATGCGTGGAAGTAAAATGCTGATGGAAATTGCAACGTTTCTTTTATAGGTTCAAGTGAGAGCTTTAAGCAAGGTTAGTGCAAGCTGTTTAGTGTTTACTTGAGTTACTGCTTCGAGTTGAAGACCTGAAAATTGTTGTGCTTCCGCTACTTTTCTCAGGGCGACACGTACGAGACTCTGGTGCTGCCGCTGTCTGAGCAGACCTCTAGGACACCGTCGGGGGAGCGGTGTGAGGGGGACTGTGAGACGGAGCCGATCAGACGGCCCTACGTGCTGCTCTGTCCCCTCACCAAGAAAATCTACCTCATGGCCGACAAGGTAAGAACACTGAGAGCTAAGTGCTTACGTTTGTTTCCGTGTACCGCCCTGACATACCCACGATATGCAGGTAAATCGTTAATGTTTGCGATGATGGGTTACAGCATCGAATAATTTATGTATCCCTAGCTGAGAGTTGTTGTCGATATTCCATCCCGTGAAAGTGACCGCATTCGCCCTCCCTCCCGCCTCATTCACATATTGTTTTGGTGGGCGGCGCTCTGTACCCTGACCTGCGACCTCTCTGTATGACTCTCAGATGTTCGGTTCGATGGTGGGTGGCGCCCTATGCTCCTACCTGTGACCCCTTTCCTCTGTCTTTTTTTCACAGATGTTTGGTTCGATGGTGGGCGGCGCTCTATTCGCCCGTCCGATGTCCAATACCTCCTTCAGCCGGGTGGAGCACTGCGTGACCGACCTCATCAACCACCACATCTGCGTCACCGAACAGATGGAGCTGGTCGTTATCGGCGTCGGCGTGAGTCGTAGACGGAACTCGCGTCCTGAGAAATTAACTCACCTGGCCCAACTGACTCGATATTATCTAATGGGGCGTCACGAGATACTGTGATTTGGTCTGAGATAGTCTGCATCGAACAGGCTGGACGTCGTCTGATCCGTTGATTAATGAATAATAACCCATATGAACGAAAAGTAGTTTTGTAACTGAACGCACTCTCACTGTCTCATTTCGGACTAATTTACTCGGCTACCGTATTTCATGCGTACAGCCATAATTTTTTGCCTGAGTTGACATTTGCTGTCCCATTGCCGATAGTCCAATGAGCCGGAGAGGATCCCGTTGCACGAGATACTGCCGGAGATGAACATCACTGAGGCAGCGGTAAGTTATACAGCCTTCTTTAGCATGGCAGATGCTAAAACCTAAAGCCTGTAGCACTGTTAGGGCAGTCATTTCTCTGATGTTCCACATTTGTTGCCATGTCACGAACTGCCACCTCAGAAGCGGATGACCTTTTGTATCTCCCCTTCGTACAGGGAATAGTTCGCTGTCATGGTGACCGCTTCCTCTAACTCATCAAAAATGTCCTGCCGGCGCTATACAGGGTGGGGCAGCATAATCGGGAATAAATATCAAACGGGATTATTTGGTCATGAATTTAAAAATACAGCTCCAAGCACTATTTTAGCAACATCCCATCAATTGGTCACCTTTTACCTATCTCTCATCCTATGTGACCGCCCTCGGCGTCGATGACCTTCTCAAGGCGGGTCCAAAAGCACGCGCATGCACGTGCAACCTCCTGCTTGTCCATGATCGCCCATCAGCATCGTACCTTGCACTGAAGACCGTCTTTACTGATGATAAGTTGTTCATTAACCTTCTACCAAAAAACGCTCCATGTAAAGAATTTGGTCGGATTTAAATCGGCGGAGTTGAAGGACCAGAAGTTTTTGGTTCATCTCAGGTGGAGGTGCCCTACACAATAACATGTCGTCCTCACTGCAGTACCAGCACAGACAGAGTCCTCGTAAGACGTGATCTGGACCGTCAGTGATCCTCTGTTCCGACGGCTCCACATGAGTCTGCCACAGTGCGGATGTATTTACCAGAGGTGCTCATTTTATCTGGGCTCGATGAAGTAGGGTGCACCACGTGCACCTCCCTTGAAGACCACCCATAGGTCCATCACCCCAACAGGATGTTTACTTTGCATGACCGCTGGAATATTCTCGATACAATCCCCTATATGGCTTGCCATTCTTTTTTGTCGTATTCCAGTCGGTGGTGAGATTTTTGGTCGCTGAAGTTTTGAGCATTGTTTCTTTTTAATATGCTCAAGAGCGTCTTCCTTATATTCAAGTGAGTCATCTGTATGTCCTCTGCTAAGAGTTATTTTACGACGATTACGTTAACCTTTTGTCCTAAGTATTCCCACACAATCCTTATTGTCCGTGATAACACGTTGACCTGTCCAGCAACCTTTACGTGGAATTGCAGGGGTTTCAACAAAATGTTCTTGTTTTACTCGTTTAACATTAGTGTCTATGGGCGCGCGCAAAGCACTTAGAGCACCGTCGAACTATTTTGCTGCTCTTTTCCAGGAGGTTGCATGCTCATGGATGTAGTCATGTTAGATGATGCACAACTTTTGGGCGTTTCATTGCCATGCTATAATTTATCAAAATAATGTCATGCCTACTCATGATTAGAGCCCAAAAAGCATTCCCGATTATGCTGCCCCACCCTGTACCTGACGCCGCTGTGCCCTTCTGTCCGGCAGAAGACGGCCCTACTGATGGACCGGGCGGGAGGGGTGACCGTGTACGGCGTCGCATCGGGCGGCTTCGGCTCCTACTACTTCAACCTCGAGTCCGGACTGCCGGAGAAGGTGGGGGACATTCTGCAGAGAGGTACAGTCTGTGCGAGGGACGAGACGGCTCTTCAGTCCTTTCCCGATGGGATCTATCGATAGATTTCAGTTTCATCAGGATTACAAATGTAGTGGAAAAGAGTCATGAGATCCATATTCATTGTTTAGAAAAGAAATTATTTCACTAGGCGGTGGCCAGTGGGGACCCCATGCTCTACCGGCTCATGCAAAGATCATTGGAGCTTCAACAACTGCCAGCACCATGCCGCGACCCTGATCTGCGAAGCAACAGATGGCGCGGCGGGAGGCCGCTGCCAGGTCCCCCTCGGAGAGGGCACGGCTGGAGCCCGTTTAGTGACCGCGTTCCGGCTGCAGAGCGGGCGCGGCGGGCCTGACGGCCCACACCTCCCACCGTGACGCCAGGCGTCTGAAGGCGGGCTCCTCCAGGAGGCAAAGCTAGGAGGCGGGCTCACAGGGGCCAGGGTGCCCGCTGCCCCCTGTGCAGAGAGACGGCGGATACTCCGTACCACGTCCTGGTCGAGTGCCCGGCCCTGATGGGCGCCAGGCTGCGACTCACCGGGACAATCAGACCCAACAGGGAAGAGGTGCGGAGCGACGGAGTTGTCGCGGCCCTGGCGGCCGCGTTCAGGACCCTGCAGAGCCGTCAGGCTACAGTCGACTGAGGTCGACCTGGAGGGAACAAACAACAACAACAACAACAACCCTGATCTGCGCACTCTTTCTCTTTGCTATACCCAGTATGATATGTCGTGCGACTACTACCTGGAGTTGCTGGGCAGTATGAGACCCCCCCTCTATATGTGCAGTACGATGGGTCGTGCGACTACTACCTGAAGCTGCTGGGCGATGTGAGACACCCCCCCCCCCCTCTATATGTGCAGTACGATAACTGCTGGGCAGTATGAGACACCCCCCCTCTATATGTGCAGTACGATAACTGCTGGGCAGTATGAGACACCCCCCCCCCTCTATATGTGCAGTACGATAACTGCTGGGCAGTATGAGACACCCCCCCCCTCTATATGTGCAGTACGATAGCTGCTGGGCAGTGTGAGACCCCCCCCCCTCTATATGTGCAGTACGATGGTTCGTGCGACTACTACCTGGAGCTGCTGGGCGGTCTCCGGCACGCCGGGATGATTCACCTGGACGTGCACGACATTATCACCGTGGAGGTGGAGGCCGGCAGGGTTCACGGTAAGACAGGGAGTGGGGTGGTGAGGCCAGGAGGGGAATTGGTGAGGGAGGGGTCGGGACGGCGAGAAATGGTGAAATGGAGCCAGCAAGCGGGTTTGGATGCTCATTGTCATTCTCACAATGTCTTCAACAATTATTTACTGGCGAAGTGCAAGGATGGCATATTTTAAGGAATGTTTTATGAAAAAGTACAATGGACATGATGTCACTATACGCCCTGTCATGTTTTCCCTCGGATTGTCCAGGTGACGCCAACCTGTCTCGGGTGGCTCTGGACACGGACTCTATTGACGTGGAGCTCTCCCATCCGTCTGTGGTGCACGTGGAGCGGGCGGACAGCGTGCGGGACGCCGCCGTCCGGCTGGCGCTCACCGTCCGGCCCAACTCCTGGGTAAGTAGGGGCGTGGTCCAACTCCTGGGAGGGTGAGAGAACCAAGTCTTGGGTGAGTGAAAACTAGGTCCCAACAGCTTTGCGAGTGACAGCCGGTTATGAGCGGGCGAGACCGTAAGTGAGATCTAAATCTGTTTGTGTGTAACAAAGTGTTGAATAAGATTGCGAGTGCGAATCTCAAACTTCAGACAGCAGCTGCTGGTGCTCAGCTGCTGCGTTCCTCTCATTCTATCGTCTTATCCCCTTCCTCCCTCTCCTCAGGCCGTGGGTGCGGTGTGCGCGGTGACGTTCCGGCTGCCGGCCGCCAGCGCGCTCTGTGTAACACGCCCCGTCCCTCCGCGGGCGGTGTGCGCGGTTACCTCCCTCTCTGTGTAACCCCCCGTCCCTCCCCAGGCAGTCGGTGCGGTGTGCGCGGTGACGTTCCGGCTGCCGGCCGCCAGTGCGCTCTGTTCCCGCACCTCTCGCGTGGTGAACCTGGAGCTGTCGCGTCACCACCACCGGGTGGCGGTGGACGTGCACCGCGGCCGGGACCCCAGCAGCGCCGCGGACATAGACAGACACCTGAAGGCGGCCGATAACGCCTTCTACGAGCTGCCCGTGAGTACGGGGCCGATTGAGGGGAGGATGCGAGAAGGGTGTTGACTGTTGAGGTTGGAGATTAGATGTGATTGGGATATGGAGATCGTAGATGTGATTGGGATATGGCATACTGTACTGTAGATTCAATGCAATATAATGCAAGATCAAGATGCAATAGTGCGATTGTTTGAGGCTAGTGTTCTGTTTTAAACCGTGGTAAATATGTAAAGACGGCGGTATCAGGGCGGTATCAGGCCACACAAAAAGTGCTTTGTAACGGCAGTGACGGGTAGGATGACAGTGTTTTAACCGCTTTTTGCGAGCAATTTTAACGACTGCGTATGTATATAGCCTACCCATCTAGCAGGCTAGATACATACGCAACCTGCTATACGATCCGTTTTTCCCGTCAGGTGAACTACCGGCCTCCGTCTGATCTGGGTATCAATATTCCCACCTCAGAGAACATCTACAACGCCGACCCCAGCCAGCCGCTGAACCAGAGTAAGTGACAGCTCGCCACCACCGTGAGTGGCGACTCCCCGTAACGAATATAGCCAGTCACTGAACCAGTCAGCAGTAACTCGCCGCACTGAATATAGCCGGCCGCTGAACCAGAGTGAGTAGGTTAAGTTGAGACTCGTGAGTGGACGCACGGCTGCTAAACTAGCGCACGGTGTTTTGTTATCTGGTGCCGCTGGGAGCTTTATTCATGTCAAGTCCGTTGAGGTTGGAGTGTTTTCTCGTGTGTGCCTGGCTGTCACACACTCGTCTGTGTGTGCTAGTCTGGTCTGAGCTGATTTCTTGAGAGATGGCCAACATACAGTGGTCTAGTCCTACACACTCTCACATTCTGCGACGGCACACAGCTGAATGGCTTTGGAACATTGTATGTCTGTGTAGGACAGCGAGGTTCTAGTCTTTAGGAGGCAAATGCAAACCAAAATTACGTGCACAAGTCTTGCAGACCAGCAAAGGATGTTCGATCAGTTTAATTGAAAAACAACTTTATTTATCCAATTGTCACACATTCTATCTCTTCATCTTGTTGCATGGTGTTGTCCCGTCGGCATGTGCTATTCACACTCACTCCCAGTCATTCTGACGGCTCTCCGCACGGCAGACCTGTTGATTGAGCACGCCATCAGCCGGGACACGGGCCGCTTCAAGGCCTGCGCGGGGAAGGCTAACCGCAGTGAGTGCGGCTGTACCGAGGAGCAGCAGTACTCCACCGGCGTGGAACACTCCGACTGTCGCGTCTATGTGAGTTAAATGGTTGGACTGCCGGGTATTTATAAGGAAATCCCTCTGAATGACGCCTCGGTGTGAGTGAAAAGTTAATTTCTACCGACATTATCTTAGCTAAATTGTCGGACTGCCATGAGGCTGCACCCATTTGCCACTGGGATAAGTAAGGAATGACACCAGTGTGTACTCAGTAACGGACCATCGTCCATCTATTCTAGCAATTATTCAGGCATCCTTTATAGCTTGTTATTCCAGTCCCATTTCAACCTACCCCCCCCCCCTACCCCCTCCCAGGTTCCGATGATGTCGTGGCCGGCCAAGCTGCGCCTGACGATGAGTATCCGCGGCAGTCACCGCCCGCGCCGTCCGCTGCTGGCGCCCACCTATGTCAACATCACAGAGCTCAACAACCGCTCCTCCTGGGAGAACCACAGTAAGGGGAAACGGACAAAGGCTTATTATTGCTTTGTTTTTCCCCTCTTACGGTGATTGATTTTGCGTTCTAACAAAATTAGGCGTCATTTATGCAGAGTTGGTCCAAAATTAATGTGTTTCTAGCACTTTGAGGGTGTTATGTCCTGCTTTCTTTATTCAAGTTTTTTATGCTTTATTGAACCTGGACCCAGGTGCGACACATGCCGCACAATGGGTCAGCGATTTCCGCGTACCCTGTCCCAACGCCTCACGTCCCATTCTCTCCGTGCAGTTCTGCTGGGTCCGGACCTGGCGCGGATCTACCAGCGGAACCTGTCGGCCCGGGACCGCCGCCTGGTGGACCCGCAGCGGATCCGCATCCTGATGAAGGGCACCGGGCTCTACCACTTCCGGATCCAGGTGGCGGAGCACACCTCCTTCGGAACCGACCACGATGATGTGCTGGTGAGTGGCCGGGACGTTACGCGCATTGAGAGAGGGGAGAGGAATTACTGCTATCAGATTACGTAAATGCTTCGATGTCATTAGCTAGGACTTGAATGGCTGGATTTAAATAAGCGATAACACCGACTCCATGAAACGCTCTGGAAGGTAAGACAAGATATGACATGTATGTGGGACATGCTTGCAGTCTCTTTGCAGTCTATTTTGCCCGGTTGTCTCTAGAATCCGTCACTGCTCTGCCCTGACGTCCGCTGGCACTCCACATGTGTAGCTATTACTGACCATCACTGACAGCCGACACTCCCTCCCGTAACCCCTCTGTCTGCCACCCTCCCCAGGTGTACGTGGTGCCGGCCCGGCTCAAGTCCCAGGTACAGAACGTGGTGTACCCCATGGTGGGCATCACGCTCATCATCATCCTGTTCGTCGTGTTCGAGTACTACCACCAGCGTTACGCCGACGCTGACGACGAATCGGAGACGGGTGGGTCGCCGTCGCCGCTGAATGGAGGGTGATGGGACATTAATGTGATATTGATCAACTAGGTTCTCTGTTGCTGAGTAAGATGTTTGGCGTTGTAAGAACAGTGGAACTCCATTCTTATAAGCTTACCGGTTCCGTTTTGTGTTTCTCCAGAGAGTGACGAAGACGATGACGTGGTGACCGGTACGCCGTCGACCCAGGGACCGGCGCCGCCCTTCCCCCTCCGCGCCCGTCGCTGAGACGCTGGATACTCCGAGTCACATACGATCCATTTACCGGGCGACTGCCTTATCTCCCACCCAAGCACGGGATGTCCGTGTCCTGTGACCATTCGACCCCTAGCCCGGGCGGCCCCTCCCCTCTGCGTGCGGCTGAGGTACTGGAACTGTCAAAATCCTTGTCCCAGCCGGGCTGGGTGGGCGGCTTCTCCCCCTGCCACTGTAAGATGGGGCCACCAAACACTGGTTCCGGACAGCTGGCTAGCAGATGGCCGGAGATCGGGTGTCACGGAAGGACGATAATCAAGGTATGTCGACTGACAAGCGCTTGATCACTATTTTACGCGAGGGGCAGTGTCGCACGCGCTAGCGTATGTGTCGACTCTGTGATATCAAGGTGTGGTGAAAATGTACTTTGCCCCTGTTGTGATGTTATGCATTGCGTTGTGTTTCACTACTATTATGTCTGCACTGTGCATATTCTCGTTATCGTATTTATGTACTAGTCAAGTTTTGACAAACATTGAATGGTTAACAATTACGGGGTCGAATAAATTATTTATTTAACATGAACTTGGACCGGACTGCATTGATGTGACTCACGTGAGGTCTCCAATGGGATAAAAAGTTTTTTAGCTGACGATTTCGGTTTGTTGAGGAACACAATTTTACTGGTAAGTTCTCTGAAAGGGCTTCATTGCACTTATTTTCGTTTATCTCTTTTTTTTTTTGCTTAGTGATGTGCTCCTTTTGTAAGCTGCGTTTCGAATCGTTTCCACGCCCTTTTTCTGGTGTCAGATAAACTGTCCCCATTTTTAGTACTGTCCATCAGTAAGTGTCAACATATTCTCGCCTGCCTATCGCTTCCGAGTCCCGCCTCTTGACCTATCGCTGTTTACCTGGCGCAGCGAGCTTTAGAGTGCATATCCTCTGGCGCAGAAGGTAATACAGTACCGGTAGTCTTGCAGATGCGAATGCTCGTTTTATTTCCACTGCCTAATAAATGTAAATACATCCTTCATAACTAACCGCTAGCCAACTCGCAGCCGTCCAACCCATTATCTAGCTATTGTGTGCAGTGTGATCGTATAAAAAGCCTCTGACGACAGTTTCTTGCAGGTGTATCGCTGTCTTCTGTGGACCAGCCAATAGACTTCGTCGACCGCGCCCCCTGGCCCCTTCCTCGAGTGGATACGCTCAGTGGTGTGGATTAGGGTAGAGTGGTGTGAACTGTGGAGTGGACAGCTTGGTCAGTGGAGTGGATTAGAGTGGAGTGGACAGTTCGGTCAGTGGAGTGGATTAGAGTGGAGTGAACAGCTCGGTCAGTATGGACGGGCCACTGACCGATAACGCCGGCTGCCCCGGTCGAGCCGTCGAGTGGCCGGCGTCTCTGCTACTGCGTACCGCGCCGGTCCGTCGGCGGACACTCGCTCGGGGACCGGACAGTTGCCGAGGGAGCCCCGGTGGTCGGTCGGAGGAACAGACGGAGCGGCATTCAGGGTGAGTACCGAATCAGCGCGCCAGGCTTGGTGCTAGTAGCAGCAGTCACTTTTGAACGGTGTGCCGTTTCTTGATGATGAATGTGCCTCCTACCTTCTTTCTTCTCCATGTTATAGTGAGGTAGGAACCTGGATCACACTCTGCAGGGTTACACTGCCTTTTAGTGCATAGTCGGTGCGCCCTCCCCTGTGGGCGCAAAATGACCTAAGTAGTCGGCGCGCCCAGCTAAAGCCCCAATAAACAAACAACGAACGCCCTTCCCCCGGTCCGTCCGTTCGTCCTACGACAGAGCCTTTGCTACCAAGACAAGCCACCTGTCTCGGCCTGACAACGTAGATCATCGATCATTAAATCGCAGATCGAGCGGTATCGACCGCTTTACTCCACCTTCATCCACCCTGAAATATGTAGAGCTGTCGAGGCTGCAGACAATGCCTCTTGCGACTGACAATACTGCACACCTGTGGGCTGTGACAGGTGTCGTCAGCGCTGACGAATGACACTGCGTATCGTGATGCACGAGCTTTGGGCTGACTCAGCCGATTTCGGATCCAACACACCGATCGGGTGTGCATAGCGAGGCATAGTCTTATAATGTACGGAGTTAGGGCTGTCTGTCCATTTGTTCCTTTTTAAGACACAGCTAGTAAGTGCTCAGGGCCGGAACCGTTGCCCTCCCCGCCTCTCCTTCTGTTGGCAGAGCTCCAACTATACATAGGTGTCGCTGCGGCCGGTAGCCTTCCGTCGGTGTCCCCCCGCCGGCTGTAGTGAGGGAGGGGTAGGGAGGGGGACCGGCCGGCCGCCGTAGCCCGCCGTAGTCAGTTGCCAGCGGTCGGTCGGGGCGTGCGGCGGACGGTGGAGGTGCCCGCGGCGATCGATACGGTTCCACGTGCCGCGGACGGATCGGACGGACACACACAGGGTAGGTGTTGGACGGACGGGGCAGTGGGTTTTGCGGAGGCTAGGAGAGGAGCGACCATGGTTAAACTTGGCAAAGATGTGTCGATTTTTGTTCAATGAGTAGGTTCTATCTCGCTGTTAGGTAAGTATATAGGACGAATGCCTCTTGTTCGCCCTTACGATGAAACAGGCAGGTCTGGCGTGGACTGTTACCGGCATCAGTATGGGATTCGGCAATGGAACATCAATGCAATGAGTTGTGGTATATGATTGTCCTCGTGATTTGCTAAGGATAGTCCAAAACCTCAGCCGATATTATGCTCGACCGTCAGTGAGCGCCGGCTTTACCTATGTCATTTCTTTTAGTACATCTATGTGGTAATGCGGGAAACGTATTAACCCGCGCCCGGCTGGGGGTCCTGGATTTCCACGCCCTGCTGGGGGGGGGGGGGTGTTTGAACACCCCCCTTGTAACTCGGCTCCCGGGCCACGTAGCGATACGCGGAAGGCGGCGTTCGAAAGAGCGTCAAAAATAATGACGAAATCACTTCGGTCAATTTTTTGGTCAGGTCAAAGGTCAGGTCACCAGAGGTCATTGAAGGCAAAATTTCGCCGATTTCCAGGTCGAATGTCGAAAATTTCCAAGAAGCCAACGCATAACTCGTGAACCAATAGAGCTACAGCGCCGCGGAAAAGCGCGTTCGATAGCCCTTTTAACGCCCTTTCTGAGTAATTTTCTCAGATTTGACCTAACGTCAACGGTTTTGCCTGCAGGGGGCAAAAACTGCAAAAATAGCAGATTTTTTCGGAAACAGTTTTTCTGCAATAACTTTTGACCCAAGCCTTGTACGAGCTTCCTTTTACCGCCATTGTGTTCGTCTTGTCAAGACGCATCGAATGAACTATAAGTTGACCTTGAAAGGTCAACTTGAAAATTTGACCTCAGGTCAAGGTCATGACCTGACCGGAAAGGGTCATGTTGCATATCAGTCGATCCGTATCGTCCAGCTGAACACATCTAAGGCGTTTTCATCGCTCTAGCATGCCTCTATCAAAAGTTATTTGCGAAAGACTGTTAGATACCATTCGTGACCTAAGATGACCTCAGGGCATAAACAAGGGTCACGGACACCATTTTCATGTTCAGTGTGTCTAAACCACTTGTAATTCGGTGTTTGGGAGTGTTTATAATGTTTTTTGTCCAAAAGAGGCGCATTTCAATTTTCTCCCATTGACTTATAATGGGGAGGTCGCAAAATTGACCTGACCTTAGGTCATCGATATCAAAATTCTGAGATAAACATTTTGTACATGCTATTGCTCTTAGCAATCGCTGAAAGTTTCAAAGTGATCGGTCACTCGGTGTAGCTATGACAGACATTGAAACTTTTTATGAGGTGAGGTCACTTCAAGTGACCTGGTGACCTGACCTTGAATGACCTTGGTCTGAAATTTTCACAACATGTGTAGAATTGATGTATGATAAGGTGTACCAAAAACGGCGGCGCTCCGCGCCGCCGTTTTTGAGATATTCGCGAAAAACCACAAGGGGGGGGGTGTTCAAACACCCCCCCCCAGCAGGGCGCGGGTTAAAATAACTGCTCGCAGCTGCCAATTGCCATACGAAAGTATACCCCCAGACCTTGTTGATGTCTCATGCATCGATACATGTGTATCAGCACGTAACCCGACCCGATGGACGCTATATGACCGGCCGTAATAGGCAGTCTGGCGCACCCGCCGCGATATAAACATTGCACACCGGTCTGGCGTCGGATATTATCACAGACTAAACCGGCACTATCGCTATCAAAGTATAATACCTACCTGGGAGGGGCGTTGGCGGTTACTGTGACGGCGTGTGCAAAAAATGCCAGTCCCTTACTGCCGCTGAGGTCTAACCTTAGATACAACAGAGGGAATATCGATTTTACTACTTTTCCGTGACAGTTTTGGGCCGGTATGTCCATATCTTGGCAATGGGAATCTCAAAGTCACACTCACGGCTAACATATTTGAAACCGTTTTCTATTCAAGCGCTGCTCGGGGGAATTCGTTTGCTCACTGCTCAGTATGTTCAGAACCAGTTTCCAACCAGGCGTCTGAATCAAACCATATGCTGCAGTGCAGTGCAACATACACATACACATGATACCAGAGACGTAAATGGCCCGGGACACACCGATTCATTTGAATTTGACCGTGCACTTGAAATCGGCGACAAGTGCATAAAGTTGCAGTCACTCGTCTACTAAAATTAGACATCACCGCGGAACTGGTATCAGTAGTGACTGTCTGCCGGATTTAAGTTATCTCCGTCCCGTCCTTCCCCTCCCCCCCCCTCTGCAGAGTCTGCAGTGTCGACTGCCGGATGCCGGTGCGGTCGTTGAACGCTCCGGCTACGTGTCCTGCTCAGACGCCGTCCCGGTCTGCTGAGTGCCTACCGGCCGGTTGGTGCTGACTGCACAGGGCCGGTCCTGCAGCTCCCAGTAGCCGGGGTCTGAGCGGCGGGCGCGGCGCCGGCGCGGCGGTCCGGCAAACCTGTCCTGGCGGCCTGATAGGTAATAGTGCAGTCCGGCAGCGCTGCTGTTGATAGGGGCCCATAGTGATTGCAGCGGTCGTCTGTGGGCAGTAAATCTCATGCGTCCGTGTTTCAAGCAAGAGCCTTGGGTCTTATTGCATCGTTGGTTTTCAGGTGTTTTACCTGACCTCCCTATTTCAACATCCTACCCCCGCCACTGTCTGTTGCTACCCGGCTTACGTGACTGTATGCCGTTACCTTATCACATGGACATGGGAGTCTTAGCCATGGTATCCACGAAACCGTCGGTGAATTACGTTCCTTCCCCTCCCCTCTCCCTACCCTGGAGTAACCTCTCGGCTCGCCCCCGGTCGCTGCCAAGTTCAAGGCCAGCTCTGATGACGGAAACGATCGACCCGCGCCGCCGCGCTCGCCCGCGTGATGGCGAGATCGGCCTGTTTGCGGGTGGTTCCCGACAGACTTATCGGCGCGGAGACGCGGAACGTAGCTTCGGGTACGGTGTTTAAGCGGCGGGCGTCGGTTTATCAGTGTGGTGGAAACCCAGTGATGGTCTGTTTCAGTAATCCCTGAGATAAAATACTGGACGCGGGACAATGTTCCAAGGTTAGGAGTTCAATTACGGATAACCGACACCACGAGGGAGCTTGGATCTCTGGCCAACGAACTGTGTGGGCTTTTGTTACGGTGTTTATGAGTGACGTGACGCCTGCCTTTTCAGCGTTACCATGGGAACTGATGACTGCTCCCCGGTCCTGAAGCTCTCGGAGGTTAGTGGAGCGCAGGATGACCGCTTCAAGGCGCTCGGACAGTTCTTCGAGAAGAAGTATGGCCAGCCGCCCGAGTTTTACGTCCGTGCTCCCGGCAGGTAAGCGAATTGATTAGAAACACAGACAATGTGCAAGTTTGCTTGCGTTTGGTTGACAACAGGCTGAACCGGAACATAGATGCTTGTATGGCTCATCAGGTATTGCTCTTAACGCTGAACAATAATCGTAGCTCATAAATGACAATACGTGAAGCTTGTCATGTGGAGAGCATTGGTGTGATTATTTATCTACTCTAGGCATGATTTGGAGCCAGCGTCGTAGTAACAATCCGACACTCGATCGATTGACGCTGCTCCTGCCATCAACTTAGACAACAAACAATGATTATTTTTCCGGCCCCATCTGACCCTGTGTCTCTGTCCGGCGGCAGGGTGAACCTGATCGGCGAGCACATCGACTACTGTGGCTACTCGGTGTTCCCAATGGCCGTGCAGCAGGACATCGTGATGGCCGTCAGAGGCGTCAGCAAGCCCACCATCGCGCTGGCCAACATGGACCCCAGCTACGCCGACTTCAGCTGCTCCACAGAGAAACTCAGGTCCGTCGCCGCTGGACGGCTCTTTAACAAAAAAGAAAAAAAAATCGTGACTTCATGACTTCTACGGTTTTTTTTTACCCTCATTGATGATACTATAACCCTTCTGTTGTGCATGTAACGTAGCGCAATCAATTCAGTTGTTAGCTCCAAATCATCAAGCCGTTTTCTCACTCATATTGCGACGATGACCAAAGGCAGACAACTCTAGCTCATCGTAGAAATAGCATATCATCGTCCTCATTTCACAACACTGCTGTACTCACTGCCCTCTCTCCCTGCAGTGTGGAGCGCCCCTCCGGCTCTGTCCCCTGGTCCAGTTACGTGCTCTGCGGGGTGCTCGGTGTCCAGGAGCACTGCCGGCTGGCGGCTCTGCGCGGACTCCAGGTGGCCGTCTCCGGCTCTATCCCGGCCTCCAGCGGTCTGAGCAGCTCCTCAGCACTGGTCTGCGCCGCCAGCCTGGCCACCCTGCACGCCAACCAGGTGAGGACCGAGACCCAGCGAGGTTTTGGGAGACCGGGGACGGTACGAATGACACCGAGGGAGTAGTGTGGCTGGTCCGGTGGGCCAGGAGGGAGAGGGCGAGGTTTGGGAGTACGGTCGGCAAAGCGACAGCTCAGTTGCACGCTCACAAGCGTTCGGTCGAACTTCTGGCAATTTCTCATCTAGCTGGTCGCTGATTGCCTGCTAACTGTGCACCATAGTATGTGTATCTGTATAGGTATAACTGTATGACTTGTTTCCGGGGCCCAGACCACAACACCAGGTCTGTGTATCCTGCAGTGTGTATTTACAGTCTATCAACTGACACCCGCTGTGCTACTGTGTCGTATCGGTGCTGATATACACGGCATATGACGGCGGGTATAACGGCCCTGCACTGTGCCGTTCAAACAGTACCTTAGCTCTGAATAAGCAGCTCGTGTAACCGTGGATACACCGCCCGTGTGGCCGATATGTCGGTATGTGAACGTGTCTCCGTCTGTTCAGGTGTCGCTCTCCAAGTCGGAGGTGGCCGGAGTATGTGCCCACGCCGAGCGGTACATCGGGACTGAGGGAGGTGGCATGGACCAGGCCATCTGCTTCCTCGCCAAAAAGGGTTAGTCAGAGGTCTGAGGGGATGGTAGGTAACCCTCACGTGGCTGTTGATCAATGAGGCGCATTTGCAGTCCCAGCAGTCGTTGCATTATGGGCTAAGTAGCATGCCGGTCGTATTTTAAACGCATTTGAAGGAGGAGCACAAATCGACATGAGCTGTTCAGAGTGCGTGTCTCCAGCTGTTGAAATTACATCCAGCTGTTGAAATTACACTGTTAAAAGTTAAGATGCTTGTGACACTAATTGATTGCTAATTTATACCGCTAAACCCACGCCAAGCTTTCTCTCCGTCAGTTTCAGCGAATGCATATCTGACTGTAGTTTCTCTGAGAGCTGACCTTTTAACCAACTTATCGCAGGCACTGCCAAGCTGATCGAGTTTAACCCGCTGCGCGCGCACGACGTGCAGCTGCCGCCGGGGGCCGTGTTCGTCATCGCCAACAGCCTGGCCGAGAAGAACAAGGCCGCCTCGTCCGACTACAACTGCCGCGTCATGGAGTGCAGGCTCGCCACGCAGGTCAGTCGGGGCGGCTGGCCGGCGACGCAACCGGAGGAAGAAGTGGGCGATAGTGGTGTTGTAAGACGGTTATCGTGCAGTGTTAAATTTGTGGCAAACTGATGTGGTGAATGAAAGCGATGCATACGGATGCATTCCAAATATCAACATGCTGTTCCCGCCCCCCCCCCCCCCTCATAGTAGCTGCTGGCCCTCAGACTTCTGTACGGAGCCCAGCCCAGTGACTGACCCCTCCCGTCCACAGCTGTTGGCCAAGAGTCGCGGCCTGGAGTGGCCCAAGTTCCGCCGGCTGGGGGACCTGCAGAAGGAGCTGAAACTCGAGTTCAGCGAGATGGTCGACATGGTGCGGACAGTGCTGCATGAACAGCCCTACTCCAAAAAGGAGGTGTGTACTAGAAGGGAGTCTGTGTTGAACAATTAGGTCTAGCTGCAGAGGAGGACCGCTTTGCGCCGTTTGCGGTGTTACCGAACCCTTGCTGTTCGGACAGGTTTTACCAATGCCGTTTAAGTAGCTTCCACTGCCCTCTTTTCGTTCAGCACTGAGCGAACATTTCATTTACCTTCCATATCACAGAACTCTATGTTCAACTACTCGCTGGCCAGTCCTGAGATGAGATATCTGTCATTACTAACCGTCCCTCCCCTCCCCCCAGATCTGCTCCGAGCTGGGCGTCACGGAGCAGCAGCTGGACGAGATCACCCTCAGCGAGAACACGCGACACATCGACCAGTTTCTGCCCTACCAGCGCGCCCTGCACGTCTTCTCAGGTGAGTGCCGTGCGTGTTCTTAGGTTAGTACCGAACGTCTTCTCAGGTGTGTACCACACATGTTCTCACGTGAGTACCGTGCGTGTTCTCAGCTTAGTACCCCACGTGTTCTTAGGTCAACACTGATTGGGCCAATGAGCGGTGCCGGTCTTGGCGTGCGTCAGTCCCTTATAGTTTGCCGCGCCAGCCCGTGTATTTTATCCACGCTTCACGGCCCCTGCCAGCCAGGCTCACATGGTCGTCCACGTTCGTTACACGGCTAACTTATGGTCGTGGATAGACTCGCGCAAGGTAGTAGTCGGTCATAAATAGCCGCGCACGACGCAGCGCGTTGAACTGGGATGGCAGTGACCGCGCGCTATGGGGTTATTTTGGGACAGAGTGCCTGTGAGGTACCCGCGGGCCGAGCGTTGACTCCCCCTTCCCTCCCTTTACAGAGGCGGGCCGAGTGTTCGCGTTCCGCGCCGTCTGCGAGTCGGGCGGCGAGGACGTCCTCTCCCGGATGGGCCAGCTGATGAACGAGAGTCACGCCTCGTGCCGTGACCAGTACGAGTGCAGTCACGAGCTGCTGGACACCATCTGCCGGATAGCCGAGGGAGTGGCGTACGGCGCGCGGCTCACCGGCGCCGGGTAAGAAACGGGGAGGGGGGGGGGGGGGGGAGTAAGGGTAAGGGTGGGTGAGGCGGCGAGAGCATAGGTGGGACGAGTGACTAGAGTAGGAAGGGCGAAAAACTAGGGGGAGGGTGAGAGCTTGATTGATAAGGACAGAGACAGAGGAGGTGTGGGGACCGGAAAAAGGTACGGACCGCACCCTGAATAGTGATGGTGGAGAGTTTGGGTTCAAGCCTGTTATTCTACCTTGTTGTTTAGGCGATGCTACGTGTTCTTGTGAGGTCTTGTGGGAGCTGTCAATGACTATCCTCGTCCTGAGCTCCCCGTTCCCCTGTTTTTCAGCTGGGGCGGCTGCACGGTGGCCCTGGTGCCCGGAGACCGAGTAGACGAATACATCAACAAGCTGAAGACGGAGTTTTACGCTCGCCGGCCGAACGCCGAGGGTCTGGACCTGGACACGGTGGTGTTCCGGACGGAGCCGGGCGACGGGGCCGCCATCTACGTGTAGCGCCGGCCGTGTGGGGAGCGGCTATACACACGGACGGCGGCGGCTCCGGTGGACAGAATATGGCCGGTGAGAGTTGTGCTTTCCGAGAGTACAACGCATCATGTGCTGTTAATGATTACGCTAGCACGATCATTCACCGAAGAAAAACGCTATAGCACAGGCAAATAATGTGGCAGATTGATATTTTTGAGAAGCTTAGGTCAACGATGGACCCGTCTGATCAATAATGTCGCAGGATAGTGAGGGCATTTTTGGCAGGCTTGCAGCGAGTACTGCCGATACTTTAGAGCAGTATTTTCCTCCAGCTGTGTCCCATTTTGACATTTCATTGCCTTTTGCTAAATGCTTTTATGTCATATTGCATCGATCGCACTGGGCAATACAATATCTGTATGACCAATGGTAGGGTATTTTTAACATACTGATGACTCGCCGTAACTTTAGTCCCTCAGCTGGTATTATTGTGTCCGTACAGTCTGTGTGTGACCGTGATGTCACGTTCCGACTGTTAACATCGCAGGTCAGCCCACTTAGCCAGCCGAGCGCCGGCTGATACTCTTCTGCGGTCTATGTACTTGAAACAATTTTACTCCAATTAGGTACATATTCAGTGCCCGTTTCAATGCAATACTTTATTTTGCTCGAGACATAGATAAATGGTCAAACAAACTCAAAAGGACATTGTCTAAACATCGTAGTCTTGCAAAACCGATTTGCACCATTGCTCCACGTCAAAGATATTCGTTCAAAACCGATAGATAATATACTGATTGATAAACTGGAAAGTGTAAGCACGCTACCTAAAATCATGGAATTCCTGCATATTATTTTGTCGGCCAGTAAAAAGGGCATATCTCAAATAATCTCTGATAACAATGGACTAGCTACATTCAGACATGGGGTACGACCATGTGCGGATCAACACTTCATGCTTTCTGAGGACTCGTCCTAGAGCTACGCTCATGCGTATTTCCTGAAAAGTGACTAGATAAAGTAGCAAACGTAAATAAGAATGCGACAGGGATGGTTAGCTAACACTTAACATGTTCCCACGTCATTAAGGGCTTTGTACAACATTGTGACCCTTGGTTTCACTTCTACTAAACTACGGAAAAGAGCGACGACCGATCCAACAATCACTATCACAGCATACAGGCATGGATCTCTAAGGCACTTACGTGGTACAATAAACAAAGATACACTTTAACTATTAAAATATGACTACAGTTGTGCATGCAACATACCCCATGTTGGATGTAAACACAATGTGATGATCTACGTCTCAGGTATCTACTTCTATAGGATTAAAGCTACTAATGGTTAACGTTTACCTCTGCAACATGATGAAAAAGAAAAATCAAACCGTTTCGTGGTCAGATATACAGGTGATGAAGCGCTGTTCCATGCTAAGATGATGCACTACCGCCAGTCTGAAAACAAACGAACAAAGTTGTTAACAGCACAGGAACGCCAAATATGCAACAACTCCAAATGAAAGTGACAATTTCCTATCCAGCAGTGACAATTTCCTATCCATGGCGGACGGGGCGGGTGCGCCACCAGCGTTCGGCCCCATTTACGCCTGAGGTGCATCTAAGACGCGCCTTATTTTCGAGAGCAGATTTACTACACTCAATTTCAACTTTTATACGCGATTCGGACTGCGAAAGAATATTACTCACCTTTGATTTCGTGTTCCATTTCCCGCGCTAATCCAGGTCCATCATGGGCATGGAGTCATCTGACTCCTGCTCGTCCTTCGCCTTTTCCGCCTGCCGGGTCTCCTCGGCCTCCTTCTCCGCCTTTTCCTGCGCCTGTTTGGCCTCCCTCTGCAGTCGCTGCTCCTCGCTCTCTCTGGCCGCCTGCTCTGCCCCCTCTGTCTCCGGAGCCTGCTCGGCCGCCGGCGGTCCCTCCGCCTCGTCCACGTCAGACAGCTCCAGGGCGGCGGGGGCGGGGGCGGCGGCCGGGGCGGGGGCGTCACCCGGCGGGCTGACCGTCAGCTGGGGCGCCGTCTCGTCCGCGTAGTCGATCGTGAAGTCGTCCAGGTTAGCCAGAGGATCGTCCGAAGTCCTGTATGGGAGAGACGGGAGCACGTTATAGAAAGGTGTTAATATTGTTTTTATTGCATGATGAGGGAGGAGCCTGAAATGCGCGCAGACTGCTGGGATCCTAAAAATAAAAGATAAAAGCACAAATAACAGCGCGCAGAACCGAATAATATTGTATGCACTGGCTTAAGCACTTCGTATCACTTAACGTCTTAATGATGATGTTCGTCCCTGAGGGTTTAAGCTTAGCCGCTCATTTCTGAGCAGTGGCATCTCACATTGTGAGTACTTACACCTGGATGACGGAGGGCGCCACCCTGTGGTCGGGTTAGTTAGTATCAGCAGTGGTGTATTTGTGAGTACTTACACCTGGATGACGGAGGGCGCCACCTTGTGGTTGGGGTCGATGATGGACATGCGGATGTTGAACGAGTTGATTGTGCCGGGTGTGAAGGGCGGCGGAGGTACGGCGTTAATGGGCACCTTGAACGCCATGTGATTCACGTCCTGCACCTTGCCTGCCGGGGCCGACAGCGAGGGGAGAGCGTCAGCTGGTGGTAAAACGTCACCATAGAGGCACTAAAACGGCATCATTTCTATAAAGGGACGCGGATGTAGACCTTGCTACGTCAATGGTCAACACCAGCGCCTCCAGGGAAGATACTAAATCCTCGTCTCTCGACAATAATGTAATGGCGTTAGCATTAATACGGACATATAATTGGTAAACCTCTTCCTTAGCGACGAAACTGACCTTATCGACACAGGTAAAATCGACAGCACGTTCGTAATGAACTGCGCCATGAGCCATTGAGCTGACACCTCAGCTAACTGCCCCCTACCTCCCCACCAACACACACAGGCACGCACGCACCTTTCTGTTCGTTGCAGCAGTAGCTCCATATAAGGACCAGGGCGCCGACAAACAGCAGCGTGGCCAGAACACAGATCAGCACGATCGCCCACAGCGGCAGACGGCGCTTCTGTGGCGACAGAAAACGGAACACTAACGTTAGAAACTGACCGTGCTGTTGTACGAGGGAATCGACTGCGGATAAAAAACGGGGATGACAGCCATGAAAAGTAGGCTTGGAAATTCAACCGACTTGGCTCGTTGTTCTTCAGCTGGCTTGACTGCCCATTTCCCAACTGCCGTGAAGGAAAAAATCAAATGTAATAACTTTCTAACCACCCGGCTGTCTCCCAGCACCCACCCGGTCCCCTCTTCCCATCCCTCCGCTCCCCCGCGCCCCTCACCGGCTCTCGCCGGACGGCGCCGTCGACCAGCAGCGAGCCGTCGAAGCGGTAGCCGGTGCCGTCGGCGGCCGTCATGGTCAGCTCGCTGTCCAGGTCGGCCTTGAGACGGTCCACGGTGGCATCGTGGTCGTCCTCGGACCGGTCACGGGTCGTGGCAGACACCACGATACTGCCTGCGGGACGGAGGGCGGAGGGGGGGGGGGGGGGGTGCGGCGCTTGGATAATCAAATTATTCATTTACACATAACAAAGGCGGTCAGCGAGGGTTAGCCGATATCAGACGCGGGTTTGGGACGATAAGAAACGGACAGCGGAGCAAAGGACGGGTGCCGCCCGATTCCCCACCCCCGGTCCTCTGAAGCTGGTCTGCGAAAGGAAGACGCGGTAGACGACGCATGTCACAAGTCCTATCAAATGAAGCTCGATTCGACTTATTTTCACGCTTGGCGGTCTAGCTAATGTGATCTTCCAGCTATTCCCACTACCCTTCAAACTGATCGTTTTCCGGTGCGTTACCTTGGCTGATGGAGACGGCGGTGAAGTGGCTGTCGTATCGGCCCTGCAGGAACCGGGCCACCTCAGCCGAGAAGGGCAGCTTCCTATCCGCCACGGTGGAGAAGTCGGCTCGGATCCGCAGACCGATGGTGTGCACCACGGGCAGACTGGACGGACTCAGAGACTGGATCTGGTACGGGCCTATAAAACAGACAGACGGGCGAGTTAGACTGGGGAGTCTGGCGAGTCAAAGACTGGACGGACTCAGAGACTGAATTTAGACACGTTAACGAAAGCTGGCCCGTGCTTGCAGTCTCTTCAGCATCTTGCATGAATGCTGATTGACATGCATCAGCTGAAAGCTATCGCACACGCCTGTACCCGTCATCCACTCGTCCGGCCCGGCTCACCGGCGATGGTTCTGAGTCGTAGGCTGGGGTCGTCGGGTGTGGTCAGCTCGAACTGAATCAGGTAGCTCCAGCCGGCCGGCGAGATGAGCAGGTTGTCAAACACTACCGCCGGGTCGTAGGTCAGCTCACCGCTCGGAGGCGCCAGCTCCAGCCGACGCGTGCCCTGCCGAGGGGACGGAGGGCGTGAAAAGAACGGAACGGTGACAGCTACAGTGTACGCCACAAACTATTTTGAGCTTAGATACGGAAACAAAATCACAACTTCTTCCAGAAAGAAACCAATGAACACTGCACTCGAACCATGGTCGTGCAGCCTCTACGTGACTAAAAACGTTCGAGCACACTAAAAGAAAATCGTACCGACACAGCTGCGCCGCATCGACCGCACCTCTAGCTGGTCTCTGACTGACCTGGAGCGCGGCGCTGGGCTTTCCGTTGGCGTCCTTGTACAGGCTGGCCCGGAAGATCCACGAGTGTCCGCGCAGGGCGGCCGCCGTGGCCAGGCCGCCGGTGGCCGGGTCCCTGATCTCCACACGAACACCGGGACTGGAGGAAGAGACAGAGACAGTATCAGAGACTGAGACAGAGACACCGTCAGGGACTCATACAGTGGACAGACGGCCGTGGCCAGGCCGCCGGTGGCCGGGTCCCTGATCTCCACACGAACACCCGGACTGTGGACAGAGACAGAGACAGTATCAGAGACTGAGACAGAGACAGACGGACGGCCGTGGCCAGACCGCCGGTGGCCGGGTCCCTGATCTCCACACGGACTCCGGGACTGTGGACAGAGACAGAGACACACTACACAGTCAGGGACTCATACAGTGGACAGACAGACGGCCGTGGCCAGACCGCCGGTGGCCGGGTCCCTGATCTCCACACGAACACCCGGACTGGGGGCAGACAGAGTCAGTATCAGAGACTGAGACAGAGACACCGTCAGAGACTGGGGACAGAGACAGAGACACCGTCAGAGACTGGGAACAGAGACAGACGGACGGCCGTGGCCAGACCGCCGGTGGCCGGGTCTCTGAACTTCAAACGGACTCCGGGACTGCGGACAGAAAAAGATAGGCAGGGTCATCGGCCAGACGAGTTACTAAACGGCTTTCTAAAACAAATAAGGAATGTGATTAATATCCGTTATCGAACAATGTCAAGTCTCATTGGTGCCGTTGAAGCGCTTATCGCTGATAATCTGACCCTACTGCGTACCTGCGTTACCCGCCCACCCCCACCACCCAGTCTCTCTGACCTGATCCTGGCGCCGGGCGCGTGCCACCGCTGGCCGGGATCGCCGGCCACCCTCAGCTCCAGCTGCTTCTTCAGTGTGGCGAACGAGCCTCCCATCTCCACCGAGAAGTCGACATCGGCCGGCTGGACCACAGTGAACCGCAGTCGCAGTCCGGAGCCCACGCCGTCCACCATCAGACGGCTGAAGGTGGCCACGCCGTCCACGAACGGCGCGCTGTCCTGCAGGAGGCTGACACCGGCCGGCGGGGAGACCAGCTCGGCGCGCACCTGCCACGGGCTGGACGGGTGGCCCACAGCCGACATACGCTCACCCTGACAGAGACAGAGGGAGAGAGGGGTCAGTGAGGGGAGTGGAGGAGGTGGTGGTTGAGGCGAGAAGAGAGGAGGAAAGAAGAGGCAGGTTACAGGTCTGAATGGTAAAGATATGACAATGAGAAGAAAAACAGCCGGGAAATGTGTATTTGGAACATCGCGCCCCGTATTTCTCACCTGTGCGTTCTTCATGTAGAGTTTGATGAGTGGTGAGAGCCGGGTGAGCTCCTGCATCTCCCCGGACAGAGGTTCCGAGCCGAGCTCCATCTCGGCGGGCCGGTCGTAGCTGACCCCGCCGGCGGCGTCGGCCTCGGCCTCAGCCTGCTCCTGTTCCCGCTGCAGCTCCGAGTAGCTGCCGGAGTAGACACAGGGTTAGGTTAGGGGGGGGGGGGACTACCTCAGCCTGCTCCTGCTCCCGCTGCAGCTCCGAGTAACTGTCGGAGCAGACACACATACAGGGTCAGTAGAGGGGGAGGGAGGGGGACTACCTCAGCCTGTTCCTGCTCTCGCTGCAGCTCCGAGTAACTGCCGGAGTAGTCAGAGACATGGGTTCAGCTGAGGACGGGTGATTACCGTTCGATCGCTTCAGTAGGAGAGACTTATGAGCTAATTTCGAGGTCTCGTGTTGCTGAGAATTAACCAGTTGGCGACCAGCAGCCGTGTGTATGGCAGCTACGGCTCAGGCTGCGACGGTAACTCACGTTTTGACGCCTTCCACGCCGGAGAGGTCCTCGCCGCCGGTCTCGTTGGTGGCTCTGACACCGCCGGTCGGGTCGGTGGCCGGCGGCTCCGGGTCCACCATCTGTCAGCGGTGGGAGACAGTCAGACTGACCCAGACAGACCGTCAGACTGACCCAGACAGACCGTCACAGACTGACCCAGACAGACCGTCACAGACTGACCCAGACAGACCGTCACAGACTGACCCAGACAGACCGTCACAGACTGACCCAGGCAGACCGTCAGACTGACCCAGACAGACCGTCAGACTGGCTCAGACAGACCGTCACAGACTGACCCAGACAGACCGTCACAGACTGACCCAGACAGACCGTCACAGACTGACCCAGACAGACCGTCACAGACTGACCCAGACAGACCGTCAGACTGGCCCAGACAGACCGTCACAGACTGACCCAGACAGACCGACAGACTGGCGGCTGAGACAGACCGTCACAGACTGACCCAGACAGACCGACAGACTGGCGGCTGAGACAGACCGTCAGACTGGCGGCTGAGACAGACCGTCACAGACTGACCCAGACAGACCGTCAGACTGGCCCAGACAGACCGTCACAGACTGACCCAGACAGACCGTCAGACTGACCCAGACAGACCGTCAGACTGGCCCAGACAGACCGTCAGACTGGCGGCTGAGACAGACCATCACCCCGCCAGTGCGGTCCGGGATCGGAGGCTCCGGGTCCACCGGCAGAGGTGAATCGTCAGATTGTTTAAACTATATCCATTATGCAATTATGCATTGTGCAATGTGTAATTGACTCCATGGAAGCCATGCTCGCTCCACAGCGACGCGTTAGAATGGCTGTTTTCTTATCAACATCCAATGTCACTTTGTAAATGTACTGCGCAATTGACATTTTCGAACCAAGTTAATACAAATTAAGCCCAATATAAAACTGTTCATTTCTGAATTAAAACGATCGAAAAATGGGTTAAAACACGTGACCTTCAGCTTAAAACAATAGAGTCTACCCTACATCATCAAACTAGCAGCTATCTTCGAACACGCCCGTCCATCGCCCACCTGAATGTCCTGGACGGAGACGCCGAGCGCCTCGTCCATCTGACCCGTCTGGAAGCTGTCCACCACTTTGGCCTGCGTGCTCTGCAGCTCTTCCATGGACAGGCCGTCCGTGCCGTTACTGGACGTGTTGGAGGAGGGCGCCGAGCCGATCTCAAACTGGGGGCACAGGCAGGGGTAGTGAGGCACCGACGGGGATTATCGGGAATGATAGTACTGCTGCGTGCTTCGCCCCAAACTACCGCACCAGACCAGTGATTCTGTTAGGTCGTCAATGCAGTTGGTCAGGCGAGATCCGTGGTACCTCCCGTGACTTTCCCGTCTGCCCCGTAACTCTCCTTTTGTATTGTAGCCCCTCTTTTGCCCCTCCTGTGACTCCTCAGTCTCTCCCATGACCCCCTTCCTCCTGCCCCCACCGGTGACCCCTTCTCCTGCCCCTGGTAACCCTCTCCCGTGACCCACCTCCACCTCAGTGCTGGCGGCTTACCGGCGGCGCCTCCTGTCCTGTCTCGTGCCCCCCCCCCCCCCCTCCTCCCCCCGTGACCCACCTCCACCTCTGTAGTGGCGGCGGCCTCCCGGCGGCGCCTCCTCCTCCTGCGCCGTGCGGTGACCGTGTCCTCGCGCACCACATTGGCCACCCGCAGCTGGGAAGGACTGATAGACAGCAGGTCCGACAGACGGTTCAGCACGTCCGTCTCGAAAAAGTCCGCCTCCGAGACGAAGCCCATCTTGAGCACAATCACCGGCTGCTGTTTGACCTCGATGATGCCCGGGCCACGCAGAACCACGTGCAGGAAGCCCTCTCGGCGCATAAAGTAGTTCTCGCCGTGCTTCTGCCGGCCCGGAGATAGCAGAACTGGTGAATTATGTAGCACTGAGACGAAGACAATCAAAGAACGTACATTCTAAATACAACTTAAGTGGTAATTCAACCGTTTATTTTGAAATACATAAGAAAAAATAGAAGGACTTTGAGAAACGATAAAATGGCAAATCGAATTATGCTGAAGTCAGAACATACGATAGTCAATGGTGAACCATTAATCATGCACAGCACTGACGTACGGGAATTCGATACAATGAAACGAGTAATTTCACTCACGGTCGACGCGACTGTCGGCATGAACTCTTCATTGGGGTTGTCCGACTGGATGATGTTGGAGGTGGCCGGGTCGACGTTATTTGGATTGACGAACTCTCCCTCGTAGTACACATCGTACCGCTGTGTCTTGGGGTACCACAGCTTCAGCACGATCGTCTACCGAAGATATGACGAAACGAAATGTTAGCGGACATGGTATGACGACGGGGTTCGACCCGTTCGAGACCAAACGGCGTAGTCTTTTCTTATTTCTCCGGGTTTTAAGCAAAATGTACAGGCGTTTGTCAAACTGTTCTGATCACACCTTAGCAGAAGTTTGGCTAGAAAAAAAACGCATTGAAATTACGAGCTTGATGCGAGTTAGAACCCAAGTAAACGTCTTACGTTCCACTAATCAAACCCAACCTAGAGTAACAACCCTTTTGCTTTTGTCGTAAATTGTGGCCATCACAAAACAAATGGTATTTGGCAGGGTCCTCCACACCTCAACGTCTTGAAGGGAAGGTGTGTAGAAGTGAGAATGAGACCAGATCGAAGTGATTATGTTCACTTGTAAGTTTATCAAACACAGACATATCATTTGCCGTTTTATTGAACATTCCGGCGAAGCACTGCACACAGGACCGCAGAAGGGCGACGGTGACTCGATGGGGGACCGGTCAGCGAGCCGTGGGACAGGGAAGGGGACGGAGAACGCCTCCTGTGGCGGTGATTGTGTAACGCCCGGTGACACGGCACGGTAGCCTAGCGCACGGCGAATAACGTGAATAATGCCTTCTTGAATCGGATAACAGCACGATATATGAATAGACCAGAAGGCTAAACTATATTTTAAGCGACCTGCTTGCTCAAGTAGATCTTGCGGCTTCTAAAAATCTGTAATTTTTATTTAAAAAAAAACAAAAACGGTGGTCTGTTTGTGGAATCGGAATCAATAGACTATTCTGGTGTCTATATTAGCCGTCATCTGCCGGGGCTCGTTCGTTCACAGGTCGCTGTTGAAGTTTTGCGGTCTCATTTTGATCTCGGTGCGGTTCACGACGTCCAGTCCCCAGGTGAGCTCCCACTCGTCCGTCACGGGGTTCATGGCGCCGTTCAGATTCGCTCCGCCACCGGTCGCCGAGTAGCCCCAGAAGCCGCCGTAAGCACAGGGCAGTTTCGTGCAGGCGACGAACGGTTTGAAGCTGACCGGGCCCAGCTCATCAGAGGCGGCACCGGCCACCTTATCGAACTTGGTTCGGTAGCGGGACAGCGGCAGAATGTCGGAGATCAGGTAGACGGCCTCGATGTGCTCCCCGCCGCGCCACATATCCACGCGCATCTTCTGGTTGCCCATGTCATAGAGCCTCTCGAAGGTGGTGAGGCCCTGCCAGAACTCGCCGGAGGGGTCGCCGAAGCCGGTGAGGTACTCGTCGTGGAGCCGGCCGAACAGTGTGGCGGGCTGGAGTCCGCGGCGCTGCAGCAGCGTCCAGCCGCCCGAGCTGCTCTCCATGTCGCAGTAGACGGGCCGCTCGCTGGCCTGGATCGTGTACACGCCGCTGGTGGTGACGCCGACCTGTCGGAGGGCGGCGCAGTCGGGTGGCGGGCCGCACTCCCCAGACACCCACCAACACGTCTGCTCCAGTGTCCGGGCGCCGGTGCGCTCGAACCAGCCGCCCTCGCCGGCCGGCGGCGGGGCCTGCGGCGGCGCGTCCACCATCCGCCGGTCGGCCAGCCGGCACCAGAAGCGGCCCGAGTCAAGCAAAGCCGCTCCGGCCGCCTGGCAGCGCGCGTCCACCTGACACAGCGCGTGGCAGAGGCACGGCGAGCCGATCTCGGTGGCGCGGTACACAGCCGAGTCCAGCGGCGGCCACTGGGCGGCCACCACCGGGGCCAGACTGACCGCGCCGGGCGTGTCGAAATCCGCCCAGGAGGGGTCGGCGGCGGCCAGCAGCGTCAGAGTCAGAGAGAGCACAGCGCGGCGGGACAGAAGGGCCATCGCACGGCGCTGGACAGCCGCGGAGGATACGACTGGTCTACCGGCGGCCGGGGGAGCGAATAGAGGACAAAGCCTCGGAGAGTCAGCGCAGCCGACAGACCCTGAGGACAGTGACTGGGATCGGGCCGGCCGCTCAGCCGAGCTGACAGTCACGGGGCCACTAAACCGCCGATCTGTGTTGTGCCTTTGCCCCGGCGACCAAACTGCTCACTAACCTCCTATTGGCTGGTCACTTGCGCCATTTGAAATTGTTTCCAGTAACAAAGTTGCAACCTGCAATTTGGCGATACATTAGGCTCTACTCTTTGTCATACGGTCCCTAGTAGGGTAGAACATCAATCAGTCAAATGGCTGATTATATCAGCCAGGAAATAAAGCTGAACCGAATTTTAATGTGATGTAAGAAGCTGACATGGCGCAGGCCACAATACATTCTGTCATAGCTCACTTCCCAGTTCCCACCCACGATACTCCCACTAGCTAAAGAGAGCAGATATTTCCTCCTATAATTGCACTACCATGATTAGCGCGCAGTTGGGCGGCGCGATTTGTGTCCCTGGCCCTGGACTGGCTTGGAATGGCTAGTGGCACATCAATATGATCGGCACGGGGCACCTGGCCATCAACGTACCGTCCCACAGCAGAAATGAACGGCTATCGCAACCATCAATGTACCGTCCCACGGCAGAAATGGCCGGCTATCGCGACCATCAATGTACCGTGCCGCATAACTGACCGGCCATTGCGACCATCAATGTACCGTGCCGCATAACTGACCGGCCATTGCAACCATCAGTCAACACCGCTGGAAGGGCGGCAGCTCTAATTTGAGGTAATTCAAGGGCCAATCAATGATAATTGACGGTACAGCGGCTTACTATTGTAATGGTCACTTATATAGTATAACTCAGCGAAGGTAGGCTTGCCAGTCATCTATTCTTGGCACTGCGCTTCCGGAGTTAATGTTTCTAGATAAGCAATTCTATGATTTCATCGTCAAATATACTTTTTATAACCATTCCACTTCATTATGATCCGTGCCCGGTTGATCTCTGCCCTCCCCTCTAACCATGTCTGGCTATCTCCCCCCCCCTCTCTCTCTCTCTCTCTCTCTCTCTCTCCCCTCTCACCATGTCCGGCTCGGCGTTCAGGTAGTGGAAGCGCAGATGCTGCGGCGGCGTGCCCGTAAAGTGCATCTCGTACACTCGGCCGGGCGCCACCAGCGAGTAGAAGGTGCTGATCCGCTCCTGGCACGTGTAGCCGAAACACCACCCCATGTCCTGCGGACCGTTCAGCAGGTCCACGAATCCCGACGGGCCTGGAGAGCGGATATCAATCAGTGGCAGGCGGGTGGGTCACGCCGCTGTGTTTAGTAGTCATGGCGGGAGGAGACAAAGTCATCAATCTGATTACTGCTGATAAATAAGGCAGTAGGTTCGCAAAATATTTCAGGTATAAATCAAGTTGAGCAGCGGGTCGGAAAAATGAGGGAGTGGTGCACTCGACTTTCAGCTTAGTTACGTCTGATTAGCAAATAAAGCCGTATATGGTGTGAAAGCCTCTACTCTCCAATCTTATCTATCAGTCAGCATTACCACTCAGTGTATCTCCCATTTCCACCGTACCCGGGTCGGCGATAAGCGCGATCGGTGAGACGCGTCGGATCTCCGTGTCGGCGTCCATCGACTCGATGACCAGCATGCGCTGCTGTCCACCGGCACAGGCATACGAGCGCCAGTCGGACTTCCAGACGCAGTCGGTGCCGCGCCATACGCCTTAAACGGCCGCGCGGTCAGTGATGGGTCATTAGAGGGAGGTCAAGGGAGGGGTCAGTAACAGCCAACAGGTCACTGATGCGCACACTATAGGGTCAGTCACAGGTCACTGTGGTGGTGGAGCAGAGCTCAGGGACGGGTCCGGGGGGGGGGGGGGGGAGCAGTTAGTGACGGGTCACTGGGGGGGGGGGGGGGGTGACGGGGTTCAGTCACGGGTCACGACACAGGCAACACCCGATGCAGCGATCTTCACAGTCTTGTAACGTTTCTTCTTTGTCCAAAATGTTCCATCTAAAAGTAGAAGACCTCACAAGTAATGTCATAGTGTATCTACGAACCCGAGCGCACTATGTCGCCCTCTCCCACCTTTGTTTGGCATTTTGTCGGCGTACGGGATGCGGGCGCCACTGAGCTCTGTGACGGCCGACTCTGGGACGCGGTAGTAGCCGACACCGTGCCGCTGGTCGCCGTCAAACTCGTACTCGGCCTGGGGCACGGCCGTGCCGGGAGAGCCTGAGGGAGGCGCAGAGGGGAGCGTCACAGCTGGGGGAGGAAGGGAGGGAGGAGAGAGAGAGAGAGAGAGGGGAGGATGGGAGCTTATTTGATGATCATGGTTCTTTGCATAGTACACACTCATAATGACGCTACTCTACAGTTGCCAAATGACGCGATATCAGCGATAAGTAAATCAGTTATCAGTATGCCACGTAAGTTATTACGTTATCACATGCATTAGTAGTAGTGTTACAGTGTGTAATTCACGCTGTTAATGGCGTTGTCCTACAATTACTAAATGAGAGCGTTGGTGCTTACCGATGATGGATCCGTCCGTATCGATGAGCAGGGCGTGCTTCTGTCCGTCACAGTCCATATCGACGCAGTCGGACGGGTTCACGTGACCCAGCACCGGTCTGAAAACACAGCGAAACATTTGCTGATTCCGCACCCCGCCCAAGGTCTACAGAGCTCTTTGTGGAGCCTAAAGGTGAACTGTCCCGCCCAAACAATGTACGTCTAGCTCCAATTCTGTTGGATTCCTCTCTCAGCCAACGAATCTGAATTTGGAACATCATCCAAACGAGTAACCACTGACATATTCTAACTAACAAGCCAAATCCAGACACCCTCTGCAGTCTGCACCCCCCCCCGATCCCCCGCCTCCCGCCCTACTCGTGCATGAAGAGTCGGTCGGCCTCGCTGACGCCGCTGAAGGTGACGGTGTCGCTGATGACGGGGTGCTGGGCGTCATCGCCGCCCTGCAGTGTGCTGATGGCAATGTCGCGCCTTCCCGAGCACAGCCGATCAAAGTTGACCAGCTGGACGCCACTGAGGTAGGTGTTTCCGCGCACGGCCGGGTAGCTCATCGGGTTGTGCCACGTCTTCTTTGGCGCGCCTGTTGATAGCGAGAGGGTGAGGCCGTCGGAGGTGAGAGTCGAGTCAGGAGTACATAATGCCGTAGAATATTCATGTGGATGTGCCTATGTTACACATGCCGTTCGTGATATGGAGCTGGAACTTACGAGAATGCCATTAACGAAATAAAACAATTTTAACGATCGACCAATTATATTACGAGAAGGGAAAACAGCTCTAGGCAGCACTTCGAGCAAAAGCCCGATAGTTGGCCAGTCAGATATAACCAACGACACGCATCATCCTTCGTGAGCATCCATCTGGCCCGGTCGGCACTCACCGACTTTCCTGGCGAGGAACTGTCCCCAGACGAGGCCGGTGCGGCCGCCCTGGGCGGTGCGTGGCGCGCGCACCTGTGCCCTGTAGGCGGCGATGGCGGGCGCCGTGTCGGCCGCGCACTGCTCGGCGGCCGCCACCGCCACCACCACCGTGTTAGAGATGGTGATGCGCTTGTTTTCGAACAGGTGCGCCAGCGGGTCGGGCGCGTACAGCATGGGCAGCACGGCCATAGTGTTCTCGACGAGGACGTTGTCGTCGACGATGACGTGGACGGAGGGAACGTGGAAGTAGATGCCGAAGTCCCACGAGCGCCACACGAAGAAGCCGCTCACCTGAACAAAAAGGGTAGAGGTGAAAAGGTAGAGATTAGAAGGCAGTACACAGAACAGATCCTTCACCATTTTGGCTGTACCAACATGAGCCGAACCGAATATGGGATAATTAAGTAATCGCATACGATTAGCTTAATGGACCTACCAAACATCAATCGAAGAACCCCACCGAAAGATACAGGTTAATTTATGTACCCTGCTACAAGCTAATGTCATCAATGACCGATGTGACTATTAAAAGTTCAACCTTTAGTCATTATTGGCAATGAATGAGCCTTCGACACGTGCCACTAGGAACGAACAAATGATTATAATTGACCCCAATAATAGAACGAAACAAGCCAAGTGTTGGACGCCAGCCGTCACTGCATCCAACATTCCCTCATTCATTACATATTCCTCATATCCCCCCCCCCTCACCTTGGCGCACTGCTGGTGTGGAATTGTGCCGAACATGTGCACCCCGTGGAGCGCCCCGTGCGCCTCGTTGTCTGCCCAGGTAGACGGGGAGTCGCAGGCCGTGCCGCCAATGTGGAACCCGAGCCGCTCAGAGCCTGGCCCACAGAGCGGGGGACAGGTGAAGACCATGCGGTATAGGTGGGGTAACATGGAGGCCGGTTGGCGAAAAACGAAGCTGATTCTCATTTACAGGTAGTCAGTTTAGATCGCATCAAGTAATCATCGGGTACGATTCTGTAATGACGCTTTATCGTTAATGTCAAAAACGTAAAAATCAGTTGAGTAATTGAGCAAAGTAAAAACGCATAAATCATTTTTCCATATGAACTAAAAGATTGGTGAGCGCCTAATTACATAGACGCGCTCCCCTTACTGCACCACGCGTGACGAGTAGCGCCCACCTGCGACCACATTGCCGACGAGCACGGGGTCGGAGGCCTTATAGACCCTGAAGGCGGCGTCCCAGGAGAGGTTGTCCGGCTCGTCCCGGCCGTTATACGTGCCCGGGAAGACCAGCCAGGCCACTAGGTTGTTCTCCAGACGGTTACCGGAGCCCTCGTCAATGATCCCTGTCGCGGATCGAACAGAGCGGCGAACCTCAGAATCGGCACAAAGACAAACTGTCGTGCACAAAGCCAGGATCGATGCTGGTGTGAATGCAATGGCAAATAACCAGCGGGGAAACTAGTGAGAAGTACGTCCAGCGGGAGAAACAATTTGAGATATAAACACCTTTCTTGTAAATAACTTTCTGCTGAATGACTTTGTAATTTTCCGTAATTGCCAGTGAAACCATCAAAGCGTGACCATGAATATTTGTGATACTCAGCAGTCCCAATGGCGAAATACAGCAGCAGCCAAGTTCCTTCAACTATCTATGTCACTATGGCAGTTGGCCGATATCTCGGCGGCTCCCCCTCACCCGATCCGACGGTGTGCATGACCACGCTGCCTCTGACAGTGACGTTGCTGCTGTAGAAGATGCCCACCGCCGGGCTGAACAGGTGGTTGAAGCTGCAGTTGACGATGGTGGCGTCCGTCTCGCCCAGTGAGTGCAGCACCAACGCGTAGCGCGGGTCGTACGAGTCGCTCCAGCCCTCCTGGCCGGCCAGACGAAACTCGACGTTCGAGAGTCGCACCGAGGCTGTGGGGGTGGATGGGGGGGGGGGGGTAAGCGGGTGCGGGGAAACGTGGAATGGGGGGGGGGGGCATTGCCGCAGTGCTGGAATTGTTGATTGGGTTCACTTCAACTTGGGCTATATTTCTGTGTTGCGGTACAGCCTATGAATCAGGCGTAATACAGGCAGAGCCATCTATTACCACAATAGGGAAACTACATGTGTTACGGCACAGCCTATAAACCAGGCGTAAGCCGCCAAAGTCCTCGAATATCAATGCCTTCATATTTCAAGAAAGCTATAAAAAAACGTGCAGTGTGGCCAATGGCCATTTATCTGCGAGCATGCCAAGCGTACGCCATGTCAGCTGACTGACCCGTCTTTTTGACGCCGGTGTCGGGTTCGTAGTAGCTGCTGGCCAGCACTCGGGCGCCGAAACTCTCCTGGATGACGTCATCATACGAGTCGCCCTCGATGCGGATATTGCGCGAGAGCAGCCCAACCTTGGCAGCCATGGCCTTAGTCTGGCCGCCCGGCAGCACAACATTGGTAGCTGAAACCAAAGAAGCTCATCTATCCCTCATTAAACATTGATGCGGTGGAATGTATTGACAAAGTATATGTTTTTGTCCTACCTGGGTAGAATGCTGATCAATATGAAAGTTAAAGTGGATTTTGATAATGTGCAACAGTGAATACGGCATATGCTTACAGGTGGATAAGAAATCGATTTTCAATATAAGAGATCGATGTAGAGTCTACATTATTGTAAATCGATTTCTGATCCACGGTTCCCAGCTCCGCCCACCTACCGTTGTGCGCGTGCTGCAGTGTGTCGTTCAGGATGATCCGCCGGCCGTCCACGGCGGTGACCCGGCGCACCTCGGTCTCCCGCGGCTCGAACCCTCCGGTGGTGAGCACCACCTCGGCGCCCGCCGGCCAGTCCACCTCCGCGGCCAGTGTCACAGAGTCGGCGCCGGCGGCGGCAGCGGCGGCCAGCGGCGACCACTGCACCGCGCGCGGGGCGCCGTACAGTTCCAGGCCGCCGAACGTCGCTGCCGCCGGCGGTGAAGGGTCAGTGACACTTGGAGGCTGAGCGAAACATACAAAACACGGCAGAAAGATGATTTAAGTATTGCAGTCTTAAATAAATAATTATATTTTTATACATACATACTCGCACATAGCTGATGCCAAGGAGACTAAATCGAGCCGTAAGAAGACATTTAGCATAACAAGAAGCGACATTTTTCCAATCAGCCAAGGAGTTTATTCGCCCGCGTCCCCTTAGTAGCGAGTGACTTCAAGCCAATGTAGTGTGCAATATCCACAACACCCACCTCCAGCCACCTACCCAGTGCCTTCCATCTAATGTTGGCCCGGTTGGGATACCCCGTCTAGCCCAATTACCGAGTGCCTTCCACTCGATGTTGGGCGCCTCCCCTCCGGCTGGGGTATTCCTTCCCCATATCCCCGCTCACCGAGCGCCTTCCAGCCGATGTTGGGCGCCCCGTCCAGCTGGGGGATGTCGGCGCTGCCCGGGTCGGAGCCGATCCGGTGTCGGCCGCGCAGCTGAATCGTCAGCTGGTGCTGGAACGGCTCCTCCGGCTTCCCTGCGCGACGTCAGAACACACAGATGACGTCATTACACTGGTCGTAACATGAGTATATCGATAGTGTAACACTAAACCGTCACATTACGGCCTAGAGAGGATTCGATTCAGTGTTGGACGTTAGGCATGAGCACCTGAAGACTGAGCCATGCTGAGCCTTTTTTGTCCTGTTTGGCTTGATTCGACTTTCCTGGCGGAGTGGAAGAGAGGAAATAAAACGAAATTCCATCATTCAAAGGTTAAGGGCAGCCGACTGTGGAGTATGCCGCCCAGTACCGACCTGCCACCAGTTTTCCATAGACGACGATGTGGGTGCAGCTGAGCACGTTGTCCATGTCGTCTCCGATCTCCAGCACGCCGTAAATGGTGAGACGACGGATGGGCGGCAGGGCTATGTCGGTCAGCACCCACAGGTCTGAAACACAGTGACATCGGTCAGCATCCACAGGTCTGAAACACAGTCACAGCGGTCAGCACCCACAGGTCTGAAATACAGTGACATCGGTCAGCAACCACCGGTCTGAAACACAGCGAAATCAGCACACACAGGTCTGAAAACGCTTAGACTAGGCTGGACCGCAAGAACGAATCGAAATATAGTCAGTCTGGCCAACAGAAACAAATGAGTAGGTAAAATAAAACCACACTAAGAAATCCTATCACTGATCAGAGTTTCTTTGAGTGATAACAGGGATAAGAAAACACTGTTTTACATTGAGACAGTAATTATTGCCCTAAACCCTGTTGACCCACGCAGTCCTCCGCTGCGCGGCGTCTCACCGGCGGGGATTGTGACGTCCTCCATCTCCCCGGGCACGGCCCACTGTCCGTCAGCGGCCTGCGACCACAGCTGCACGGTGTCGGGCCGGCCGGTCGGCACCGTCGGAGCCGGCGGCGGCACACAGCCCTCGAAGAAGCACCGCTCCACCACCAGACGGACGTCCCGCTGCGCGCCCTTGTCGCGGTCCTCGAACGGACCGGCCGCGCGCCGAGAGCGGGTCTGACCGGCAACTGACATGGGGGGGGGGGGGTAATATCAGCGGGTCTGACCGGCAACTGACGGCGGGGGGGGGGGGGGGCATCAGCGGGTCTGACCGGCAACTGAGGGAGGGGTAAGCAACATTAGGGCATCTGACCACTGTCTACAATGCAAAGGGGTGAAATCGAATATGCTTTCGAGTTAGAGCTTTGAAGCAGTAACTATTGAGAAAATTATCGACCATGGTTGCGCCAAATCGATGAGCTGACTTACGTATCATTCAATCTCTGTTATAAAAGCATTTCATTCGAAGCAAAAACTTATTATGTGAGAAAATCACGGTCGCGGTGAGGCGCGACCCGCGCTGCCGAGGTGCACGATCGAGCTGAACGCGGCCTGTGTCGCCGCCATGGTGGCGCAAGGCTCGTAACACCACGCAGCGGCAGCGAGGACCAAGTCCAGCTGGCCTTGACCGAGGCCGGCGCCGTGATGAAACCTCCCCACCCGCACGCACCGGCGAGTCGGCATGGTGTGGCAATCTACGCACAGGCAGAGCCCGACCCTCGGGACAGAGCGGTGGCGAAACCGGGTCAGCGTGGGACGACAGCCCGTCGCACCTACAGCTGTGCCGCGCGGCGCGCGCGCGCTCTCTCTTCCACATTAACATTATGCACTTAATTGTATTAATTGCACTGCCTTGGATCGGAACAGGTTTACTTCATTGTAGCACTGTATAACATATGATTGTGCCGCGTGACGCGTGCGTTTCTTCGACGTTTAGAATTTGTAGTTTATTGTAACTACTCATGCAATAAGCACTGCATTGGATTGCAACAGTTCTTATTCTTTTGCCTGGACTACGGATCATATCATTTATTGTCTGTTGATAATGGATTACGACGTATTCAACGATAGATACGTGCATAATGACGTATTGCAGGACCGACATCTACAGACCGCAGGTTGTACAGTACTTCAGAGTTAAATATGCAGGGGCCAAACCTCGTGTGGGTCGCAGCAATGTTTAATATGGACTACATGGTCACATATAGGGTGAGATATGCATTAGGTCTCTGGTGTGTGTCACGGAATGTTCAGCATCTTACGTGGTTTCACGGGCTTATCCTAAAACAGAAAACATACCTAATGAAGTTGTATTATTTGTCGGTTGTTTTATGTACGTTTCAAAAATGGCAATGTACCATTGCGATAAACAATACGGGCCTTCTGGTACAATAAACAATGATGAGGTACCAGGTCGAATTGTTTATTGTGATGATTGCAACTGTTAACAAAATTTTGACCAAGTGTGACCTGATATCATATCTGGTATTCTGTATGTAAAGCTGTCGTTTTATGGTTTCTTGAGTTAGCACAATTGTTTCGAATGTGATTCGATTCGCGAGCAAGGAAGGATTCTTTCGCACACTCATATAGTTCATAGTTGTATATGTTCGGTCAGGTCAGGCGTATTATTTGTATATGTTTTACCGCGGACCTTCGGATACTGTGAAAGTGCGCGGGCCGTGACGTCACACTGCGTGTGACGGTACAAATACGCGCGCGTGGCGTAGGTCGGGGCTGCTCACCCTCGCCGGACTCGCCCGACTCGACTCGGCCGGGGCAGTGCTCTTGTTCGACCTCGCCACGCTGCGATGTGAGTACCGGTGGGACACCGGTCCAGTCAGGACCTGTTGTGCCCGAGTGACGCGAAAGTGTTTTCGTCACTGCGCGTGTAGCGGGTAACATTGCGCCTGTCTGCCTATTGCCTAGTAACTGTGCTTTTGCTGTACTTGAATCTAATATCATGTCTATAATAGCCTGTAATGTAATATACCTGTTCCAAGGCAAAGCAAATTCTTTGTAGTTGGTAACTTTTATGTCTGAAAGAGACGATTGCTTGAAGAGGTGGTGCTAAAAATAAACTTTCATACTCCTAGACAAACGACCTGCTCAGCAGACACTTCACGCGTGAAGCCAAGCTGGCAAAGTAAAACAATAAAATTCACACTGGGGGCTCGATGCCGGTATGACTTGAATCTGATCGATCAAGGGACTAGGGACAGGTTTTATTTAGTTTGCATTAGTAATTGTTTTTTGTAAAGATACAGGCACAATGACACCCGATTTCAAGTCTCAGGCACTCAGGCTCCTGATCAATCTCTCGATGAGATTGATTTGTCTTTTGGTTCTTTTTACTGTACTGATCACTTTCACGATCGGTTGTGCTGGGTTGCAGTTGCAACCCAGGATATTCCTTGGCACATCGGATATTTCTGTCGCTGGTTTCTTATTCCGAGAATGAACTGCTTGGCAGCACACGGGGTGTGTGATGTTCTAATTTAGTTAGAATTTGAGACGGCAGATGATATTTGACATTCAACATTTTTATTATATTCGATTTGATTTTGAATTGTCGGTCCATAAATGCTTATTTTTTGTTTATTTTATAAATAATTTTTGTGTTCCTCAACCAATGTTTATTCTACTTCCAATTAGAAGGAACAATGTTTTTTGTTCGTAATTTGTCTACATTCAGTTCCACATTGGTGCATAATTTAATGGTAAGCCGATTTGCGTCGATGCTTATTTGATGCACCAATTATTGTGAGCAAATGGATTTCATTCAAATGATGGCTATTTAATAGCAGGGTTTGTGCGACGGTGGCTAAATTTAATATCAGGTTTCGTGCGACGGAAGGTGTTCTTGGTTTGTTTCCTTTCATTTGTTATGTTGACCTGCTTTGGTTCTGAAACGATCGCTTCCGTCGAATCGGTTCACGGTCAGGCGCCCCAGCCGAAAGCGAGAGCTGAGCCGCGTTTTCACTTTCACCTTCAACATCGCTGCGTGGTGCGTGAGGAAAACCGGGGCAGCCGACCGGCCGAGACGGACCGATCAATTTCTTTCGTGATTAAAATTCATGGTAACATCGTCCGACATATCTCGTGATGCTTTGAGATGCCATTCCGGCAACATTATTCTTAAAGGTCATTGAAGAATATAAAGCCGTGAGGCATCATAATATTTGCTGACTCAGATAAGTTAGTTAGATTTGCCAGCCGCTCGCGTGCTCTGGGATGCCGGGTGTAGAGAGGTTAATTTGGAGTGTGCGCGCACCAGGGATGGCTTTCCCCCCTCTCTATCGACCGGATTTGCGTACGGGCAGAATCCCCCGAGGGCCTACGCACTACACGCCTCTGCCTGGCCCGCAGCTGGCCTGTAGAATGGCATCGCCAGTGACGTTGAACCGGTGTAGCTCTGATTGGGAAAGGTAGAGGCTACAGGCAATTATCTGCGTCAGATCCTTCTCTTCTCATGTTCTAGATTCATGGGAAATCCAACACAGGGGACCTCCGGCACGAAGGCGGAGGGCGGAGCAGGCACCACTCCGGGGAACCCTGCCGCCGTCGGAGGAGAGGAGGAGTATTATGATGTGCTCAGCCAGTACGGCGCGGCGGGCGACCAACGACCCCGTCTGGAGGTACTCGGCGCCAATACAGGTCAGTCCCGGTCACATGAGGTGGCGAGGGGTGAGATGGTCGGTGTCGGTCAAGAGCACAGTGCACTATTTGATTCTAATCGAGGCACGGGTCAATACGATTCGTTCGTGTTGCGCAACCTCCCGGTCTTCAAAGGTGAATATAACGGTACTGCCGTTACTGACTGGGTGCAAAAGGTTGATCTACTTCTGGAACTCACGGGAACTCCCGATGAGTCGATTCTGCCGCTGTTGGCACTGCGCGTCGAGACGCAAGTATTGAGCTTCTTGGAGAGCCTTCGCAATCGTTTTAGTCCCTCTCAGTACAACTGGGCCAGGGTTAAACATGCTCTACTTAAACAATATGGAGGCGTGGTCGACCTTAGTAAGCACGTCTCTCAGCTCCACTCCGCCCGCATGGGTCGCGAAACTCCAGTACGGAAATTCGCTCAGGAGGTGGAAAGACTGGCTTGTCTTGCGTACCCTGAACTTGTGCGTGATATGGGCACTGCAGAGCCACGAGAGGTCCAAAGAGGTATTATGAACCGCATCACGCTCGAGCAGTTCGTGACAGGACTACCTCCGATGTTGAGCCGTTCACTCGTCGAGCGTCAGATTGAAAACTTTGACGAAGCTGTCGATCTGGCTGCTCATTTGGAGGACGTTAACGCTCGTTATTTTAAAAAGGCAACCATCAACGCTATGTTTGATGCTGAAGGATCAGCCCAGCACAATGCCAGCGTCTCTGGGCGAGGACAGTTGCAACGTACCAATCGTCGACCTTCTCGCAAAACAATGCAGAGGTCAATGGGCGGCCGACAGCCTCAGATGGACGCCAGACAGCCTCGGGCTAATACGTCGTCCTCTGAATGCTACCGGTGTGGACAGGTGGGACACTTCAAAAGAGACTGTCCAAAGCAGTACTCTCTCAATGGTCAGACGGGTCCCTACTACGAGAAAGGACCGGTGTGTTTTATCTGCGGAGACGGCCATCCGACAGCAGCCTGCACAAACATTGTTTGCGCAGCATGCAAACAGACTGGACACCCAGCCAACCACTGTTCAAAAAACTTGCAGGGCCTTCCTTCAGCCACCACCACCCATTGCAATTGATGCGTTTGTCGACGGATTCGCACGAAGTGTCTGCTCCAATTGACAGCCGGGCGCTTCACATTCGTTGATAGATAAAAACGCGTACGAAAAGATGTCAATCCAGCAACTAGTTGAGCCCCGCCTCATGTTCGAAGGCAACTCCGGTTGACTATCGAGCAGGCGCTGGGCGCGTGACTCTCTTCTAACTCCGCGGAGTTAGATGATGGCAGGTCACGCAACTGAGAGAGAGTGAGAGAGAGTGAGAGAGAGAGAGTGAGTGAGTGAAAAAAAAAGAAAGAGAGAGAGGTAGAAAGAGAGAGAGTGTGAGAGAGAGTGAGAGTGAGTGAGAGAGAAAGAGAGAGGGAGAGAGAGAGAGAGGCAGTTTGATGCGATTGCTCAGACAATCGTCAATCAAAAGGCTTCTCGGTCTCACGAACGAGCGTGTGTTCAACCGGCATGCCGGAGATAAATCCTACAAGGTGGGAGACCTTGTCTACCTTTATCGGCCCGTCACCAATCCTGGTAATGCCTCGAAATTAACTAGAAAGTATGAGCCCGGCTATGTGGTAAGTGATTACCATTACAATGACACAGCTGCGGGTCCGTAAGCCCGGTTCAAAGAAACCGCGAAAAAAAAAGTGCACTGTGACCGACTGAAACCCCGCCCAGTCTCCCATGTGTATCGGGATGGCCAGAGAAAGGCTGCGATGCAGTTCAGATCTGTGCAGATCCCAGTCGCTGCCAATGAAAGGCAGGATATAGTATAGAAGCCCGGCTACAGAGAGCCTGGGGCAGGAGGAATTTTCTGAGCTAACGATACCGCTTCGCCGTTCCGCTGTTGGAACCAGGATCGAGCGCAACTCTCGATCAGGCAGCGGAGTCACCAGAGTTCTGGGTGCCTTAGGGCCCGGAATATGGTTCCTCCTCTGAGTGGAGAACTGGGATCGGACGTGTCCGATTCCCGTGGCCAGCAGGATGGCCTATCGGGCAGACAGCCCGTCAGGGGACAGCTGCAGCGGGACGAGCTGTTCGCTCAGATCCTGACTCGTCCTCAGAGGACGCCTCCGGGAAATCAACGATCCCCAGAGGACAAGGAGAGCGTCCGATCGCTATTCCCCTTAGATTAGTGCTGTATGGATGCTAATAATTGTCGGTACCTATGTTATAAGGTATAAGGTTCTGGAAGGTCTGGCAGCCCTGTCAAGTTCTCTGGCATGTGGTTGTGTGAGTTAGCATGAGTTGTTAAAGGATAAATTTATCAGATGAGCCATAGTCAATTATTTTCCATCGGCTTTCCGCTAAACTTTTGGAGCAGCATTACCTCTGGGATAATGATTCCTGACTATGTCACATCTTATTGCAACATTCAGCTGACCGATAGGAGACCCTTGTAAGTACATCCGCTGCCGTCATGTCACCCTTATCTCTGGTCTAATCAACCAGAAGGGCAAATGACGTGGTTCATTGCACGGCTGTTCTTGAATATTGCCACCCTAATGCTGATGCGAGCACTGTGGAAGCTCCACCGGAGATTGAATGATCTGGCCCTGTTACAGCAGACTTCTCCCTGTGAACAGCGACCGCTTGTCGCGTCTGGCGCCGGAGACGTCAGGCACCCGACCAGGTGGCCTGAGTCCTGCACTCTCACTTTCATGGCCTCTGATCATTGACCCAGCTGAGGCGGTCGCTACATCTCGAACCCAAACGTCCACGTGAGACCAGGGTACAGTTGGGGTTTGGGGTGAGTAATTAAGCGTTAAAACCACAGATGTGCTACCATGCGACTAGGTGTGACCGACCAGCCGTGGCGAGCGAGACCGCTGCACATGCCAGATATACTGGCCGGTGGCCGCCCATACGCGCCCAATATCCGAACCCACACCAGTGTTTCGAGGTGCAATACTCGGACGCTTGTGTTGGCTTCATAAAGGTGCAACAAAGTTATCGGTCCCACACCCGTACGCCAAGGTAGAGTACTTGGATGCGTGTGTTGGCAAACCGAAACGCAGGGCACACCGCGGTGAGAGAAGGCTACGCTGACCTGTCGATCGTGCACAAGTGCTCCATGCCGGATTCTTGTGTGGCCGTCGACCGTCAAACTGAGCCGAGTTGTGACTGGGGAGAGATCGGACACCGTCGTGTTGCTGGGGCTCACTGTGTGTTTTCAATGTCAAAGCCACCCCGAAACCTTTGACCCTCCTCACACCGACAGACAGGGAGAGAGAAATCGTGCCCGTTCCAGCTTGACGAACGATCAGCTTGCCTCTTGCTATTTGCAGATATCAGTTTTCTGTTATCAACTCCGAGGTTCATAAGGAGAACTATCGCTGTGCTACACCAGGTCACTCTGCTTCTGTGTTGCCCAGCAATGAGTTGTTTGTGGCAGTACATAACATAGCAGCCGTACATGACCAGTGTTACAACCGCCCGTGTCATATCTCCGATTATCCGATCGTATTACACCTATCCGCATGACCCTGAATGACCCGGAATCTTTTGCTACAGATAATCTTGGCCAAAACCAGGGTCCAGGATACCTCGGCGGAATGATGCTCCATATAGGCCAAACAAGGACTATCAGCCGTTCGCTGGCAAGGTCCTACTCGTAGGTTGATGGATTTATTTTACTATTGTGGTGAATAGTAAAACGTCAAGGGAATACATGCCAGGGAACGAGGACAGAACCAAACGACCCAAAAGAACCAATAGTGAGTGAAGTTCAAGTGATCTTCGCTGGTTAATGATATTAGGTAATGGTTGATTCTTGTGTGTGCATGTGTATCACTTTTAGCTGTTTCAGGACGTTAAGCCCCAAAGGTTGGAGCTATTGTGCCTCTATAAAAAAGGGAGGAATGTGAGAAAATCACGGTCGCGGTGAGGCGCGACCCGCGCTGCCGAGGTGCACGATCGAGCTGAACGCGGCCTGTGTCGCCGCCATGGTGGCGCAAGGCTCGTAACACCACGCAGCGGCAGCGAGGACCAAGTCCAGCTGGCCTTGACCGAGGCCGGCGCCGTGATGAAACCTCCCCACCCGCACGCACCGGCGAGTCGGCATGGTGTGGCAATCTACGCACAGGCAGAGCCCGACCCTCGGGACAGAGCGGTGGCGAAACCGGGTCAGCGTGGGACGACAGCCCGTCGCACCTACAGCTGTGCCGCGCGGCGCGCGCGCGCTCTCTCTTCCACATTAACATTATGCACTTAATTGTATTAATTGCACTGCCTTGGATCGGAACAGGTTTACTTCATTGTAGCACTGTATAACATATGATTGTGCCGCGTGACGCGTGCGTTTCTTCGACGTTTAGAATTTGTAGTTTATTGTAACTACTCATGCAATAAGCACTGCATTGGATTGCAACAGTTCTTATTCTTTTGCCTGGACTACGGATCATATCATTTATTGTCTGTTGATAATGGATTACGACGTATTCAACGATAGATACGTGCATAATGACGTATTGCAGGACCGACATCTACAGACCGCAGGTTGTACAGTACTTCAGAGTTAAATATGCAGGGGCCAAACCTCGTGTGGGTCGCAGCAATGTTTAATATGGACTACATGGTCACATATAGGGTGAGATATGCATTAGGTCTCTGGTGTGTGTCACGGAATGTTCAGCATCTTACGTGGTTTCACGGGCTTATCCTAAAACAGAAAACATACCTAATGAAGTTGTATTATTTGTCGGTTGTTTTATGTACGTTTCAAAAATGGCAATGTACCATTGCGATAAACAATACGGGCCTTCTGGTACAATAAACAATGATGAGGTACCAGGTCGAATTGTTTATTGTGATGATTGCAACTGTTAACAAAATTTTGACCAAGTGTGACCTGATATCATATCTGGTATTCTGTATGTAAAGCTGTCGTTTTATGGTTTCTTGAGTTAGCACAATTGTTTCGAATGTGATTCGATTCGCGAGCAAGGAAGGATTCTTTCGCACACTCATATAGTTCATAGTTGTATATGTTCGGTCAGGTCAGGCGTATTATTTGTATATGTTTTACCGCGGACCTTCGGATACTGTGAAAGTGCGCGGGCCGTGACGTCACACTGCGTGTGACGGTACAAATACGCGCGCGTGGCGTAGGTCGGGGCTGCTCACCCTCGCCGGACTCGCCCGACTCGACTCGGCCGGGGCAGTGCTCTTGTTCGACCTCGCCACGCTGCGATGTGAGTACCGGTGGGACACCGGTCCAGTCAGGACCTGTTGTGCCCGAGTGACGCGAAAGTGTTTTCGTCACTGCGCGTGTAGCGGGTAACATTGCGCCTGTCTGCCTATTGCCTAGTAACTGTGCTTTTGCTGTACTTGAATCTAATATCATGTCTATAATAGCCTGTAATGTAATATACCTGTTCCAAGGCAAAGCAAATTCTTTGTAGTTGGTAACTTTTATGTCTGAAAGAGACGATTGCTTGAAGAGGTGGTGCTAAAAATAAACTTTCATACTCCTAGACAAACGACCTGCTCAGCAGACACTTCACGCGTGAAGCCAAGCTGGCAAAGTAAAACAATAAAATTCACAATTAAAAAGTAAATGGTTATTCCCATTCCAGCGAAATTGAAAGGAAAAACTGCTATCGTAAGTAAGCACAAATATACATAGAAGCGCCGTTCGCCGTACCCATGTAGGACATGGTGTAGGTGTCGTTGTCCCAGTGAATGTCGCCGTGCCGGCCGGCGCTGAAGTCCAGCGGTGGCCCGGAGCCGTTGGAGGGCGCGCCGCCCGCCTGCAGCCGGTCGGGCCGCTGCAGCATCGAGTGGGATACGGCCAGCCGGTCCTCCGGCTTCAGGAAGTAGAACCGCGCCGTGTACGATATGTTGGTCAGCTGTGGAGGGAGGGAGGGGCAGCGTCAGAAACCGGGGCCATCAAACACTGCGCTATGTTCACGGATAAATTCAACACTTCAAGTTGAACGTCAGACACTGGCCCCGATCACACGAACAAGGGAAAACGTATCATGAACGGATTTTCCTATTGCTTAGCATTTACAATCCGTTTGTAATACTTACTCTCCTGATACACACCCAGCCACTGTACGGCCGATCTCCGCGTCCGTCACCTGGTCAGAGTCGGCGAACTGAAGGTTGTGCGTCTCGCCGCCGACGAGCAGCGCCATCCAGCCCGAGGGGTGTGTCAGACGCTTCTTCTGCCAGTTGGCCGTGGCCGTGCCGTGGCGGGAGGTGAAGTTGACGGCCTTGTACAGCAGGCTGGAGGGCGTGGGCTGGTTGAACGCCATTCGGTGGATGGAGACGGAGGAGTCACACACGGCCGTCACCACCTGCCAGAGGGAAACACGGCGTCAACAGCGGTGGACCACTTCACTGCCTCTGACCATAGCTGTGAGCTGCCACCTCCAGCTTTACCAATATTACACCATTACATTAATTATATCTCCTTCCCGCGCCTCTCACCGCGGGGTTGAGGTCGAAGCCGGCCAGGCCCCTGGTGCAGCGGTCGGCCGGCAGGATGTCCGTCCAGGGCAGCACCACGCCGTCCTCCTCCCCGCTCAGAGAGCCGTCCGTGTCGTGGAACACGCTCTCGTGCGTCCACTTCCACTTCATCTGTGGACGGTGAACGGGGGTTATTGTGGAACACGCTCTAGTGAGTCCACTTCGGAATGCACAGTGAAAATAAAAGGCTGATTCATTCACATTTTAATTTATCATACACGAGTAGCAGAGCTGGTTGGTTTGTGAACCCAGCAAGTATCGTCAGTGCTTACACTTCAAGCCCGACTCCCCACCCGCTCGCCCCGTACCTTATTCGGCGCGTTGTCGTAGACGACCCGGCGGAACTGGTGGTGGAAGCCGCCCTGCTCCGGCTTGCACTGCGAGCAGGCTGTCAGCGCCGTGCACGCGCCGTCAAAGTTGACGAACGTGGCGCCGTCCACGCTGAAGATGTACTGCTTGGGCGTGATGATGCCGCTCTCAGTGCAGGCTTCGCCGGCCAGCGCTGAGCGACCGACTACTAGAGCGTTCAAAACACCTGTGGACGGATGTGACAAGATCAAAAGCCAGCTCTTGTAAGACGTTCGGGACTGGGAATGTGGCGGACAACGACACATGGGGCCTGGCAGCTGCAAGAGTGAAATCTCACTAAATCACGAGTATGTTGCACAAACAGGATTGCCTTATCGGCAAATCCACTAAACAATACAAAAAAATCGCACTTTGAAAACTCAAGCTAATGTACTAAAAGCTACGAAGCGCACTATCCAGGGTACGCGTCTGGCCCACCTGGTCCGTCGTTTCCGAACGGTCCCTTGACCTTGACCATCTCCAGTCCGGCCATCTCATTATCCACCACGGTGAAATTCTCAAAACGTAGGGCGCCTGAGAAGGAGACATGGGTTGCGCTTGGACAGGCAATACGATGCGATCATAAAATGTAATTACCATGCGTCCGTCGTTACTTCATTACTAAAAAACGAAGGCCACGTTCGTCAAAATGATACAGGAATCAAGAATCAAGAATCAAGGTTGTTTGGGCTCATGAAGACGTCGAGCCTCGAGGTCTATGTTGTAGCTACAGTACAATAAACCCTTACAGTAGTAGTTTCAATAACCCCATTCCGTACTCCGTAGACACACTGACTGCCCTGAGAGGGAGCCCCCCGCCGGCCCCAGTCTGCCTTACCTCCGAGTACGACCTCTGCCCCTCGCTCGCAGCGCCAGGCCAGGAACTGTCCGAAGCGGGCCACGTCCGGTTGTCCGGTGCACGTGTCCTCACCGCCGCTCAGAGGGAAGTAGCCGTCCATTGAGAACACCCACAGGCCGTACCTGAGGGAATAGGGAACAGGGGACGTTAAAAAGACGTTAAAAAGAGGTGGAAGTTGTCGGTGGCCAAAATGATGGTGATCGGTAACAGGTGACGCAAGAAAATATAGTCTGGTGTTATCAAAAGAGCATTCACAAAAAAATCTTATTTCCATCAATATTCAAGACAAAAACCTTTTGAACTATATCGCTTTTAATTGAAGTCATTTCGGGTCTAAGCAGAGGTATTGCTGGATCCCATCGTTCCCCTGCGTACCTTCCGAAGGAGTGGGCGCTGTTGTTGTAGAACTCTCCCATGGGCGCGTGGTTGGGACAGTAGCTGGTGGTGAAGCTCGGCCCGCTCGGGTGGGCCTCCGTGCGGTACCAGTAACCGAAGTGGCTACCGCCCGCCGCCGCGTTATGTCTGAAATAAAACAGCGACGTTAAAATAACTGCAACGTCACGTCCAGTAAGTCTACATTAGGTTAACTGAGGCCTACGCCGGTAGTCTCTAACTGACAATGTTTCAGCTAAATCAGTCTCTACATCACGATGTTCCGGCTAACTCAGTCCATACCTGACGATGTTTCGGCTAACTCAGTCCGTGCTTTACGATGTTTCGGCAAGCTCAGTCCGTGCTTTAAGATGTTTCGGCTAACTCAGTCCATACCTGAAGATGTTCCGGCTAACTCAGTCCATACCTGACGATGTTCCGGCCAACTCAGCCCGTACCTGACGATGTTGGTGGGGTTGACGACCCAGTAGGAGGCGGGCGTGACGTCCACGTTCAGCAGGGAGGACGATGTCCGCGTGAACACGGCCAGGTTGTACTGGATCACGTTGTAGGCCTCGATGCCGTCCTCGGTGAAGAATGCGTGACCCATGGTGTTGTACGCCACGTTGTGCTCCACTGGACGGGAAGCGAGATCGTCAGAGGAGATAGTAAAAGTGTGATCTTAAAAAATATGCTATTTTTTATAGTGAAAAGACTCAAACAACTCAATTTGTCCGTGTTTGAAACACAGCTAAGGTTCAATCATTTAGAGGACTTTACCGTAACTCTATCTGCTTGCGCTACGCATTTACTCTGTTTGTTTGCTATACGCATTTCAAACTAGCATACAGAGCTGTTTCTCCAAAATAGTGAATAACGCGACATTGGACCGCTGAGCAACCACGGGATCAAACCAAGTAAATCAGCCCACATCCTCCCTCTCCGGATACTAACCGAGCAGATAGTCCACGGCGTGGATGGTGACGGCCCGGTTGTAGGTGCGGTGGATGGCACAGCCCCGCACGTACGAGCCCGTCACGTTCCCGTTCAGATGGAAGTGAATCGGGTAACGGCCCAGACGGAACGCCTACAGACCGAGAACAATGGCGTCAAAGCAAGTTCGCAACAGCCATTGCGTCTTACCTCTAGAATTGGCGTCAAGGGATATACACTGCACAAACTGAGTGCTAACTACCTTATAACAAAAAAGCGTCAAACGTTACGATCAACAACTTGTAGGTCTCGGAAACTTCCATATAAATCCACGTTACCGATCTAGACAGTCTCAAATGCGCGGTACATCTACACGCCCATCATGTACGTACTTACTTACAAATAGGCCGTGATGCTGACTTTACTGAGGTCTCTGCTGACCTGCCCGGCCTCGGTGACCCCTCGTTACTGACCTGCCCGGCCCCAATGACCCCTCTATACTCACCTGTCTGGCCTCGGTGACCCCTCGGTACTGACCTGCCCGGCCTCGGTGACCTCGACATACTCGATGCGGCCGGTGACGAGGTGCTGGTTCTGGTACTTGGCGTGTATCATGACGGTGGCTCCGAACTGATCGGTGACCGTCTCGGCGCCGTACCGGCCGTGGAAACACGTCTGCACGTCAAACTGGCCTGTGGGATGGACGGAGAGCGGCGTTGGAGGAGGCCAGAGGGCGGATGGTGAGGAAATGCTGGTGTCATCAAAACATGAACTTATGTTCTTATGATAGATGACCGCCTACAAACTTTGAAGATGAGCATTATTTTATCCTAACAAATAACACAGCTGAATCGTATGAATTTAAAAAGAACAATGTAAAACAAATACGATATCTGACAGCTTGGTTGTAAATAGCAGCCTTTCCTCCCACCGGTTCTTACCTGGCTGGAAGCCGGCGGCACAGGCCCGCACCTCCTCTGTGAACTCATCATTTACCGAGCCGCGCACCTTCACATTGCGGGTCAGCAGTCCGACCTCCGCACGCATACGGACCGTCTGCCCGGCGAACGTTTGCTCCGAGCTGATGTGCTCGAACGCCAGCGGAGTGTCCAGGGTGAGCGTCAGGCCGTCCTCGGAAACCGCCGAGATGACGCGCTTCTCCGACTCGCCCATGGAGAACCTGAGGAGGCATGGGTGGGAGAGTCAGAGAGTCAGAAAAACCGCAAAGATGACCCGCTTCTCCGACTCACCAATGGAGAATCTGGGGACGGTGACGGAGAGTCAGTGTAATCTACCTCATCTCATCCACCAGCATCACATAACCGACAATGCCCCGCCCCGCGTCCTCCAGCCGTCCCGTTCCGGTCCCGCTCGCACTGCCCGCCCCCGGCACCCGCTCCGCACTGCCCGCCCCCGGCACTGACTTGTCTCCGGTGGTGGCGATGACGATCTCATCTCCCACGGCCCAGCCGACGGCCCGGTCCAGCGTGATGGACGTGGCGCCGGCGGCGGCCGTGCTGGCCAGGTACGTCCACGTCACGTCCAGCGGCCGGCCGTGCAGTTCCAGCGTGCCGTTACGGACGGCCAGAACCTGACGGCGGCGAGAGGGTCGAAGTCAGACACAACTATCGAGCATGGCTGATAGTGGAAAGGTCCTGATGTCCACGAAGATCTCTCGCTCTAGTTGACTTATCGCTTGGCCTCCTAACTGATTGCAGCCTCAACCTAATATCTCCCTTTATTTTGTCAGTCGACATGTCCCTGAAAATGGTCTTTATCAGGTAAACCGAAAAAGGTAAGACCAAACAAAATAATCAACAACGGGTGACGCAAGTGGTTAAACTGAGTAGAACCAACGCCAAATAATGTCAGGTCAGCGCGAGCGCTCAAAATTGGCATCTAAATACCCGCAGCGCGGTCCTGTGGCGCAAAGGAAAACGCGTCTGGTTACGGATAAGAAGATTCCAGGTTCGAATCCTGGCAGGATCGATCTCTTTGACCTCCGCCGGAGGGTAGGTATTCGTCGATAAAAGAGTCGTTTCTCAATGGACGTAAAAGGTAGCCCTACGACGGAGAAAAAAGTTTGTTATCTCACAGAGCAGCTACAACGTTTGACGCTGCAAATGCTCGTAACAAACCATCCTTACCTTGGCTCCGTAGACGGGCAGCTCGGTGGCGCGGACGTTTCCGTGCAGTGTGATGGCCGCCTGTCCCTGGTGGGGGCTCTCCTCGGTGCCGATCTGCACCCGCCCGCCGCCCACCACCACAATGTACTCGGCGTTCAGCTCCAGGAACGGAGCGTCCGGGTCGAAAATCAGCTCACCGCCTGAACACGGCGCGGAGGAGCGGCGTCATTGGCTAACAAAAAACTTAGGTAATCGTCAATCAGCGACTTTATTTACTCGTGCTCTTGATCGATCACACCAAATGCTTACAGTCAAAGGATTACAAAACTTATTCCAACAGCCACAACCCCACAAGCCACACGTGGAAAAGACAATAAATATTACCATGAGCAGACACCTGCCTCAGACGCCGTCCCATCACCGCTGCACAAACTCTCACCGTCAATCAGTATCAGTCTCAGCAAGGGGGTGCTGGTGTCCAGCAGTATAGTCTGCCCGGCAGTTCACTCACCGTCAATCAGTATGAGTCTCAGCACGGGCGTACTGGTGTCCAGTAGTATAGTCTCTCCGGCAGTATACCGCCCGGCAGTCCACTCACCGTCAATCAGTATGAGTCTCAGCACTGGCGTGCTGGTGTCCAGCAGTATGGTCTGTCCGGCGGTGATGCTGACAGACTGTCCGTCAGAAGGCGGGTCGGAGCCGCCCCAGGTGAAAGGCGACGACCACCGGTCCACGTACTGGAACTGAGCGCCCTCCGCCGGCTGGGGACGGGATAGGGGGGAGGGGTTACCGGGGAGCACGTCCTCCACCGGCTGGGGACCGGACAGGGGGGAGGGGTTACCGGGGAGCACGTCCTCCACCGGCTGGGGACCGGACAGGGGGGAGGGGTTACCGGGGAGCACGTCCCGCGCCGAGAGGGGAGGGGAAAGGGTTAACAGCGGTCCTGTGGCGCAATGGATAACGCGTCTGACTACGGATCAGAAGATTCCAGGTTCGAATCCTGGCAGGATCGTTGGTTTTGACCTAAGATAGGTCACCGTCAATGATAAGGCCCGTAAGACTCCCACTTCCCATACACTCACGGCAAAAGTAGCGACGATCTTTCTGACAAGTATGATACTCGACTCAGCATCAATGAATTCAATTTCAGGAGTGACGACCAGGAGATTTTCGATTAATTTTGTCTCAAGTTACACCCATACCTGGGCAAATCCGATGCCGGGCACGTCCACCATGACGCTGAAGACTCCCGGCCCGACGTGGCCGTTGGTGACGCACGTCACTGAGGTCGCACTCTCGCTGGTGACGTCACACGTCACGCCGTCAATGGTGACAGCGTTACCGGTCTCCCTGGGGAAAAGGTCAGAAAGTTATCGGAGCGGGAGAGAAGACTCTGATGTGATGTCAACAGGCGTGATCAGATAATTGGGAACGCGACAGAAGACGGCAGGATGGAAAGTCAGAGGCGGCAAAAATAGGAAAGCGACCTCATCTCAGTGTAAGTCATGGTAATGGAAAACCTTAAAAATAGGGCAATCACACGTAGTCCCCTTCATTACAAGCACTTCCAGGCCCTCTCAGGCACTCTCAAACACTCTTCGGATCTTGTCGCCTCATATTACGCGAGCCATTTCACTCCCCATGTTTTGCGGGACAGCATACCCTCCAGGCGCCAACACTGCTGCCATCTAGCGCCCATCTCTCACACTAACCGCCCACCGCCACCGCTCCCCACTCACGCGAAGCCGGAGCCAGTGACAGTGATGGTGGTACCCCCGGCGGTGCTGCCCCGGGTCGGCGTCACTGACGTGGCTGACGCCGTCAGCGAGCCGTCATACGTGAACGCGGCGTAAGCTGATACTGACGCGCCGCCCGTCAACGTCACTACAACGTCACAGGCCGCCGCCGGCGCCTCTGAGGGGGGGGGGGGGGAGGTGGAGGAGACAGGTGAAGTGAGAGAGTCACCCATAAATGCTATTTAATATACCTGAGGGCTCAAAACATATACGCTACATCTCGTTTATCGTAAAATCGTATTCATTAAATCGTTATCCTGAATATTTTACATCCTAACACTTTGGTAACAATCTGCGGAACTGGCAGCTGTTGACAATATGCTCATGATACTGATAGCTCACCGGTGACGGACGGGGCTAGACAGGTGACAGTGGTGCTGGTGACACCGGTCACCTGACACGGCGTGTCACACACGGTGACACTGACCGGTGACACCGTGTCGAATTTGCCGCCAGTGATCGTCAGCGTGGTGCCCGTCAGGCCAGCTGTAACAGGACACGGGGATGAATTGAGAGTAGTCTATTACTTTCAACAAATAATCACACTATGTCACTGTAATGACATCCATTCCACACTAGATTTAAAGTAAGGGGCAGCTTTCCACAAATCGTCACCGTGACGGCGACTCCCCAGACTGCTCTGATAGCCCACCTGCTGCGGGCGCCACTGCTGTGACCTCCAGTGATACGGTGAGGTCGGCGGGAGCCGAGTCACCGCCCCCCTCCGGCGCGTGGAACGTCACGAGGTGCTGACCGCCCGGCAGGTGCGACTCCAGCTGAGGTAGGGAAGCGGGTCAGATCAGACAGCATCAGGCAGTGAGGCGAGGGAGGGGAGGGGGGGGGGGCAAGAATGAGAAAGACTAAAAATTAACGCAAAAGATCCGATTTTACCTTTCGATATAGCTTACGTGAGTGAACATTCTGCATATGAAAAACATAAATTTGACGGCTCTTCACTGGAGCATTTATGAGCACAGATCAGAAATCATATAGCGCTGGACGTTTCAAAAGACCAGAGATGATGTAAATATGTCAGAGTGATGCAACGCCATTCGTTCGACATTTCACTGGCACCGGTCTATGCTCCCGGTAGTAGTTAGGTGATAATACGCCGGCGTCTCTCTCGTGCGCATCCAAGGAGAATAACAACCAGACAGAAAGTCAAAGAAAAAACGGCGCGCCGCGCAATATTTGTCGCCGAGCCTGGGCGTCTCCGTAAAAAGGCGACGGCCTTTGATGTATTTCGCAAGCGCATAAGACACGGTCCGACGGGCTCCGGCCTTATTACGTGTTCTGACAAAAACTGATTATATGTGAGAGGCGGCGTCTCAATACAAGAGACGTTACGTAATACGGGCTTCAGCCAAGCATGGTTCGTTATCGGCAAGTTTCAGTGATATGTAGTATGTATCACAAGATCCGGCAAGAGTCTACGATTTCTCGACGATCGTCTAAACTTGAGAATCGTCACTTTCAATTTGTAATTTTCCGGATGTTTTTTCCTTCCCAGGGTGTTTACTGAATGAAAGCTTCTCCGAGCTGAATGTCCAAAGACGTTGAAGATAAAGCTATGCCGGAGCTGGTAAAGAGACTGCAATCGCCAGTTCACTGACTAGGTACCTCGGCTTATGTTGCCGACAAATTGCACCTATGCAAGGCGGAACGGGCGAAAGACTCAGCGCTGCTGAGCCGAACCGCCGCCGCGCCGCCGAGCCGAGCGCCGTCCGCGGTCGCGGGACGCTGGCGTCCCCTCGGACCCGGCTGGCCGGCCGGCGCGGCAGGGCGGCTCCCTGTTTGCGTAGGACCGGCCCAGGTCCGGGCCATTGTGTGGGGCACGCACGTGCGCGCCCGGCGTGTGTGTCTTCCGGGTGGAGCGCTGGACGCCCGGGCCATTTTTAGCCTTTTCTGTGTGCTCTGACCGTCCTCAACGCGTCTTGTTTTCACCCCCTGTCGCCGTATATAAACTAGTTGTAAACACCCCCGGCCCTCACTTCACCTTTCGACTTCGACGGGGACACTGCGCTGCCCCTAGCTCTCTTCCCGGTACGTTTCGCTGCCTTGTCCGCCAAATATAGTGAACTAGAAGACAAAGTGTGTGAGAAGCCCGAGTGAGAAGTGAAACAGTGCGCGGTCTACACACAGATGAGATATTCGACGGAGATGCGGCAGGCGTATCGGTTCCGGTGACCAGGTCTACTGACTATCCTTTTTTCATCCTAAAACATTCCTTAAACTCTCTAAGAAGCGGGTTCCTTTGTCGTCGGCATCCGGCGCTCTATATTTAGGCCCTAACACACTCCCTGAGAGGGGGGTTCCTTTGACGTCGGTATCCGGCGCTCTCATATTTTAGGCCCTAACATACTCCCTAAGAAGGGGGTTCCTTTGACGTCGGTATCCGGCGCTCTCTTATTTAGGCCCTAACATACGCCCTAAGAAGGGGGTTCCTTTGCCGTCGGTATCCGGCGCTCTTTTATTAGGTCCAAATATACTGGAGGTTCCTTAGTCGTCGGCATCCGGCGCTCTATCCTGTATCCAATATTTAGTTGTATCTTAACTAGGCTAACGTGATAGGTTATAACATTTATTTTCCCAATTTTCCAATTAAACCATTTTCCTCCTGGATCTCGGTTACCAAACAACCAAATGCTGTGCGATGCGCGATTAAATACAGTCCACACCATGAAAGGAGATTCGAACGAAAGCGTCGCCAACATTTTCTGGTCCTCCGGGCCGGATGGTCCTGGCCTGAAGTGAGAACTGATGACCTTCGTGGCTGCCCGTCGCCGACTTACTGATTGATTGTAGGTTACAAGCTGTGCCTCGTGTGTGCCAGTCGGATCGAGAAGAAAATTCCAATGATGGAAGATTCGACTCAGGCGGAGAACACAGAGACGGCGACGGTGAGTCAGGACACTGCCGGCGAGGAAGCTGGAGACACTGCATGCGTGTTGAAGCACCTGAAACTTCAGCGCGGGCGCAAGGCCGCCGCGTTTACTCGTGCCTGTAACACGGCGGAGGCTCAGATCGCGCGCCGAGCTAGCGAGGAAGAACTAAAGAAGCGGCTCGAAACCCTGAATGCGACACTGGATGGTTTCATGGAGGCGAATGACGCCTATGTTGAGAAGGTGCAGGAGGTCTGCGAACTGGAAGAAGCGGAAGAGCACGCCACCCGACTGACGGCACGGCACGCCGAGACGGTGAAAAGAATTGAAGAGGCGACTACGCACCGACCAGTGAGCTGCTGCGCGGCGTCGCAAGCAGATGACAGACCACCACCATCAAAGTTGCATCACGGGGGGAGTAGAGCGAACGGATCCCGTGTTTCAGGAGTCTCCAGAGCGGCGTCCAGGGAAGCTGTAATAACGGCAGAGATGAAAAGCCTGGAGCTGAAGCATTTGAAAGCCAGGCAAGATAGAGAAAGGCAGCTGAGAAACCAGGAAACAGAAAGAACAGCTCAGAGGAGAAGAGAAGAAGACAGGATGGAAGAAGAGAAGAGGATGATGGAGGAAAAGGAGTTAGAAGAGAAGAGGATGATGGAGGAAAAGGAGTTAGAAGAGGAGGTGGAACGAGCGCAGCAGAGGGCAAGACTTCTGAGGGCTGCAGAAAATGACCTTGAATGGGAGCGGAGAAACGACTTTGATGACGAGATCCCAGTGGAGGTGGAGCCTAACCACTGTGATGTAACAAGAGGCGTCCGTCATACGTCAGGTGAGCAGCGGCCGGCACCCAATGGTGGCGAAGTTCCCCGCTGCATCTCGTCATCACCCAGAGCTGTCGGTGTTCCTCAAGGCGAGAATGGGGTGCACAAGAATGACGGATTGGCTCGTGCCAGCTGGATCCCACCGCCAGCCTCACCCCGACGGAATGACCTGGCAGGACCATCAGCGTTCGTAAAGAGCATACCGCGACTGACTCTGCCAACGTTCCGTGGAAATGCACGTGAGTGGCAGCGCTGGATTGGTCTTTTCAAAGCCTTGGTGCATGATCAGCCGTCCCTGTCGGATGCTGAGCGCATGGCTCACCTTCAAAACGCGGTGGAAGGGGCCGCGGCCCAGGCCATTGACGGCATGTTATTCAACGGTGACTTGTATCACGAGGCCTTGAAAACCTTGCAAGATAGGTTCGGACGAGAGGAAGACATCATCCAGGCCCACCTGCGAAATGTGTTCATGACCTCGCCACCGTCACTAATGGACCTCCCAGCGATGGAGAAGTTTTATGCGGTCGTCCATAACACAGTCACCGTCCTGCGAAATCTCGGCTACGCGAGTGACCTGTCAAGCAGTGAAAACTTGAGAAGAGTGGTCGAAAAGCTGCCGAGCGAGCTAGCCCGAGAGTGGGGCCGTGAAGTGTTCCGGCTGCGACCGACGAGACCGACTCTGGAGACGTTCACCGAGTGGCTCCAAGTCCAAGTCAGCATCCTGAGCTTCTCTGCTGTCCAGTCCGGGACTTCAACATCGGAACGGAAACGTGCAACAGTTGCTTCAAGGGACGGCCCTGTTCGGCGAACAGCGCTGGCGACAGGAGCTAATGGTGAAACCGAACCAGAGGCCCGCTCTCTGCCAGTGTGCGTGGTGTGCAGCAGTAACCACAGGCTGAGCGACTGCTCAGAATTCAAGGCCAAGACCCCAGACGCAAGAAGCGCTGTTGCCTATGAAGATGGTCTTTGCTTTTCATGCCTCAAGAAGGGCCACTGGAGCAGAAGCTGCAAAGTGTCTCGGCGGTGCAATGTGAAGGGATGCAAGCTCACGCACCATCCGCTTCTCCACCGCGGATCAAGTCGGTCAGGAACCGATCAGAGCAACTCGAGGAGGGATCAGTCGTCAGCAGGGACAACCACGGGAGCGCCTGAATCTTCAGCCGAAGGTAATTCCGGGAACCAGCCGTTCGTAGCAGCCTCGGTAAAAACGGACACAGACACACTGCTACAGATTGTTGCTGTACGGGTTCACGGGCCCCGTGGTTCGACAGACGTTCTGGCACTCCTGGATGCTGGAGCTCAGACATCACTGTGTCGTGAGGATGTTCTGGAGGAGCTGGGCGTTGCCGGGGAGCGACACCCGCTCTGCATACAAAACGTGGAGACCAGTGGCACTCAGCGTCCGTCCGAGAGAGTGCAACTGAAGATCAGCCCCCTTGGCACAGGGGCAAAGAAGTGCATCAACATTCCTGAAGTGTGGTCTGTGCCAGCGCTGAATATGACTGCAACTACGATGACGAAGAGTCAGCTTCAGAGATTTGAACACCTTCGTGATCTGGAGTTCCCACAATATAATGGCGGGCAGGTGAAGCTGCTGATCGGTGCAAACGTCCTTGAAGCAGTGCTGCAGAAGGAGGTGCGTGTGGGACGTCCGAATCAACCGGCCGCTATGAAGACAGGCCTAGGGTGGACCCTGACGGGCTGCGTGTCTGACATCGTGCCCAGCAGCATGCGCCAGGTCATGTTTCTGAGACACCAATCGAGTGAGAGCGAAGTGGAGCTGTGCGCTGCCGTCAACGAATGGTGGTCTACAGAAGCATCTGGAACAAAGTACAGTGAAACGACGTCACGATCGGAGATGGATAAGAAAGTACTCCAGATGCTGGAAAGAAACACGACCAAAAGTGGAGAGCGATACAAGACCGGTCTGCTGTGGAAGGAGACAAGTCCTACACTTCCCAACAACAAGCGACAGGCTATTCAGCGACTACAGGCAACGGAGAGAAAGCTCGAGAAGCTTTCAGAGGTCGCAGGGAAGTACCAGGTCATCATCAACTCCTACGTCGCCGAGAGACATGTATCGGTCGCTGCTGTCTCGGCAGACGCACTCACAGAACAGAATGAGTTTGAGCTGGGCCAGCAGCTACAGGAGGCTCAGCAGGAGCTGCAGAAGCAGTCCAGCCAACTGGAGGAACAGCAGCAGGCAGCTGCCAGACTCCAGGAACAGCGGACCATGGCCACCGCAGACTACAGGAAGGCAGATGCCGGCCTCACCAGAGCGTTAGCCGCTGAGCTGGCCGCCTGTCGGGAGCGCGACCAGGTGCTCTCGGACAAGGCGAGCTTGGTACAGCAGCTGGAGCGGCGCGCTGCTGAGGTGGCCCGGCTGACGGCCGAGCTTGCCGACCGAGGAGCTGAACTGGCTGCAGCTAATGCGGCAAAGTATCGGGCGCTGGTACAGGTGGAGGAAATTGCCGCCAAGGAGATCAATTTCCAGTACAGAGAGAAGAGAATGGCGAGTGAGAAGGAGGTGCCGGAGAAGCAGATGTCGCTGCTGCTGGAGAGCCTGAAGTTGCAAGCAACGGAGCTGTCCAGGCTGCGCCGCCAGCACAGCTCGCGGATCCTCCAGCTGCAGGCCGACCTTGCCAGCATGATAGACCAGCTAAGGACGGAGCAGGCGGAAAAAGAACGGCTGACACAGCAGGCGGCCGACCTGGAGCAGCGGCTCACCGAACTAGCGGAGAAGCTCCGTCTGCAGCGTGAGGCCGAGATCGAGCAGGAGGAAAACTATCGACAGCAGCTGCGGTCACAGGAGCGGCTGGCTCAGCCCTACAAAGAGGGCGTCGAGAAGGCGGAGGCCAAGTCGAATGAGATGCTGCGCTCGGTGGACGAGCTGCGGTCACTGCTGAGCTCGGCCAGCGAGCAGCAAAGCCAGCTGAAGGCGCCGCTGGACGAGACGAACACCCAGCACGGCCAGCACCTGGTGGAGCGCGACAAGGAGATCCTCCAGCTGCGCGACCAGCTGGAGACTTGCGAGGAGCAGCTGCAGGCAATCACCCGCAAAGGTAGCCTTTCGGACGAGGCGGTGATGGCCATGTCACCGTCCGCCACCGCCGTCAGCCGGCTCCTGCGGCAGGGCATGACACTCACACAGATCTTCACCGGGTTCAGTCAGGCCAAGGAGCAGCTGACGACCACAGAGGCCGAGAGCAAGCGGTTCAAACTGTGCCTCGACCAGATCCTGAAGGACATTGATGAGTGGACGCTGGTCATCCAGAGGCAGCGCGAGGATTATGAGGCGGCGGTGCAAACGATCGACTCTCCCACAGGCAGCAATGACGAGGCATTACGGGAGCTGGAGACGGCACACGCCAAGCCTGACGACGCCCGCCGGCGACTGCGTACCATACAACACAAGAGGGACCGACTGGTCGCTCAGACAGAGGACCTGGCAATGCAGGTTTGCGTGCCGCTGAAGGAGGTGGATAAGGCGCGCGGCGGTCGTCACCACACCCTGGGACGAGCTCGAGCTGGATACTTCCGCCGGACGGCTGATCGCCCAGCGTCTGGTCACCTTCTGGGGCAAAGAGGAGCTCCAGGCGCGCAACCAGGACATGCTGTCCGTGGTGCGCGCGAACTGAGCGCCGCCCGGGAGGAGCTGAACACGCAGCGCTCATGGCTGCGTCCCGTGGACAACTGATCACTGCCTGCTGCGGTCCCATGCTCGAGGTACCAACCGTCCATTCCCCCATAGCCGGTGCTCATCTGCGTTTTCTCGGAGAAGATATCCAACAGTCGTCCGTCATTTCCATTGTGCGTGTGACTTGACGCCCCCTGCCCACTGACCGTTCGCGACGGCTCTGGTATTTTTGTGCCTTCCTGACAGGGACCTGAGTCTGAGTTCAGGGCTGTGTAAAGGTAACCCGTCTCCGCGCGCGAGTGTTAGGCCCGCTTTACCTCGCTCCGCACCTTTCTGGAATGCTGTGCGTGTTTTACTTGTATGGAGCTTGGAAATGATAGTTACCCGCGCCCGTTTCGGTTATCACCTTTCTTGACTGTTCGTTTGCGCTGTTCAATTTGTCGGTCAAATGTATGTGTTCGTCGTTCGCAGTGAAGCCGAACACAGGGGGAGTGATGTTGCCGACAAATTGCACCTATGCAAGGCGGAACGGGCGAAAGACTCAGCGCTGCTGAGCCGAACCGCCGCCGCGCCGCCGAGCCGAGCGTCGTCCGCGGTCGCGGGACGCTGGCGTCCCCTCGGACCCGGCTGGCCGGCCGGCGCGGCAGGGCGGCTCCCTGTTTGCGTAGGACCGGCCCAGGTCCGGGCCATTGTGTGGGGCACGCACGTGCGCGCCCGGCGTGTGTGTCTTCCGGGTGGAGCGCTGGACGCCCGGGCCATTTTTAGCCTTTTCTGTGTGCTCTGACCGTCCTCAACGCGTCTTGTTTTCACCCCCTGTCGCCGTATATAAACTAGTTGTAAACACCCCCGGCCCTCACTTCACCTTTCGACTTCGACGGGGACACTGCGCTGCCCCTAGCTCTCTTCCCGGTACGTTTCGCTGCCTTGTCCGCCAAATATAGTGAACTAGAAGACAAAGTGTGTGAGAAGCCCGAGTGAGAAGTGAAACAGTGCGCGGTCTACACACAGATGAGATATTCGACGGAGATGCGGCAGGCGTATCGGTTCCGGTGACCAGGTCTACTGACTATCCTTTTTTCATCCTAAAACATTCCTTAAACTCTCTAAGAAGCGGGTTCCTTTGTCGTCGGCATCCGGCGCTCTATATTTAGGCCCTAACACACTCCCTGAGAGGGGGGTTCCTTTGACGTCGGTATCCGGCGCTCTCATATTTTAGGCCCTAACATACTCCCTAAGAAGGGGGTTCCTTTGACGTCGGTATCCGGCGCTCTCTTATTTAGGCCCTAACATACGCCCTAAGAAGGGGGTTCCTTTGCCGTCGGTATCCGGCGCTCTTTTATTAGGTCCAAATATACTTCCTAAGAAGGAGGTTCCTTAGTCGTCGGCATCCGGCGCTCTATCCTGTATCCAACATTTAGTTGTATCTTAACTAGGCTAACGTGATAGGTTATAACATTTATTTTCCCAATTTTCCAATTAAACCATTTTCCTCCTGGATCTCGGTTACCAAACAACCAAATGCTGTGCGATGCGCGATTAAATACAGTCCACACCATGAAAGGAGATTCGAACGAAAGCGTCGCCAACAGCTTAGTTTATCATTAATAATCAGACTGCATTTTTTTCTACAACCGACAAAGCAACATGATGACCAACACTAAGCAGAGCAGCCCTCATGATACAACGTAGATCATCCACCAGTTTTCGCGTACTCAGCGCTGTGAGACTGAGACCCCGCACTCTCCTGCAGCCCGCCCTTGCACTCTCCTGCACCCCGCCCTACCCCAGCCCGCCGTACCTCGCAGGAGAACTCGGTGTCCTGGAGCGCGGTGACGGCACACCGCCGTCCGCCGACCGTCAGGTACGAGCCGGCTGCCGAGCCCAGCGCCGTGCCCTGACCAGACACCACCGTCGTCTCCGAGCTGTCCGCGCTGTGAGACAGAGATGGAGAGTACTCGAATGGTCAACCATGAGTGAATCATGCCAAACCAAGCCAAAGCTAAACTCAGTTAACTCTGAAAGGAGTCTATAGCTCGTGGTATCGATATAAGACATAAGACAAAGACAAAGTCGATATAAGACAAAGCCGAAGACATAACTAGCTAGATGATACATGTTCATCACTCACTGGAATGAAACTGACGATAAAATTACGGCATAAATTAACATTTCAAGCAGACATATCATCCTCATCGTAATTTTTCTCATCACCAACTCATAGTGAACCAATCATTCTCCGTCCGACCACATATCAGTTGCTGCCAAGTGTCCTGCCCCTGTCCTCCCCAACGCCCAGTCCCTATCATCCAATAGCCCAGTTCCCCCTTCCCGACTGACCTGCTGACCACTGTGATGACGGGCGTGCTGTCGGCCGAGTACGTGTACTCTGGCCCGTTCACCGACTGACCCGCGGAGCTCACCACCACCGGCTGAGTGCCCAGCTCACCGGCCGGCGTCAGGCACTCCACGCTGGTGGCACTCCGGGCACTCACGGTGCACTCGGATCCGCCGATAGTGACCGAGACGTCCTCGCCGAACCCGGCTCCGTCCAGCCGGATCCGCGCCCCACCGTGCTGAGAGCCGGCCGGCAGGCTGGCGGTGGTCACAGAGGGTGTGACGGCCACTGTGACGGTACCGTCCGTGGTCCCCAGGTCGGCCACCTGCACCGCGACGTCAAACGAGCCGGAGAGGTCGTCCGGCAGCTGGCAGGTCACGCCGGCGTCCGTGACGGTCACGGAGTCACAGGTCAGCTCCTGGGCGGCCGAGTCGGCAGAGACGGACCGCCGCCGGCGCCGCAGCAGGTGGACCCGCCTCCGAGCGCGGCCGCCGCCCCGCGCCACCTCGTGCAGCGCACTCACGTACTCCGGGGTGAGCTCAACAAAGTCCTGCTCGGGTTCGGAGGCCGCTGAAGGTACCGCCGCTCCGGTGACGGGGACGGCCGGGCCGGAGCCGGCGGAGCGCAGCTGGCCGCTCGTCACAAACGCGCCGAAACTGTCACAGTCGCCATGACAGAAACGGCGCCAGAAGGCGGCGTCCTCGCGGCGCGCGGCCGCCACCGCCGGCTCTTCTTCAGCGCCGTCATCCAGGCTGATGACGTCCTCCAGATTCGGCACGGGTGCGTCATCGTCTCCCGGACGGACGTCATCGGGTGTCTCCTCTCCGACCTCTCTCTTCCTCCTCTCGGCAGAGCGGGGGACCAGCCGCACGCTGATTTTGGCCGGGTCGGTGCCGAGCTGAGCCCCGGAGAGGGTCAGCGTCCGCTGAGCGCCAGAGGTGAGCTCAGCGGAGGACAGGGTCGGTGTCTTGGTCGCGTCATAGGTGAACGTCATGTTGCCGATAGTCCTGGAATCACGAATCACTTTTCTTATAAAATTTTATCAATTTTATACCTGCTTCTCTACATTGCATATTCGTTTACATAGCAGTCAGTTTAAGATAGAATAATTTGTGTCAAAATATTGAAAATTCGTGATAGTGAAAGCTGTGATAGCGAAGCTGCGGTGCGCTTAGGTCAACATGAACACTCCTTAGCGTAATCCCACTACATATTTTAGTTGCCTCGGCCGCCCAGCCTCCCTGACCTGATCTGTCCCTCGGCGTCCTGCCAGAGCAGTGTGACCGGCTGGGGGTCCCCGGCGACTCCGGGCGGGGTCCGGCAGGTCAGCTCGGATAGGGTGACCTGCTGGACCACACAGGGCGCCGAGCCGACCGTCACACGAGGAGGCGCGTCCGCAGAGCCGGAGAGCAGGCCCGTGCCTGAAACAGAGGAAGGGGGATGTCGGTACACGGGCTCCACGGGAGTGGTCACCGGACGGCTGAGCTTTCTGCGTAGTCAGCATGCGCATCAGTAACCTCTGGAAATTATGAATTACATATGTGCTGCCTGATAAACAATGAAGTTACGTGACGTATAAGTTACTTTTCGTTCATGAAATATCTTAACCATTCTAGGCTCACATCGTTCCCATTTACCAGCTTGTTATGTGAGCAGACACCTCACCTCATCAGAGCGCTGTTCGGCAGCCGGCTATTTTGTGTGCAGGGTATGACGCATTCCGCGAGCCGACGTCACGGGCGATGACGTCGGCTCGCGCGCGAGCCGAGCGCCAACGACAAACTAACGGGAACCCTCGGACACCCTCGGGGCATAAACCGCGGAGTAGCATATTGAGCGAGTCTCATAAGGGAAATTCATATATTTTCGTTTCTCGAATGATCATCAGGGTGTCTCTTACCTTTTTACGTATCATTTAGGCTTGCCTAACACTTCAGTTGCCAAATATCTGCAATTTATTCAAACGAAGGTATTTTCAGTAAATATCAATGCTTTAGACCGAAATCTTTTGAATAAAACCTCCAACCAATAGAAATAAAAATAACTTATTTTATTCCAACCATTTCCTCCAAATTAACAACATAAAAACTCACTTTTACACACATCATTCATAATAAAGCATACTAACACGCCGCTTTTGACAATTGCGGCGTCGAGTGGCGCGCTGCTAGCGCTCTTTTTCGATCGCAGAGACCCTGCACGCGCGCGAGCACACTACGTCACGTCCGGGGGGCACAGGTATATGAAAAATCGCAGTGACGTAACACTTTTCTCGCTTCTCATTGGTCAATAGCCCGTTGCCGGGGTAACGTGCACGTATGTGAGCGCGAGCAAGAGTACTAGCCGGCCGCCGATCAGGGCTCAGCTATCGAGGACAGTGATAAATCCGATAGTGTGAGTATACTTCCCATTATTCAACCGTTACACTGAGTAGTGACAACTCACCCGTTATTCTGAGCAGGGTGCCTCCCGTCGGGGAGCCGCTGGCCGGAGACGCACCGGAAACGGTCGGCTCCCACCGGAAGTACTTCAGAGACGCCGCCACGTCAATCACCGCTGATCCCCTGCGACAGGAGAGAACAGCATGTATGTTATAAATTCAACCCTCAGAGTGAGGACTTCTTATAAAACACAACGTTCAAATCTACGAGAAGTAATAGCTAAGTTTTGTCGAAGCATCTGAGACTACACTCCAGGTAACATGGCTTAGCGGAGTTGAAAAAAAAGATTTAGCTCCGAGTACGCTAGCTGGGCTTCAGTCATCTGCTAGCAACCCGGATACAGCACTCCAGTGGCTTTTAATTACCGATTAAAAAGTCAAATTAACAAATCATATTACGTCCTTTTAATTACCGATCCGGGACCATAGTAAGACAGTAAGTTCCGAAGCCACAAAGGACGACATAGATAGTCATTCACCATTCATCTGAGTCTATTCTAGTGCCGGAACCACACGCGTCATCAAATCTCTCCCCGGAGCCGAATAGAGCGAGTCTGGCGGTACTACCCGCCGCCGCGTGCCGTCTTCGTGTCCGGGAGCAGCCAGACGCCCGGAAAAAGTTACCGCACGATATGTAGGTAGGTGATTCCCCAGTTGTGTCACATGCAGGAACGGGGAATATACATACATAGCGGAACACGGATAAGGCTAGCTGAAAATATTTAGCGAGGTGATCCAGTTACGAACACCTAAGAATGCTATTCGCTTGTTTAATGGAAAGATGGACCAAAGTTCAGTTAAAACAACTCGTTCGATGTTAATTCAAGAAATAGGTCGGACATCAATCGTGTATCTTTCAGTCTGTGTCGCCGTTCGCTCGCCTGTGTCTCTGCTCGCTTGCTGTTCTGCGCTCGTGAATATGTGTAGCCCTGCGTTTCATATATTGTGCCTCCCTTTGTTCATATATGTCTCCGTTCGTTGACCTGTGCCTCCTTCGCTCGCCTGTGTCTCCATTCCTGCTCATCTCCGTGTTCTCACCTATTGGCGACGGTCAGTGTGAGCGGCTGGCCGGGGCCGTGCGGCAGGCCGGCAGAGGAAACCGGCCGGCACGTCAGCTGATTGGCCGTGGCCGCCGTGACGTCACACGGGCCGGCGCCAATCATCACCCGGTTGTGGCAGACGGTCGTCGAGAAACCCGAGCCGGAGATGGTCAGCTCTGACTCAGCCGACAGCAAGCCCCTGGGAATAACGAGAGCGGCACTTGAAACACTTCCATCCATCAGAGCAGTTTTAGCAAAGCCATATAGCTCGTGACCAAAAGACGACAGAAAAGAAAAATGTGGTTAAACAAGCTCAGAGACGAAATGAGAAATGAGACATAGGCAAACATCATCACCTTTATCTTCATCTTCATCTTCAACTGAGGCCTGACAGACGGCCCGACACGATGGTCACCACGCTCGTAACAAGACAAAAAAAGTAGCCCCAAACCATCTTTGCTCGAAAAAAAGCTCGACTGATAAGTCTGCTCTGACCCTCCCGCTGCTCACCCGTCGCCTCCCTGAGTGACAGTGACGTTTGTGACGCGCGGCGTGACGCAGTCAGCTGACCGGACCACCAGGGGGTCCTCTGGAGCGGCACACGAGTCGGGCCCGGCGTCCGGCGAGCACAGGTCGGACGGCTCGAACGCCGGAACTGCCGACATCACAGCACAACATGAGAAATGTAACATATGGGCCGGGTTAATTTAGCATTTAAAGGTTTTTGAAGGCCGGCATAATGTTTAAACCATGCATGATTTTAGATGGTCAACGGTATAAAGGCTATTGTAACCCAGGAACATTTAGCACTTAGCACGATGGTGTTGAATGCATCGAATATTACTGCATCAGTAAAATTGTGGACGAAATGTCGCCCACTGGGCAATCGAGCCCGAGCCCCGAAAGAAGGCGATCATTAATCTTCTTTTAACGACATATTTTCTTCATTCTGATCCAAAGACCAAAATTTTGATAGAAGCATCAATATCGTCCCGACCAGTAAGCATAAACTACACTCAGATGCTACTCCGCTGTATCATACCGTCCTCTGTGGCCGGCTCGTGCACTGCCTCCACGGTCCCCAGCCGGACAGAGATGGGGCTCTCTCCGACTGGCGGCGCCGCCACAGTGATCACTCCGCGCATACGTGGCACGTTCAGCCCGGCCGGGGGGCCCGAGTAGAACACACTGCCAATGTCCTCCAGCATTGTCGTGAACGAGCCTGAGAGCGAAACAAACAAACCATGAAACACGGACTGACATTTACTCAATAAGGTAATTTAATAAAATGTAGCCAACACATATTCATCACAGTGTTGTGTGAATGGAAACAAATGCGACAAAACTACAAATAAGAGCGGCTTATTCATTTTATCGGAATGCTCGGAACTACCTAGATCGGAATGCGATCTAGGTAGTCACGTATAACAAAACTTGGTCATGGCAGCTGGATCCGGATAGATGCATCGTAACTAGATAGATAGATAAGAGCGGCTTTTCGCTTGTGGCCTACCCTGCTGGGTCTTCTCCCCGCTGTTGAAGCCTCCCTCCATGTACTGGTCCGTGTCCTGGCTGGCTGTCTGGTGGACGGCGAACCCCACGGCTCCGGAGCTGACCTGACCCGGCGCCCAGCGCCAAGTCACCAGGTCACCGGGGGCCACCGTCAGCTGCTGCGGCTCCCACAGAAACCCGGTGCCGTAGCCTGCGGAACCGGCGGCGTTCGAGGGTGAGGTGCATATAGACATGGCGAGTGCTGGGTGCCCCGGCTGAGCTGCGTTATATCGGTCGCAAGGAAGGGAATTCGTAAGACATGACACTGTTAAGAATGAAATGATGAAGAGCGGGACAATGCATATCAGTTTTCACATTCACCTAGAAATTGATCCCATTGAATTGCAAAACAAATGAGCATCATGCATGCGTGAATGCATTTTTCAACATTTTCATATAATGCGATGCATAATTAGTCGTTAGTGTGCTATTTCGTTACCAACTTCCTCTCTCCCTCTCCCATGACTCACGCGGATGAGTGACGTTGTTGCTGATGACGTGTCTCCGCCGGCGGCGCTGGAGGGCGCACCTGACCTCAGTATCGTCACAGGTCAAGGGGTCACAGGTGAACAGGTCTCCGGCGCTGACCTCGAGCCGGCCACAGTCGGCGGCCAGCCCGGCGCCGCGGAGCCGGACCAGCGCCCCGCCGGCGGCCGAGACCAGGCGCGGCGACACGTCCGTCACACGGAACGTGACCGAGATGGGGCCGACAGCGCTGCAGGGGGAGAGGGGATGAGCAGAGGGTCGGCAGAGGGAGAGGGGTGACCGGGTGGGTGGGAGGGAGGCGGTAGATGCTGCTGACCAAAAAGCGTCTGCCAGCCAGGCCGCCTTCAAACATCCAATTATGTTCACGTCAGAGCTGATAGGAGACATCAGATACACGAGGGCCTTTACGCGAAAATATAACCTTTATCAATTTCCTCACAGCAGCAAGGAATCAAATAAATTGGAAAGTCATCCTTGAAGTGTCTTAGTGCACCTAAAGATGGAACACGGCCATTGAGTGTGAGCTGCAGATGCGTGTCTTGCCATAGAGGTAGCAGATGTCATATAGCTGTCAGTGTTCCACGTTCGCGCTCAGTTTCACCTGTTATCGGCCAGCCCGAGTTGACCTCTGTTGACCTCGACCGTGTGCTCGCCGTGACCCAGCGGCGGCAGACGGCAGCCAATCAGCGTGTCCGTCCAGCTGGTGACGTTACACGAGGCCCCGCCCACGGCCACTGATTGGTCGGCGCGGCGCCGGCCGAACCCGCTGCCCGTAATGCCCAGGTATTCGCCGCCTGAGGGCAAAACGACGGCACCAGATTCAGCCGGGTACTGGACGCGGATGTATGTTTAATGCCGGCCACCTGGTTTTCACACGAGCTGCATTCCTGGTATTGATTTCAGCCGTCGGCGCCGCTGGCCAAGGCCGACAAAGGACGACAAACATTGTCATTAACCGGCGCCCTGGAAAAAGGCGCCGCGATCGACTATCTACGACCATCAAACGTACTTTACCACCTCGTTTATACGCACTTTCGCAGGAGTGGTATACCTCAGTTTTAATAGCAAACAGTACCGGTGAAATATGATATGACCAACAAACGAGTAAAACATTTCAACATTCCTGATAAGATAACGATCTACCACACCATTCAATATGAATGTGGCATTCACAATGAATATGAGCCGTACAATATGAATGCTATCACCTCGCCACAGTACGGCTTCAGACAGTTGCTGCGCCAGTTCAGCCGCCCGTCAGAGTTATAGTCCCACCTGCGGCGCTGGCGGTGGTGACATTGAGGCCGGTGAGGGCCGCGTTAGTTGACAGAGTGGTGAAGGCGGCCTCCAGGGCGGCTGACCGGTCACCAAAGGTCACCGTCACGTCCGCCGCCGACCCGGCAGCTCCCTACCGTACGAGAACACACAGATAAACTTGATATGCAGACGCATTTGTCATACTCGAAACACTTCATTGGCATTATCTGGTAAAACAGCTGCGCACTGTGCAATGTCAAATCAATACTTATCATATAGCGGAAGAACAGTTGTTTGATCTTGTTATGTCAAAACACCCTCGCATCCAAGACCCCTACAGACACAGGACTCCTCATACCCGTCTCCGACATGAGTTACACGCAGTCACCCACCACGTCGCCGCGAATCCGGCAGCTGGCGGCCGTGGAGCTGGACTCTGTGACCTCACAGTCGGCCGTGCCGACCGTCACCCGGCCGTCCCTCCAGCCGGCGACGGAGGGCGGCAGGCGCTGACCCCGCACGGTGAGCACGGTCCCTCCGCGCCGGCTGCCCTCCGAGGGAGAGACGGACGACAGGCGCGGCGCCACCGACACCTCACCGGAGCCGGAGGCCAGGCCTGAGCACAGGCGGGCAGGGAGGAGTGGCGGTCATTAGATATTTTACTTAGGCCTATTCATCATGTTTAGATGTCTCGATTGCCACTTATGATACCCGACACTTCAAATAAAAAATCGAGGTCACTGCTATTGACGTAAAGAGCCTTGATTGCAAAGTGACGGCCATTTTGTGTTGTTCCAACAACAGCACCATTGCCTCAGCTTCGATCGAATGCTAGACATAAACAGCAGCTTACCCGGTGTCGCTGCCGCCTTCTGCAAACTTGTCCCGTTCAATAACCCACCACAGCAAAACAGACCACTGCATTAACCTTCTACCAGTCCCACGCCTTACATTCCATCCAGTAAACATCCCCTTTCCCGTACCACACCAGCCTTCCCCTCCCCACACCGGCCTAACGCTGACCTGTATCGCTGACGGTCACCGCCACTGTATACCGCCCGGCCTGGAGCGCCTTCACCGTACAGGTGAGCTCTGAGCCGGCGGCGGCGCTGGCCGGGCAGGCCCGCTCCCGCTCCCCCAGCGGCCCCGCCAGGGCCACCCGCACACCGTCGGCAGAAGTGCCGAGGTTGGCGCCGGTGACCGTTATCGTGGTGTCACCGGAGGCATCGTCTGCCGGAGGAGGCAAGTAGGAGAGGAGTGGTATCGGTGAACGCTCCTATGCGTTTGAGGTATGACAGTCGGTTTCTAGGTTGACACAACTTCACCGTAACTTGTTAAAACGCATATAGGCGGTAGGCATATAGGCTCGAAATGAGTTCGAAAGCACCGCCGTAGAACAAAACCGAGACGAAGAGTAAGAGAGTATTTATATGACGCAGGTGACATTTCCGCGGCCGCTCACCGGTCTCGGCGCTGACGGCCGTCATCTCGGGGCTCGGACCGCCGTCAAAGGTGACGTCACAGTCGTCATCAGCGGCGCACTGTCCGGTGACGCCTCTGACGGCGACCCGGAGCTGGCGGCCCGCGGCCGGGCGCGGCAGCCGCGTCAGGTCGGCCGGCAGCACCTCGTGGGTCACCCGGCCGTCACCGCTCGTCGGGTGCTTCCACACGCCCACGTGGAGGTTGTCGCTGAGGAGAGAGAGGTTGTATTTGAGGAAATTAAAAAGCATCGTTTTAATTGGGAATAAGTCATGAAGACAATTTAATTCGAATTCAACATTTAGTCGTAGCTGATATTCAGCATCATGAGGGATGTGATTCATAAAACTGTGCTTGCAGAGTAGAATTAAAAATAAAAACAAAACTATTTCTAACAGCCATCCAAAATCACCCAAAGTTTCTTCCACCCAACAAATCCAAATAAGTCTCACCTCGCTCTAATCCACATTCCATCACTCTCCCGACACTCACCCCTGGAACTGGATGTCGGCTCCGTCCAGCGCGATGCCCGGCTGGCGGCCGCCGTGGTGTTTAAACACCACGTTCCAGTGGTATTTGTCGCACTCGCCCCACCGCTGCGCCACCAGGCCCGGCAGAGACAGACGGGTCGACAGCAGCAGCGTCATACCCTCCGAGGTCAGGTTGGTCGGAACGCCTGAGGGTAGTGGGGGAGGGGTCAGTTTTAACAGTATGGAATGTCTCTTTGTCGGTGAAACCGGTGCTATTTCATTTGATTGGGAAGTTAAAGGAATTCCCTACTTGGAAAGTAAGAATAGTCAGCCACTTTCCACTCTTCAAAACAGCATACCTATCCTACACCATGTTTTGACATTAGTCACATAGTTGGGCAGTACGACCAGAATGTGAAGCCTGCAAAATTTATACTTGAGAGGTATGCTTAAGGACAAATTATTCATGATAGCGCAACTAAGAACGAAGCAAAACATTATAATCATGATTAAAATATGACGTATTACGAAATCAAACCAAATCAAATCACTCGGACCCGTCCCCAAAGTCGAGAGACGACCCCCCCCCCTCCCTCACACAAGCTCACCCTGTACGGTCGTTCCGTTGAAGGCGATGTCCCAGGAGCCGGCCGGCGGCGGCGAGGCGCTGACGTTTCGCACGTTGGTGACGGCGCCGTCGCCCCAGCCGTCGGCCGTCATCGCCAGGCGGTCCAGAGTGGACGTGTCGCCGGTAGCTGAGCGACAGAGACGGGAGGTCACTCATGTAAGTCAGGGGGCACACAGGGGTCACACAGGGGTCATAGGGGTCACAGACGTCAGGGGTCAAGGAGGCAGGAGAACAGAGGGCACGGTGATTAGGCCAAGAACGCCAGTGATCTCAGGGGGTGAGAGGTTGGGTGTCCCCACTAGGTCAGGGTCACAGAGTTCAGTGGTCTCAGAGGTCAGAGTGGTCAGTGGTCAGCGGTCACCTAGGGTAAAGGTCCACAGACCAACAGGCCAACAGGGTGAGATTTTCCCCAAGTTCCAGCGTTTCCGTTTCAGCTGCTCAAGTTCACAGGCAGCAAGACAAATCACGCTATATCAGGTTTATTGCAGACACATTTATTGCGGACAAGAAGTAGCACATCAAACTGTATCAGATTTGTTGCAGACAAGAGGCAGCACTTAAGTGAGACTTATATAGCTCATACGTCCTACAAAGTGAGGATAAGAGAACAATGCGTAGGTTCAACTGCTTCTTTAAACCTCTTGCAGAGATCTTAAGACGCGATGACATGCGATATAGGAACCTGAGAAGCATGCTTCAGTAGTAAATGACTGGCTTTTTCACCCAATATCCTCGCGAGTAAAAACAGCCATCAATACTCTGATCATATTGGTCAGTGCTCGGCTGGAGATCGTTCAGGAAAGACATGGTCCTCGACAAGGCATACGAGTATTGTCTTTTTCACGAGTACACCGAGATCCAAAAAAAAATGTCTTTTCATCAATCATACCAAGCCTGGCATCTTACAGATCGCGTGTTACTTTGCGAACTTTTATCATATTGTAAGAATTTATGCAAGCGACTTATTAATAAAAGTTCCTTTCCTATACCGCCACATCGTTGCAAGACTACCATAAACATTGGCATTAGAAGTCGATAAAACAGCCAGAGCAGCAGCGCCCAGCCGCATAGCTCACCGATGGCGTTGGTTCCGGCCACTCGGATGAGGGGTAGCTGGTTGGCGCAGGCGGCCACCCTCAGCGTCACCGCCACGGACAGCGGGTCGGCCGAGGTCGAGACGCCCACCTCGCGGACGAACAGGGGCTGGTCGGGACCGAGCCGGGCCGGCGGCCGGCGCTCCGGGGCTGCGGGGAGGAGTCGGCGGCGTCACCGGGGGGAGGGAAGGGGGGGGGGGCTGAAGGGAACTGTGATAAGCATGTACTGGTTGGCGTGTGGCTGTTACTGTGAACAGGAGCAGAATACTCGTATGCACTAAGAAGTAGCATATCATTAAAACAGAGGCGTGGGAAATGGCGACGTTTCGAGCGGAGGCATTACCAATACGAACTAAACCTTATACCCGTGCAGTCAAGCAATGAGCTAGCTTTCAACTTCCAACGTCAGCTGGTATCCTTAATTCGATTACCAGCGCCCCGCAAATAAATAAGGCGCACGGCTAGACGCCGTTCTAACCCCGCCGGGTACCGACCCGTCTTCTCCCCTGCGCTGAAACTGACGTCGTCGAAATACACATCATCGGCCCAGTCGAAGGGGACGCGGACCTCCTGCACCTTGGCCGGCATGGTCACGCTGTCCGCCTCCAGCTTCTCGACCAGATCCACGCAGCTGTAACTCCAGCTGGGGACAAATTAACGTATTCAGGGCAATGTTGATCACCTTACGCCCTTCAATCCGGGACGGGGAAAGTACAGTCAATAAGCTGCAGTGTGGTTAAGAACTATCAAAACAGGCCTGCATGCATATGTATGTATTAAACATATCATGACTTTAACCCTATTAGTGGCAGGCTCCTGGCTACCCCTATTAGTGGCAGGGGGGGGGGGGCTGTTTACGACCCCCCCCTTGATATCTCGAGATCTAACGGGCCGATTTTCAAAATTCAAACGGCATTCGATTTCGCTCAACGTGATCTACATTTCTAAAAAAATAAAAATTAAAAAATGTCAATAGGGGGGTAGAGGGGGTAAAAACGGGCAAATTGCAGATACATTTTAGACTGTTTAACACGGCCAGGTTTCTGAACCAATCTTAACGCAACTTTTGCCGATCGATAGAGAATGAACCAGGAATTCACATGGATCCTAAAAATATGCATTTTCAAAAATCATAGGCGGATACAGATCATTGAGATTGGGGGTACACAAAAACTATAGTAAATTAGGTTTTTGTTGGTACTGTTTCTAAAAAGGGTGGTAATGGTCTTGTTATGTTACAATTTTCTTATGAGAGAACGACTACAATTGCATTGGTCATGCATAGGCGGTGTCAGGGCACCTATGTTGGGAGGTAAAACATAACCCCCCTTTTTGGACGCCTGGATCCGCCTATTATAGCAAAAACGTGTCAAAAGAGGATGCACAATAACTGTATATGTTATCACATGATACCTTTCATTCGCTGTTCGTAAAACTGGTGCAGCATCGTGATCTTCGCCCAAATGACTCGCTTCACGAATAGGACCCCCCAATCCCAGTGCTCTGGAGCCGCCCCTGGTAAAGTTATGAACTTGAAATTTTCAGGGAATGTGCCCAATTTAGTTTTAGGAAAAGTCAGAAAATTTCAGCATCGTAGCTTCAGCGGTTTCGGAGATATTCCCGAAAAACCTGAGGGGTGGATGAAACCCCCCCCCCCCTGCCACTAATAGGGTTAAATGCCAAAACTTTTTTTCGTTTGTCTAATAGACGAATAGACGATCAAGGACCAGTGCAATTTTATCATGAATAATGTGCTGGTCATTCCGATGGTTCTGGCAGTCGACTGACGTTCTCCGAGTTCTCATGAAAACAATTCTGACCCAAAGATAAGGACACGGGTAAATGGTAAAACAGCGGCGATGTCTCAATAATAAATATGCCGTTAACAGTTTCTCAGCTCTAGTCGACGCAGCTATTTAGTCGTACACACGCAAAGCGTTCATCGGGCGCACCTCTGGGCACTGGGCAGCTGCGCGTCGAACTGTTTCCAGTGTTTGACCAAATTGCCCTGTTCGTTGCGATACTCGACCAGAACTCGGATATGGCCGGATATTGTGCCCCAGTGGGCTAGACAGAACTGTGGAAACAGACAACAGACAGCGACTGTAAAAACAGACAACAGTCAGAGACACCAGTGGGCCAGGCAGAACTGTGGAAACAGACAACAGGCATCGACTGTAAAAACAGACAACAGACAGCGACTGTAAAAACAGACAACAGACAGAGACACCAGTGGGCCAGGCAGAACTGTGGAAACAGACAACAGACAGCGACCTCAGAAAGTCTGACAAAACTGCTAAAATAGTTAACAGTTAACAGTTAAGGCTGATCACCAGAGTCTCAAAGCAGACAGCCTGTAAAGACCTAAAAAGACTAGATTTTCTGAAATGTGCGCAGTCAAGAGCTTGCAATTCATTTGACATATCTATGTGACGGTTGCATGGGAGCAAGACTAGGCTTACTCCGGCCATTTTAACGCCATGTTTTGATTTCGGCGGCTAAAACATGCCAAAAGATCTCTAATACAAAGAGACACCAGTTTTTAACATTTCACGGTCACATCCGTTGAAAACTTCGCTGGCTTACGGCGGTGATGAATTAAGGGGGAAAATCCCTTTATTTTTTTCTTCGAAGTCATACAAGGTTAGCTTACATAACACAAAAAACTGGAAACTAATCTACATCGGGAAAGAAAATAGAGCATCCCATTGATTGCTTGGAGCCACTATAATTAAGGAGCAATTCAACATCAATACACGATTTGTGTGTCCTGGCAACCCTTGTTTCACGAGGCTAAATACACGACATGGGAAAAGATAGGAGCAAAATACGGTTAATTATTCCCTAATGATTGCCCCGTGCACACGAAATGCTAATCACACACAAGTGGCTGGAAACAATTAGTGAAGAACCGTAGCAGCGAGGTCTTTGTGGTAGTCGCTCTTGGGTCGTTCGCTCACAATCGAGGACAATTCGGTCCCGGGTGATTCCACGCACAGCAATCAGTGACGCACAATGATAGCAATAAACTATAGCGGAGACGCTACACGCATCAAACATGTGAAAATGATACAGGAAGACAAAAATATGGTGAATGTTGCCATGCTAGCGTGCAGCCCTATTGCCGACCATCATGAATAAGAAAGGACAGCTTTTCTTTGAATGAGCAAGCACAAATCAAGTACTGAAGTCCTGTTATATGTAACGTGTCCAGCTATCACGGAAGTGTGTCCCGGTGAATGTCCCGTCAGACAGTGCCGGGTAGACGGCAGGGGCCGGGCCTCGGCTGCACTTACCCAGCGGTGTCGGGGCAGCCGGATCTCCTGGTCTGTGCCGGCCCTCCACAGTTTGTTCCAGGGCTTGTACAGCACCCAGGAGCCGCACCACGGCTCAACGGCCTCGCTCTGCCGCGTTCCTGCCGAGCGAGGACGTAAACAACTTCAGAAACAGGACGGATAATAAGTCAGAAGCACAGTCAAACAATTAAAAGGTTTTTGGTGGGTACCGGACTAGGAATGAAAATAAGCGTGCAACAGTCTTTCTCGAAGGGTGCTATGCATAGTTATTGACTATTGACTGTTTCTATAGGCACAGCTCAGACGCGCCCATACCTGTTTCGGAGCCGGTTGGCGGGGATTGTTCCTCATAGCTCCGCACCCAGGCCTGGTCCATGGCGGCGTACGCGCACTGCGCCGCGAACATATTCTCCACGGCTGTCCTCCACTGCGAACCAACAGGATCCGGCGCTGACGTCACTGGTTATCGGCCGGCCGCAGGCAGTAGGCACGGGGCGAGTAATTAACGCCAAGACGTTACATTACCTCTGTATCGCCGGCAAGGAATTCTTGGAAGATAAAGGTGATGAGAAACTAAAACACTAATTTCTCGAGACATTATTGCCGGGTTGGGGCCACTGGCTAAGTAGCGGACATTTCATCCTGTAATGAGTAATGATCAATGCGGCCTATGTGTTGTGCCGGGCTCATAACCTATGCCTCGCTGCACGGGCCGTCCGCAGGGCGGGGTACGGCAATTACCGTTTCGTTTGTGGCTGTGTTGGCATCGACCGGAGTCTGCGACAGGACGCCGTTGTACTCGAGCTGCACCGAGCTCAGAGCGGCTGACGGCACACCCTCGAACGACAGAACCTGCGGACAGGGGGAATATACAGTCAGAGCGCACAGCACCCAGAGCTCAGAGCCGCTGACGGCACACCCTCGAACGACAGAATCTGCCGCCAGGAGAAATATACAGTCTGATCACATATCACCAGATACATGTTAGCGTTCAAAGGGAGACACCGCAGCCACTGCTGTTAGTGGGAAATCGCAGGATTCCGCCTGAGGAGCTTATCAAAGAAACGGTAAAACAGGGTATTGTGGTGACGAGCGAACCTACGCTTCCATAAGGTGACAACTAGTACGCAACGAACGTACCCACCTAGCTTTTGAGGTCATTTACTTTTGAAAATGCTCTTCAAATTTACCGAAGTCTCATTAATTTCCTGAGTGCATTGTACCCCGTGCGGTGAGTACAATGTGTCCCGCACCTGCTGTTCGAGACGGAGGTCTCCCTTGATGTAGATGGTCTGTGAGTCGGTGGTGGCTGCGGTGGTCTGGTCCCGGGTCACCGGGGTCTGGTAGTCGATCAGACCCACCTGCAGACGGTACCCGCCCGCCGACGAGCCTGGGAACACGTAAACAGAGGCGTAAACGTCGACCAAACGGCCAGTCGTGCCCGGCGCTGGCTTATTTTGTATAATTATTTACCGTATAACTAAGTAACGATTCAAATTAGGCTTCCAGCATATGTTGGCCGTTTGCTAGTAGGAGCATTAGTTTCGACTTCCCATCAAATGCAGTGAAATGTCTTAAGCACCAACCTTCCTTGTGAGTGGCCTCAAAATAGGTCAGCTGTCCATCGGTCATGTTGATCAGGGCGGACTTTTGTACGCTCTCAAAGTTGCCGCTGGTCTCCACCACTGGGGTCTGGAAAAGGGCGAGAAAGTAGCGTGGATAAAGCATCTATCATGGCAAAAAGGATTCCTGCAGAAGTTGAATGACAGGTTGAAAATTTGGAAGAATAATATTCACATCGGCACTTTCGTCCTCAAAACGTAAAGTCTTTTTAAAAATAACCTTTACAAGTCGATGCGTCTCTAGATTACCACACACGTAATTCAGTAGTTTTGTACCACGTCATTAGCTCTGCGGTACACAGTGCCTCCAGTAACTCCCCCCCCCCCCCCCCCTCCCTCAACAAACAAGGTCACGGATCAGGATCACGCTCATTGTGCGTGATCCCCTTCCCCTTCCACTACCTTTAGAACCCGATCAATATAAGCCCCTACCCCCCCCCCCTCCTCCCCCTCCCCTCTCCTCCCGTCGTTCGGCGCTACTAAGACACCAGATGCCCCCACACGCATATCGGTGTTTTCCCATCACATCCTGTACCGCTCACGGCGAGCAATATGTATGTCGGGCCGCACCAATCGCCAGCGGACCAATCCAGAAATACCACCAGAAATCCGGTTGCTCGGGCGCTGTTGGGTTTTCCCAGGCGCTGCGATGAATTATATAGTGTGGGTGCAGGTGGCACGGTCGCATGTCGCGGGCCCGGAGTAGGTAACGTCCTGTTAATGCGGTGTCGGTCATCCAAGAACTCACTAAAGAATGAGTGATTTTAGATAGCTCTGTGGGTAGCGCTGTAGGACTGCTAATGCGCCAAATCAAATTCTTTTTAGATTAATTAACGCTGCGTTTGCAGCAAACTTATGTGACCTAGTAGCGAACCCCAGAAAATGTTGATAACGGTATCCAAGCAGCGAAGCCGATAAGCGGGCGGTGGTTCGAGGTTTCAGGGCCACATTAGCTCGAAGTTGGCTGGGTTTCATGTGCGCTGTATCGACTGTGTGCGTGAGTTGTATAAAGGTCATGTCACTTATTCACCGCGAAAACGGGCGTCGACCTCGAAAATTACCGATATTGAAGTACCCGCACTCGTCGCTAAGCCAGAACTTTGTGGATAGCGGGAACGGGGTGAAACCGCAATACACAGTGCAGAAGTTCCGCAGTTCACAAGCCTTCTTGTTATGTAAGGCATCGGTTCAACGAAATACAAAGAGCGAACTGCAAAAGGCTGCTCCGGAATAAAGACAAAAAAATGTAGGCATGACTTCCTCATGATCTTACGATCAGTATGGCATTTGTTTTGTTCTCTCATGCCGTCTTATTTTGAACTCAATGTCACATGTAAATTCATTTTCGTTATAGCGATCGCCTGTGACTGCTCCGACAGGCCCTCTGGTATCGGCACACCCCACATCTCCGTCCCGTGTTCTCCGCCCCGACTCACCGTCTCCAGTTCGCCGGGCGCCGGTCCGGTGCGCAGCTGGCCGGCGCCGTCTGACCTCAGGGTCAGCACGTACTGGCCGGCGTGCGGCGCCCGCAGCCAGCCGCCCAGACGCCCGACGAACCTGCTCCCCTCCGCAGCCGCCTGGCCGAACGAGTTGTTGGTGACGGCAGCGCCGAGCAGTACCTCCGAGTGGTACCCGTCCGAGTCAGGGGTCAGCGCGGACAGGTCACCGAGGTCACTGACCTCGGCGTCCAGCCACAGCTCGTACAGCAGGCCGGAGCCGCCTGTGGAGGAGCGGGGTCAGCAGGCAGGACTCAGGGAGGTGTAAAGGTGTCATGAATGCCTTGAGGCCCGGCGAGTGTCTGAACGGATACTGCACACTGTGCACAGACGCTCTGAGTCACCTGGGGGAAGGAAATGGGACAACAGTCGCTTTTCAGCAGTAGAGGGGTGTGGTACGGCCCTCCAGCAAAAGAGTGGTTGGTTAGGCTATGTGCTCTTGGTGTAATAACTTTAAATGACAGAGACACTTGTAAAATGACTCAATAGAAATGAGACGATGGTTCGTGCACACATTTCGGCAATGGTTTTCAACAGCCATTAGACGTATTCATCAATGCAGATAGATTATTGTGATGTCGGCAACCAACCACTAAATACCTGGAGGGCCGTACGTACCTACAGAGTACCAGGTACCTTGAGGAGTGCATATCATGGAAGGAGACCGGCATGAGCTAGTACGGATATTGAATAAGCTACGTAATAACCCATCGACAAGGTACAATATCTGTAGGCTCCATCGCTCGCTAGGCTGTATCTAATCGTAGCACCGATATTTTCGATGACCATATCTAACTGTAGCTTGGTCGTGATCAATGAAAATGGGGTTTAAACTTTTCATCGTAGCTCCCACGTCAAAGCAGACCACCGGCATTGCGCATAAAGGCCACAGTCAATTCATAATTAAGCCCCAAGTCCCGATGCAAGCACGTGGTTCGTGCTTCGCAAAAAGTCGCGGCCCTTTCCAGTCAAGGGCTTTGTATTGATTTATTGATCTCCACGTGGGTTGCACCATTTACGATATTCGTTGCAACCAGCAAAATAAGACGTAGTTTCCTAACAGCTTCCACAGCTTAATCGACCCGCGGCCATAGTTTCGACGCGAACCGGCAGCTTCACACTAACAATGGTCCCTTTGGTCGCCTATTGCGCCGCTGCAGCACGCTATTGGCCCGAAGGATCGGACACTCCACTCAGTCACTGTGGCCAGTTACAGGCGACGGTTCAGACGTCGTTTATCAAAGTCCAGACCGAGACATATTAAATATTCATGACTTCAACACTAAGTCCTCACCGATGATATCTGCATTACATTACATCGTTAAATCAGCAACATCTAAGGCGCTAGCCGAGTACAATTTATGCGCAGACATTCATTATTTTCCTTATCGTCGACAATGCTGACGCCCCGCTGACGTTTGAACCTCCCTGTGATTGCGCGGTGTGAACTCACCCTGTGATTGCTCGCGGTGTGAACTCACCCTGTGATTGCGCGGTGTTGTGAACTCACCCTGTGATTGCGCGGTGTGAACTCACCCTGTGATTGCGCGGTGTGAACTCACCCTGTGTCTGGGCGGCGGTGTGAACTCACCCTGTGTCTGGGCGGCGGTGTCACTCTCGGGGGGCGCGGCACACGTCAGCCGCGTGGAGGTGGCCGTCAGCACGCGGCAGGCGGCGCCTGAGACAGACAGGGGAATCTCAGGGAGGACTGGGTGGAGGTGCCGTCAGCACGCGGACCGCGTGGAGGTGGCCGTCAGCACGCGGCAGGCGGCGCCTGAGACAGACAGGGAGGACTGGGTGGAGGTGCCGTCAGCACGCGGCAGGCGGCACCTGGGTCTCAGGGAGGACTGGGGACACAGCAGTCGGGAATGGCGCAAATGACTCGCACTAAGCGGGGTCAACTGGTGGCCAGACAAATTATAGTGTTGCTAGGCTGCTGTGAACAGCGAATTATCAAAAACAGCTGCGATTGGTGCTTAGAAAAGCTGACATAAATTGCCTTTTTAGCTTGTTATTTTAGTACAAGACCTAAAAATGACCAGGGCCCTGAGCTGCATAGTGCATACAAGTGAACAACTTCCAAAGTAAATCAATATTCAATCATTCACATCGCTTATTTACCAAATACATGTGGATTGCGTGCTGGATATTTGATGCTGATACAACTTATAATTCGAAGCCTGTGCTCGGAGTCGTTTTCCGATCACGGCCTGTGTGTGTGTTTCGCCCCACCCCACCCTCACCTCCGATGGTGACAGCGGTGGCGCCTGGCTCCGGGTCGAACCCAGCCCCGTCCACCGTGACGATCGCTCCGCCGCCAGACGACACCGAGCTGGGTCGCACCGCAGATACCTCTGTAAACGATCGTACACACCGGGTCTGAAATCTTTATTGAACTTCACAGGATGCTTCAGTTCCGTTCAATTTTATCGACATCAGTTTTGACAGTAAAGCGAAATGCATTGTTATGTTACGAGCAAACTTGACAAGCAATACGAATACGTAAACAAACCATAAGACATGAATGGCTTTATAAATCATGGATAAGAGCATGCTGTGATTGTCCAAATGTACAGCCCAGTATGAATGTCACCTACGTGGAACAGCTAGGAAGTCGTAGATCGTGTTCTGCGAGGAGACCAGGCGTTTGTTGTTCTTGACCACCGAGAGGCCGCGACCGGTCACCATGACCTGTGCCGACAGCGGGCCTGGGGGCAGGAAAAGGTCACAGCCGTGACCCCTGACCTGACCTCGACACATGACCCGTCAAAGAACGACAAAGTTCTACCGATTCTAGCAATACAGCTGCAATATTCGATGTCATATCTTCATCCAACGACATCTTACCAGGATCTGTCGCCGTAGCAATTACTTCGCAAGACTCAAAAGAGATGATGCCTCATTTACTTGAGCCGGCATCTCAATCCGTGAACATGAATGCGCCTCAATAGTGGAACTTATTCATTCGTATAAATATCTGAATGATTGCTCTTCCTGACATGCGCAAAATGCAACCACGCACCACGACACATCGCAAGTATTACGTGATTACATGGCACATATAACCTCGGATTTCGGTCTCGCACACAGCTTGGACCACTGTGTGTCAGTATCGTAGTATTCCACGTTCCGCCCTGCCCTGCCCGGGGTCAGAGTCCCTCCCACTGGCTGTGAGTCCCGTCCACCCACCGGCGAACGCGGCGGAGGTGCGGCAGGTGATCGTATCACTGGTGAGGCCGTACAGCTCGCCCGTGGACGGATACACGGGGTCGCAGTCCTCCCGGCCCACGCGGATCCTGCGGGGGCGGACAGGGGTGTAACGTCAGTCAGGGGGCGGCGGACGCCGGGCGACAGTAAAATCGGCGTGCCAACATTCGTCACATCTTCTGTTTACTGCTCTCCTATTCTGTCTATCTACTTTTTCCTCTAATTTTTCATACCCATACCTCTCCTCTTTCCCCTATTAGTTGACCCTCATCTTACTCTTTTTCCCTCCCCACTCTCTTCTATTGCCTCTCTCTAGCTCTCTTCAATCATCTCTCTCTCCCCCTCTCACCAGGCAATGCTGACGTCACTGGGCGCCAGGTCGCTGGCCGTTCTCGTGTCAATGGAGTAGCGGTCCGTGAAGAACCTGCCCCTCAGAGTGACCAGCGAGCCGGGCGGGCCGGCCGCCGGCTCCACCGACTCCACACGAGGCGTGTAGTGGTCGTGGTACTGTCGGAGGGCGCGGGCACACGGTAAACACTTCTTATGTGCTCCGATTGAGGGATGATGGGAGTGGGTATGGGTGTTCCGAGTGCCACTGCAATTAGTTCATAATGGATACAGACACAGGTAAATAAATATAAAACATGAATTTCTCTTTACTATGCACAAATACGAATCGTGCATCATGAGGGTAACTAGGCATAGTATTATCCTTTATTGCAAGCATGTCAGGTAGTCTCCGTTTTTCAACGTCTCTCTGTCTCTCTCTGTCTCTCTGTCTCTCTGTCTCTCTCTGTCTCTCTGTCTCTCTGTCTCTCTCTGTCTCTCTCTGTCTCTCTCTGTCTCTCTCTGTCTCTCTCTGTCTCTCTCTGTCTCTCTCTGTCTCTCTCTGTCTCTCTCTGTCTCTCTCTGTCTCTCTGTCTCTCTCTCTCTCTCTCTCTCTCTCTCTCTCTCTCTCTCTCTCTCTCTCTCTCTCTCTCTCTCTCTCTCTCTCTCTCAGAGACGATCCTCACCACTATGCTCCATCCTGTGTTGACGCGCTGTCCGTCCACGGTCAGATGCAGGCCGTACCAGTTTCCCAGGCCACGGTCGGAGCGAACCGGGCTGAGGCAGCACAGCAGTAACCGTGGGTGAGATCACAGAGCAATCACACCAGACGGACGCCTGAAATACTTCACAACGACTTTAGAGACTCGATTATTTGTAAACACAAACGTACTTGCCAATTTATAGTTATACGGGCTCAAAACCAAAAGCAACATAGAAAACAATGCACTATAGTTATCGGAAATATTTAGCTCATTCTGTATTTCCACTGAGCACGTACTGAAGAGAGTATGTTCGCACTCACCCGACGGTGCAGACGATGCGTGAGCGACTGGTCTTGTAGACGTTCACCTTGCAGGGCACTGTGTCCCAGTCGTTGACGAAGTTGACGATGTTGCCCAGCTCCGGCTGGAACTGGGAGTACTGGTCCTCGGCAAAATCTGAGACCAAGCACATGTGGCGTGTCCATTGGTAATCGGATGTATTCTGATGTTGAAAATGACGCTAAGGTATGTAAAAGATGGTTATTGGTTATTCACTAAAGGACATGATGTGGAGTTTGCTAATGTAATAATTGAATGAGGAACGACCCGAACGATTTCTTGTGGAGTAAAGTCCTCATTCAATTATTGGGTGGAGACTTCCATTTCGCGTCTAGCTAGACGCGTCTAAGTCTTAGACGCGTCTAGCTGGACGGCGGCTGCGTCTATCTGGCGACAGCTAACTTTAGACGCGTCTAGGTTGGAAGTCTCCGTCTAACAGCTAGACGCCAAGTTAGACGCCAACTTGGACGTCTGCTCAGTTAGACGCCAGTTGGACGCCAGTGGAAGTCTCCACCCATTATGTTATTGGTTATGGTACGCAAGCGCCAGCGTTTGATTCTCAAGTGCTATGATAGAAACTGTTTTGTTGTTAATTTATTCGTTGTACTTTGAATTAAATTTTATAAATGCCTTTTAATCTTGAAACTATGAATGATCATCAGACAAACATAATAAGTCGAATCAATAAAAACAACAATAATAAGTAGGTAATCATGAGAATCTTCCGTAATAGCTTGGAAGTCTCCGTCCAACAGTTACACGCCAAGTTAGACGCCAACTTGGACGTCTGCTCACTTAGACGCTAGTTGGACGCCAGTGGAAGTCTCCACCCAATGTTACCTGAGCCGAGAATCGCGATCTCTCCTCCGCCGAAGCCGACATGTCTCGGTGTGATGGAGTTGACTTTGGCTGCTTCAACTGAAACTGATCACATACACAAACAGGAGCCGTGATCAGCATACGAATGAGCCTATGAGCGACAGGAATGTCTAAAAAATAAAGCAGAGGGAAGAACCAACTGAAAGGAAAAAGGAAGTACCTACTCAGGAGTCGTTTTAGTAAGAGCTGAATGCTTGCATCCCGCAATCAAGCATGTCTCCTTGAAAATATCTTACAAGCATGTCTCTTGTAATGAAAATGCAGCGATAACCCCCGAAACATTTACTACGCTACAACTATCGTTCACACCATCTGAGTTCATTTCATCCACCCCACGGGATTCGGGAGCTAAGCAAACCTCTTAATGTCAACCGACTGACAAACTTGTTGCTCGGCCGGCGGCCTTTACCACAACACGGAACAAACACATAAACGGACGTCGTCACGCCACACGCGATTCCCACACTCGGCACTGCCCCGTTCCGTCAATGTTTGACTTTACCGAATCACCCATGAGTGGCCACTCACCCGCTGTGACCAGCAGCAGGGCCGTGGCGGCTGCGACCCGCGCCCCGCCCGGCAGCCCGTCTCCAGCGGCCACCATCACCGCAGCGCTCGGCAGCGGCAGTGACCGCCGGCACCCCGGGCGGCGGGCCCGCGGCGGCACCCGGCGCTGTTGTCGGTCCGTTACCAGGGCGAGCGAGGCACCGCTGGGAGGTGCCAGGTGCGACGCACCGCGCACCACCCGCCCCGTGACAAAGGGAACGGACGGCGCGGAAAGATACCCATACCAACCGCGGCTGGCCGGCACCCGAGGAGCAGGGGCCTTATATAACCAGGTAGAGGTCGAATGCGAGTGATCTTTAATTTTCTCGAGTAGTTTGCAATGAATATAAATCTCAATTAGGTACTTGGCAAGTGAAACTGAGAAGCACGAATAGTGAAAAGCCCCTTTAACCAATGTGAGCTTTGCCACATCAGTTTTTTCTTTTCATCCACATATTGGTCGGCGATCCCCTATATCTGTTCGTGCTGGCGGACAGCTCCACCAGACAGTCGGTGAGACAGCTCCAACCAGAGCATATCCCCCCCCCGGAATGTCCGTTTACGGGGTTGGATGGCCGACTCAGCCGCCGCGGCCCACCAGCTAGCTGCCAAATGGCCAGAGAAACCATAGGAACCAATAGTAATGCGATGGAGGTATTTCGTCATACCGTAATCTTTTCTTTCATATGTTCGTAAGCACTGAAGTAGGAAGTAAGTTTATAAATAAAACGTGCTTATGTAACTATCAAGAAGTTCCCTCAAAGCTCCGTTTCTATGTCATCAAGTTTTATTGGAGCGTTTTACACCTCTACTGTGCTATCAATTGTGGCTCCATTTACATACCTGCTTTGGACTTGGATTAGCAGGGCGTGACATGATACAGATAGAACTGTGAAACGCAGATATGTACCAAAGCAACTAACTTTATTTGGGTTTCAGCTAGCACCTCGATCCGAATAGAAATATTACCTTGGAGCTATAGAGCCTTGCTTTGCAGTAGAAGCCAATTGGAACGTAGTTTTGATAAGGTAACATGTTCTAGCCTACATAATACACAGCCAAACCTAGCCAGCCCAGCCGTCCCATCATTACACGCTGCTCCAGAAATAACGAGTTACCCGTAAAGTGATGCTCACTTCTACCTAACCTTTTCAGTGTTCAATAGCAGAAGCGTTCGGTAACGAGCTCTGTGGAATAGGCACCTGTCGTTTCACCTAACCAACATGCGGCAGTCGGGGTCAGCCCTCTGTCATCCGTGCTCAGGGTATATGGAGAGACGGTCCCACTCACTCTCCCACCATTTTCGGAGGAGCTGGAGAGCACCAGACCGAGAGACAGGCCGTCTCCGGGCAACGCGCCAATCAGCGCCCGCGTTCCTGGCGGGGGCGGAGTCACGGCGCTCGTCATTGGCCGAGCCGGTGTCGGTGTCGGATGATAAGTGTCGCGGAGGATCAGACGAGGGCAGTCGGATCATCTCGCGGTGATAGATATCTCCGCCAGCCGGATATCTGCCTCAGGTGAGTCGGCGACCAGATAGTGTAAAGGTGGATGAACGGGAGACGGAGTGAGACCTTCCGCTTGTACGTATGTTGAATATTTCCTTTTAAAGACCGACGCCAAACATTCTTAACCATGATTAACAAACAAGAAAAGCAGCCTATCGGCTATCCGTATGGAACCAGAATCTCGAACATCATTTAACGTTTTCATCCTTTGTTCAGGTTTCTTCTTGCAGCTCTGACGTGCGAAGGCAAAAAGGAAAGTGGGTGTGTCTCTCTGTTTGTTCACATAGTTTGTATTCTAGCCTTGTCGCGTAGGGTCGGCGTCGGGTCATAAGTGGTCATAAATGGAGGTCCATGTGCCACACATGTGCGCGGCAGCAGGGACACGCCGGCCCGTATATCGGGCGGCCCGGGTGGACAATTGGAGACGGGCGGGCAGTGGAGAGCAGGGCGGGAGAGAGAGAGGACGGGTCAGTGTGCGCGTTGAGATGTCTGAAGGGTGAAGAAATACAGTCTACGATAGACGCAAAGTTTGAATGCCACAAGCTATTTCGGCATTTTTCTGACAAGTGGTGAGAAGATGCCGAGTGTCGAGGAGGAGACCAGTGACGCCGCGGGAAGAGCGGTGATGGAGGTGACTCCGGCGTTCGACGCCAGGACCATTCCGGAGTTCGACGGAACTGGAAACGTAGTGGAGTGGCTGGAGCAGGCTGCTCTCCTGTGCGAGCTGCGATCAGTGTCCTTGATGGCTGTGTTGCCGACTCGCCTGCGCGGCGGTGCTTTCGCGGTGTGGTCCCGAATGCCCGCAGCGACTCGTCATCAGCTGCCCAGCGTGAAGGCTAAGCTGCTGAGGGCCTTCGCCATGGACCCGTTCACCGCGCAGGCGGAAATGGCTCGGCGTCGCCTTCATCCCGGAGAGACGGCGGATGTGTACTTAGCGGCGCTGCAGCAGCTCGCTGAGTTGATGGGAGGTCTGCCGGAGAGAGCTATCGCCATCACCTTCGTCAATGGGCTGACGGAGGCTGCGCAAGCTGCGGTTCGGGACGGGCTCGGAGACGAGTTCACTCTCGAGTACGTCCTGGACCGAGCGAGAGCCGTACTGTCCAGGACAGCAGTCACGGCAGCGCCACCGGCGGCGGCAGCGGCGGGGGCGGCGGCGGCGGCGGCGGCGGCGAGTGGGCCATCACGTGACATTTCAAGGTCAAGTCGCCGGCCGGCTCCGATCAGATGCTGGATATGTGGTCGCCCAGGTCATATCGCCCGGATGTGCCCAAACGGCTGCGGCGGGGGAGCTGCATCAGCGCCAGCACCTCCTCCGCCGTCCACCGAGCCGGCAGCAGAGCGCCGGTAATCCAGATGCTGCTCGACGGGCGACCGTGTCACGCGCTGGTGGACACGGGCTGCGAGGAGACCGTGGTGTTCGCGGGTTGTGTCGATAAATGGGATCGATGTGAGACAAACTTGACCGCGGTGAATGGGAGTGCCGTGCGATGCTGCGGGAGTGCAGAGGTGCTGCTGGAGGCACAAGGCCGGCGGGTGGTGGTCCGTGCTGTGGTAGTGGCGGAAAGGTTGTTGGGTGTTGACGTGCTGTTGGGCATGACCGGGTTAGAGGCGCTGGGTGGTGTGTTTGTTAGTGGTGGAGAGGTGCGTTTTGGTGGTAAAGTGGTGACGGGGGAGCGTTCGGGGTGCGCCGGTGTTAAGGCAGAATCGAGCGGTATGTTGGCAGCGGTGTCTCAGGGGCGTGGTCCAGTGGACAGACAAATCGAGACGGCTGATTTTGTGGCTAAGTTCAGCGACGGAAAGTGGACAGTTTGGTGGAAGTGGGCCGACGGAAAGGAGCCAAAACAACTCAAGAATACTGTGCCGCAATATCGCGTGCCGGCAGAGTCGCAGGAGCGGTTCGACGCAGAGTTACGGCTGTGGATTGAGGAAGGGTGGCTGCAACCATATAATGAGCAGGAACACGGGCCGGTGCGTGGCCTAATTCCGCTCATGGCGGTCACCCAGGAAGCCAAGGACAAGGTCAGGCCAGTGCTCGACTACCGTGAACTGAATGAGCACCTGGTGGCTCATACGGCTGAAGCTGATGTGTGCCGCGACCAGCTCCGCAAGTGGCGGCAACACGGCGACGATGTGGCCGTCATCGACCTGAAGAAGGCGTTTCTGCAGCTGCACGTGGCCCAGGAGCTGTGGCCGTTTCAGACGGTAATCGTGGACGGCCAGCGACATTGTCTGACGAGGGTCGGATTTGGTCTCAGCGTTGCAAGCGGCATCATGCGAGCGGTAGTGCGGGAAGTTTTGGATCAAAGTCCAGAGATCGCAAAAGCAGTGCTCCCGTACGCCGACGACCTGCTCGTTAACGAGACGCTCATCTCTGCTGAGCGGGTGGCCGAACATTTTGCCGCATACGGGCTCTCGTGTAAGCCACCGGAACGGGTAGCGGATGAGGCCGGAGCCCGGATGCTGGGGCTCCGAGTGAGACGGCAGTCTGGCGGTGACGGCACACTGAGATGGTCTCGGGACGGCGTGACACCAGCTGAGCCACCCGGGGTGCTGACCAGGCGGTCAATCTTCGCCTGGGCGGGTCAGCTAACCTCACACGTGCCCGTCGCCGGGTGGCTGCGGCCGGCCGCCGCCTGGCTGAAAAGGGCGGCGAACAAGGTCACCAAAGATTGGGACTCACCGATCAATGACGATGACCTGCGCAAACAAGTCAGTGATGTGGCCCGGCGGCTGGCAGAGTGTGACCCGGCACGAGGACAGTGGTGCGTCTCAGGAGACTCGGTGACGGTGTGGACTGATGCCAGCTCCATCGCCCGCGGCGTAGTGCTAAGTGACCCCACCACGGGTGAGGTTATCGAAGACGCCGCGTGGCTCCGATCTGACAGTGACTCAGACATGCACATAAACCTATCGGAGCTGGATGCCGCGCTGAACGGTATGAATATGGCGGTGGCGTGGGGATTCAAGCGTGTGATCCTCCGCACAGACTCTGTCACTGTTCAGCGCTGGCTGACCGACGCTCTGACAGGCCGTGCCCGACTGAGAACGAAGGCACAGTCGGAAATGCTGGTTCGGCGGCGGGTGGCCGTTTTCAAGCAGCTCTCCAGCGAGTACGACCTCGTCGTGACAGTGGAGCTCGTGCCGTCGGCTGCCAACCGTGCAGACGAACTCACGAGAGTACCAAAAGAGTGGATCAGAACCGGAAGCGAGCAGGCGACAGGTGTGGTGGCGGCCGTCAGGACAGCTCGACCGGAGGACATAATGGCGGTGCATGAAAGTGTGGGACACCAGGGAGTGCGGCGGACGTGGTGGTATGCGCGCCGAGAGCTGGGAAAGAGCGTGACGAAGTCGGCCGTTCGTCAGATCGTTAGATCGTGCCAGGTGTGCGCGTCGATCGACCCAGCCCCGTCGCGCTGGAAGCATGGTGCCCTGGCGGTCGAGCGCAACTGGGAGCGGCTGGCAATGGACGTAACCCATTTCCGCGGAAAACACTATCTCACCGTGATTGACTGTGGGCCGTCGCGATACGCCATGTGGCGTGAGATCCGCCGCTCTGACGGGAGCGAGATCGT